GGGGGGGGGGGGTCGGGTACGGAAATCGGCGAAAATGGTTGGGCATCAACAAGGAAAACACGGCCGATAGGAAAAAAATGAGGAAGCCAAGGCGACGAAACCCTTTTGTGGCTGGGACTTGTATACCCCCGCGCGCTTGTGACCTCTCCCCACAGCCTTCCAACTCGAGCTTCCCATCGCTCCCACCCGAACACCCATTGCAACTGCCCCCCGGTAAAGTCACCTTTTGAGCAAGGGCGAGAGGGGTTGGACCGGTAACCGAAATCCGTGGCTGGTGCTATAACCCGTGGCCGTTGTTCGTCGTGAGGAGGCAGAAACAGATGGAGCGGAAAAGCATCGTGGAAAGCACCGGTGAGGCGTAATATGAGAGTGCCAGATTCATGACGGCCTGTTAGGCCCTGGCTGTGCCGTTTTCGCAGGCAAAGGCCTCTTGGCGAGGTGGTGACCTGGACTGAAACACCGGGGGTCAAGTGTAGTGCTAGAAGCGGCGCATGGATAGAAGAAAAACAATAGCAGCCAAACGCCCCCTTTCCCAAAACGCCGGCCTTGTGTAGTCGAGGGGATTGAGTAGGAGATAAATGTGACTCTTTGTGATGCAGAGGTGAAAAAAGGCATAATGTAGCAAGTATGGGCCGTCCATCAACAACAGAAAATCGGCCCCATAGCACTGTGAACACTTCAGTCTTGATAGGTCCACACCACACTGGTAGGGCGACGGGACGGGTTAAATTTGGCGGGTCGGAATCTGGTCGACGACGCCTTGGATGGTGACGAAGGCCCCAGGCCCGCCCTCTTGTCGAAGCTCCTCGAGGAGCACCGTGGTCTGCGCCCACAGGTTCTCGAGCGCTGCACGTTCCGACTTGCCCAGCGATACTGTTTGCGAGGGGGTACCGGTTAGACTGCCATCAAGCAAGGGATAGAGGATAGGCACGTGGCGAGGAGTAAAGCACTTACACAATATCGCCGAGTTCAGCTCCTCGGCGACGGCCACCCTTCCCTTGCGGTCAAGCAGGTGCGCCACCTCCTTGGCCTTGAGCGGGTTGGTGTAGGCCACAAGGGCAAAGATTTCCTCTAGCATCTTCTTGACTTCTCGCCTTGGGTCGTCCTTGTACTCGGCTTGCAGCGTCTGGCCGTACACGATGGCCAGGTTCAGCAGATCTCTGCCATCTGACGTCGATGATGCACCGTTGTAGCCGTCCTCGGTTTCCATCTGGTCCACCCACGCGGCGGCACCCCCTTCGTCAAGATCCATGTCGTGTGCCTCGATCCCGTTGCTGGCACCGGCCCGCTTCTCCGCCAGGAGATTCAGCTCCGCCTCTCGGCGTATCATCTCGATGAATTTGCGGCACTTGAGGTGGAAATAGACGGGCTCGTTGGCCTCCAGGACCCGCGGGTAGTGCTTGTTCGTGTACCATAGCGCGCGGTCGATATCGCCCTCGAGAATAGCCCTCCTTATCCGCTGCCTGTTGTTGGCGTCCTGATCGTCCGTGAGGCTGAGTCCCTCGACTTTTTCTGTGGGGTCTAGGCTCAGGGCCTGCTTCTGCGACTGCATCTCCTCGGCAAAAGCCCGCGCCGTGTCGACATAGCCATCGTGCTGCAAGAATTGAAGAACCAACTGCTGGATGAGTCCTGTCTCATCGAGTGAGGGTGCAAGATTCGCAGTGCTACACGAATTCAGGGGGCGTCAATTAGCTGGGTGTTTGCCTAGACAAAGTCGTGAGCGTCACAAACGCCTGGTTCTAACTCACCTTGTCTCGTCAACTTCAGTCCGGATGCGTTTCCTCTCCTTCTGTAGTAGGAATGAATGGTTAGCATAGAATAACACAGTCATGTTGTTCATTGTGGGACGTACCTCTACCATGGCATCAATGGCAAAGACAAACGGCGTCTGGCCAAAGTTGGCCCTGACGTGGTCGCCGAGTTTCTTGAGCCCTACAGAGGGGTAGAGCTTTCCTTTGATATCTCGGAAGGCGACGTCTGATCAGGAAGCAAGAAAAACAAAGACGTCAGTCACGGCCTCCGCGATGGGTGTAACATGCCGCCAAAGCGCGGCCGGTAGCGCGGCGAACAGCGCAGGCAGAAAGGACGCCCTTACCTAGAAAGCCGCCGTTCTTGGTGTAGAAGGCGCTGCCTGTCTTAAAGTTGACGCCGCAGCCAATGACATCACCGACGGCGAACTTGGGGCCGTAGTCTCTGCCGCCGTTCTGCGCAGCAAAGCTCCGCCCGTCGTCTCCGTGATAGCCCCACGACTCTGGCTCCCAGCCGGGTGCCCTGGCCATTGATGTGTGCTTGGTTGCAAACCCGATGCCTATTGTGGTTCTGCAGGGCGTCGGCATTGTCAGCGCTTGTGTTCTCGCCCACTGCCGTCCGAAACACAATAGTAGAGCCGGCAGACTTACTCGTCCCTTTTGGATGCCAATATCGTGACCTCGTAGTAGTAAATACCACATTCATGCGGCATGTAGTGATCTGCCCGGATGGAGCAGGCCTCGTGGTCGCGTTCCCTATCGTTGGGGCCCTTGGGCCCTGTGAGCTTGACTTCGAGCCCTTCGGCCAGGACTTCCAACCCACCCCACTTGTCGTCCTTGTTCCATCTTGTGGGCAGCGGCGTGACCGGGGTCTCTGCCTCGAGACCGCCTAGCATCTTCTCGGCCACTTCAAAGGCCACGCCTCGATGTGATGCTGCCGTCATCTTGGCCGCGCTGACGCCCGCCCCGCCGCTGCTGCTGCCGCCCGACACTCCGGTCATCCCATGCTGGGCAGCGTGGTGATGGTGGCTGCTGTGATGGGGGCCGGCACCGATGGCCCCTAGGCCGCCGCCCGCGCCCACGGCCTGGCCCTGCATGGCCCCGGCGCCCTCCTTGAGCGCGGCCAGCCTGGCCCGGTGCGACTCCTCCAGCCTCTGTGCGTATGTGGAGCCCTTGAGGTACGAGGGCGTGAAGTGGCGCGCGGCGGCCGCCTGTGCCTGGGGCCCGAAGCCGTCGTATAGCGAGTGGCGGTAGAAGGGCTCAAAGGCCCTCGACTGGGGCTGCAGCTGCGGATTCCTCAGCTGCCAGTACCTGACTGCCGGGGCCCCCGTGCCGTTCTGCGACATGCCGTGGTCCCCGCCCGCTCCGGCGCCCGGCCCTCCGGCGCCGTTCCTCGACGACCCGTCCATGTCGGCCCTCGAGGACGGCGGGTAGTCTGGGGGGTCGTAGCTGTCGCCGGCGCCGACGGGGTTGAGGAGGTGTGCGAAGCCGCTTAGGCGGGGGATGGGGCCCGTGGTCGAGGCCACGGTCGCGTACGAGGAGGACCGACGCGGGCCGAAGTGCAGCGAGGGATCTGGGAGGAAGGATGCGGAGCCCGAGCCCGAGCCCGAGCCACCGCGCTGGTACGGGTTGGTCATAGCAGGCCTTTGCGTGCGCGGGGACGGTCTGGGGTGGTCCCGTGAAGAGCGAGGGGGATTCGGCCACCGCTTTCGGCTGGTCTGACGAGAATTAGAACGTCGCTGTTTGTATGTGGTGGTGGTGGTGGTGGTGGTGGCCGTGGTGGTGCGCGTACCTGGCTGGCTCGAGGTGTGGAGGTGTGTGCGTGAGTGTGTGTCGAGGAGGGTACGTAGTCGTCGAGCAGCAAGTTGCTCGGGTGGAGCGGGATGCCCCAAGAGCGGGATGGCCCAAAGAGGACTGGTGGATTTGTCTTCAGACAGCACCGGCAAGTCGATGACGAGGGCGAGCAAAAAGGCAAAGAGGGCGTCACGGACGATGCGCAACAGGAAAGAGAAGAAAAAAGACGCCAAATCCCTTCCTCTCCTTCGATTCCACGACGGGCAGGTCCAGGGCAGTCCCAGCTCAGATTCGCTGGAGCGGAGGTGGTCGGTGGCTGCTGGAGATAAGTGGAGTAGAGTGCTCAGGTCGGGTGCGCTGTGCGGAGGTTTGAGGTGCGCGAGCTCTCCTGTCACGTTGGCCTGTGTCATAGACTCGCTCAGGCCTGTTTGCCGTTGGTCTCGCTCAGCACCGCGCAGCAGCGAAGGCACATACATACTAGGTTGTAATTGATTCAGGCATTTACAGGCAGGCCATCACCAAACCAACCGAGGATTTGACTCTTATCCGTCGTCAATCACATCGAGGACAGGGCAATCGAACCGCCCATCCAAGCCACAGCCGACGTGGAACCGCTGACGTGTGGCCGAGATCAAATACCGACCCGGATGGCAGGTCCCGAAATTCGGGCAGTGGCTCAGGTAAAAGACAATGCTTTGATACCGAATGGCGCTCCTCCTGTTTTCTTTCCGTCCTACCGCTCTATATTCTCTCCGTCCCGTCTGTCTCGTCATGTATATCAATCATCCCACTCCGTTGTCGGCTTCGCCATCCAGTTGGAGTGGGCACGAGGCAAACGACGCTCTCCCCATTCGGGAGCATGCATGACGGCAGCGTGGATTGCGGGCATGGCCCACATCGCATTGAGTGCCATTCACCCATTCACGCGCACACTCGGCGCTGCTCCTACTGTCCTAGCACGCCTGGCTGCACGTCTGCCTCCCAAATCCAGAGCCAGCATGGCCAGCATGGCCAGCCACCCAATTTCTACCCCCTCACTTCCCAGACAGCGCGAGAGTCATGCTCAAACCCCGTCCGTTCTATCGCCACCCTGACCAAGAGGACGTGATGCCCATTGCGTGCTTCGTCATGGCATTTTTGTCCAGGGGACCATCTATAAAGATCGAGAAGGAAAATCAACAAGGCATCGCCCAAGTCGTAAAACATGGTAGAAATTACATTCTCACAAATACCAGATACCAAACATCAAAACAGTGACAATTCTATTAAGCCAGCCATGTGCCATTGCTCCAAATGTTTTCCCATAAAACTCTTGTTCCAGTCGGTGTTGTACACGCCATCATGCCGCTGCGCCCCCAAAGACAAAAAGAGAAACCCATCTCAAACGCCAGACCGCCCACAGCGCTCAGCTGTCTGTAGCCCAATCAACGCCGAACAAACACATGAAAAGAAGAGCCAGGACTGTTGCAGCAAGCCAGAATGGCGATAGACACTAGGTCTTCCCACCATGTTGGAGCCAGTTCGCAGTTGCTCATGTCTTGGGTGGTTGTAGCCACCCATTCTAGCGAGACCAGGAGGAACTGTGCCGAAATCCTCCGGGGCACGGTGCCAAGTGGATAATACCCAAACGAAATAGGATAGTGACAAGGAAGGTATAGAAGCAAAAGAAAAGCCAGGCGTTGTGACGAAAGCAAGCTGTCAAGCTCAAGTGGCTGCAGCGACAGGGGCGGGAGCAGGCGAATCCATATTTACGCTGGGGGCGCTTTGCATCTCGACATCGACTGCTCCGTTGCTGATATCGTCCTTGGATTTGCTATCGTTACTACCGTTGGTAGCGTTGACGCCAAGGGAGATGGCGACGCCATTCTCTTTGTTGCTACCGCTACCCTCGGCGGAAGCCGAGCCCGATTCCTCGGGAGGCGACGGCAGGGTCTCTGCCCCAGGCTGCGGCCGTGTCGGAGCAGTCCACCGGGGAACCGACCACACGACACCCGTGAAGCTTTTGAGAGTGAAGCCACCCTTACTCCACTTACGGCATGGCTTGCCCGAGCGGTCCAAGGCCCGCAGACCGGCGTTGATAGCACCCTGGTTGGCCTTGGGACCTAGCTTGTGCCCGCCAAGGCTGGCACGTCCGGACTCGAGAGTGCCGTCGTCGCTGTGCAGGGTTCGAGTTAGTTGGTGCTCACATGGAAAGCCGGAAGCGCCGAGGGGCAGTGTCCGTCGAGACCCATCCTGAATATAAAGCAAGGAGATAAAAGGTCCACATACAGTCTCGCCTTCTTCTTGGGGCCAGGCTTGCCCCGAACCTTTGCTGTCGGGCCGTCACTCCCGTTACCATTCGCCACGGCGGCGGACCTCTTGACACCCTTCTTCTTGGGGCCTTCGGTGGGAGGTCCCATGACAGAAGGGGGTGCCGGGGTCCCACTGGGGTTGGGTGTGTTCGGGGTCGAGTCTGACGGGGCGTCCGGGTTGGAAGGGGGTGCGGCAGCCAGCGTCGACGATGTCGTGGGCGACTCCTTGTCCTTGGCCGACGTCTCCTCGGGCAAGGACGAGACGCTTGAAGGGTCGACGATGGCTCTCAGCCTCTCGGGCGGGACGACGAGCGTCACCAGGCCGGGCCTTGCGGGCTCCAACCTTGGCTCGGGTGCCGCGGCAGCCTTGTCAGACTTGCGACGGTCTTTGGCCGATGACGCGTTTTTTGTCGCTGCCGGTGCCATGGCGGTTGCTGGAAGGGTAGAAAATGAAGCCGTGGGCGTGAGCACGCTTAGATTTGAGGATGGCGCGGAAGCGACGCGGTGGCAAAGGGACCAGTGCCCCGGGCAGAGAGGTGCAGCGAGGCTCTCGTGCTTTATGCAAGTGGTGGGTGGCCAGGTCGGGCGGTCGGCGTGGTGGTGGACAATCAGGTTGGGGGATTATTCAAGACTGGCGAGTGACAAGGCGGACCAAGGACTCTAGGCGATCAGCCCGGGTGAGTTGTTGCTAAGTCGGCTTCCCAAAATTGGAGAGGATTACTGGCGCTGGGTGTCGGCGAAGGGCATGAGCCTGGACTTGAAAATGAAGTGGAGGTGGAAGGCGGCGATGGCGTTTTGGTGGTTTGGGTGAGGTTTGTGGAGATGGTTGGGAGGGAGAAAGGGGATTGAGCAGACATTCGAGGGAAAAAGGTTGGGGCCATGGTCGGCACCTCCAGCGCCATGAGGGCGAGCTGGAGGATTGCTCGACTTGCTGCTGCGAAGAAATGAGAAGCTCAATCGCGGGTCAAGCCAAGCGGACGGGAGCCGGGGAAAAAAGGGGACGTGCTTTTGGCAGCGCCTCTTACCCGATTCGGCAGCATATTTCTTTTATCGTTGCCTTTAAATTCCACCGCCCACTCTGGATCACACCTCCACGGCGGCTGTCAGCTCGCCGTCGCCCTCGCCAGGCTGCACACGTTTGCCTTTTCTGACGCCGAGATCAAAAATGCACTGGCTGAGTCCGAGGCGCACGTCGGGGCTAAGTCGGTCACTATTTGCATGTCGCTGAATCCTCGATTGTGGTGACTGGGCACGTCTGTCGTGTCTCCCAAAGCCTCTTTCAGGTAGCACTTTTTTTACGATCAAACCTGGGCGGCAGGGAAGTTTTTCTGATCCAGATGCTTTGAGACGGGGCTTTTGCAACAAACCAGGCCCCCTGATCTCGGCCGTGGACGCATTCGTCAACCTTCCGCCCAGAAGCAAGCATCCAAGGATACTTCCCACGATTTCGCAATTCACGCTTCGAGAGTTGAGTCCAGATTATTGTATCATCGGGGAGCCACCGGCGACAATTAAAAAAAAAAAAACAAGAAGAAAAAAGCATCATGATGTTCCGGAGCGCCAACAAAGTTGCACCCACCGGGCGAGATTCTGGACGGGTGCCAGTTGGATCCACACAAGAAACCAGTGCCCGCGGGACAAGGTGATTCTCTATTTCCGTTTCTGCTGCAGCACCCATGACCACCTCTGCGTAGCGACGACTCGCAACCAATCACTGTTTCCTTCCTTTTCATCTTCCAACCCGACATCACGAGGAGGGCGACGCGGGCAATCATTTCCGGTTCGAAGCATGTCCCTCACTATCCTTCACTCACTCACAAGCTCACAAGGCTGTCCGGACCGTAATTGCGCCTCGCCCAGATGCCTTGGACCAGCGTGCCGTCGGCTTACAACCCCACTTAGCATCACCTCCGGTCTTTTCTATCACGTGACACATAATCCCCTCCGAGCCCAAGCTTGGCCGTTGGGCAAGAAGGAGAGCTTACCAAGGTGCACAAGAAGCAGGTAGAATTGCTGCAGCATCTCATGACGCATCCGTGTGACACTAGCACGCGCTGCAAGGCGACGCTGGGAAAGCGTTTCGCTCTTCTCTCGCCTGCCTCCCACCGTCATTTCGCCTCGTCTTTGCTGTTCCAGACAGGCAGACAGGCCTAGAGTGCCTCAGAGAGCTGTCACGCTGTCTCACCGAATACCCACCGCAACGTTTGCTGACTAGTCTGTCGTTGCGACGTTGCCTTGATACTTGCCTCGGAACCCAAGACCTGTGTGCGGGTGCCTTAGCATTCTGTTGTGATGGACCTAGTATTGGGGCGGTGTCGTCCCTTGCTTTGGCCCCCAAAGCTGCGGCCTGATTGCCAGCGTGATATGCGATGATCGTCGACTTCTGCTTTCAAGACGAATATCGCTCTGAATCTCCTGACTAAGCGATACGTTCTTTGGTTTCTTGACTGGAGCCGCCGTGCCACTGATTGGCGACAATGCGTCGAGTGGGCCGCCCCAGAGCCCTGGTGTCGTTGCTGGGTCAACCACAACACATGCATTACTTCCACACCCGGAATACACACCAATACATCCAAGCAGCGACGTCTTTCATCCAACTTCAACCAGCCGATAACGGACAACTCGGAACGAACAGCAATCCACCACCGCAAGCGGCTCGACCGAGTTTGGGTCATCAGGATGGACAACCTCATCTGCCGTGCTTTCGACTACCTGGACTCCCATGACCCGTCCAAAGTCAGAAAAGGGCTGAGGCAGATCGAGCTCCTCATGGCCAAGATCTGCCTGAAGAACGGCGAGCCTTCGGAGCCCCCGTACCACACATTGGAGGAGCTGGGATCCGACGTGTGCTTCATGGAATATGCGCGCCTGCAGGGGAGGTTCGAGTACAACATCGCATCACGACTGATCGCCCTTCTCGAGAAGCTGCTCGGGTCAGGAAACGAAGAGAACGACCTGACTATCATCGCCACGCTGGACCTGCTCCACGGCAGTCTGCTGCTGCACCGGGAAAGCCGCGCCTTGTTCAGGAGGAAACCCACCATGGAGGTATGTCTCCCGGATCCCCGAGACTGCGGGGTGACGACGACGGCTTGCTGACCAGACGGCTCGCATAGCTCCTCCTCGACCTGCTCGAGCCCTGCAACTGCCCGGCGATCCAGCAGGCGGCGCTCCTCACCCTCGTGGCGGCGCTCCTCGACGCGCCCGACAACCTGAGGACACTGGAGTCAGTCGACGGGCTGCTGGCCATCACGAGCCTGTTCAAGGCGCGCTCGACGAGCCGCCAGCTGAAGTTGAAGCTTATGGAGTTCCTCTACTTCTACCTCATGCCCGAGACGGCCTCGATCCCGCGCGCCGAGCAGCGCGACTCGGTCCCCGGTATCCTGCAGCGCAGCCCCAGCAAGCTAGCAAAGGCCTTTGGCGGCGCAGAGGCCGACATGGCCGGCGGCCGGCGCAGCCGCTCTGATAGCACCAGCGCGGCCGTGCTCTCCACCGAGGAGAAGCAGGCGCTGCTGTCGCGGTATCTCAGCAACGTCGAGGACCTGGTCCGCGACCTGAGGGGCTGCACGCCGTTTGGGGTCGTCTGCTAGCCGAAGCCTCTCGGTTGTCGCCACCGGGCATCGGGATCACCGACGACGGCTGCATCTTTATCATTGATCACGCACCTCCTCCCCCAGTTTCTGTTATTTTGTGCTGCCTAATCTGGTCGTATACTTTGAGGGATTCGTACCATACGGGTAATATTTGGCGTTTGGACTGGTAAATCTTTACTTTTCTGGCTCGGTTCTCTGGGTGCGGAAAGAAAAGTCTGATGTTTTGTCCTCGACGGGTTTGTTTTCGGCGTGCGATTGGGTTTTGGTCCACGTGGACATGTGCATGGATGGATCGGCGTTATACTGTTAATATTGCCCTCAGCTTTAGATAGATACCAGAGAATAATCATTGCCACAGAAGAAAGCAGAGCTTGTTCCGTGGTCTTTACTGTTGGTGGCATGAGGGAACCCTGGCCTGGACACGATGGGCAGGGAGAGAGGCCTCTCACCCACTCTCTACTCCCCATTTCTGTGTAATCCTTCTGCGCCTTGGAATCGGGGGCCGGCAGATCCCGAAGCTCGACGACAAGTCTTGCGACTCTCCTCTCTCTGGCCCCAACCATGGACTCAAGAGCGCCAAGAGTATTGAGCCGTCTGATGCAGCATTTGATGCATGCCGGGCAGGCTGTCTGGTGGGTCTCGCGCCATCGAAAGAGGGCACCGACGAGCTGCAGCAGAGGGGGGCAAGGGTCTTTTTTTCTTCTTTTTTTCCTTCTCTGTGCTGCTGCTGTGCCGCAACGCGACCAAATTCTCCGTCTCCCCCCTCCTCTTTTCTGGCCGTGTTGGTTGTTCGCAATCCCACTTCATTCTGCAGGAACATTTGGCGAAAATCCCAGCCGGGCGCATTTGCCGCCACACACACATACACACACACCCCCCCTGCCACCGTGGGACGGGATACACAGCTGGACCCTCGTACCTGAGCAGCCGGGCGGGGACGAGACCAGACAAAGGCATGGCCGCTGTCGTGCTCACGAGATGCGACATGCGGTATCCACGATAAGCGGGCAGGCAACAGCAATAGAGAAAAAATTGCAGATATTGATGGCCCATTTATTGTCTCGCCGCCCGTCAGCGTAAGCCCGGTCCCGGCGGGCCCCCCTCCCTCGTGGCTCTAGGGTGCCACCATGTTGTACTCGGTTGAGAATGCATCGCACCTTTTTTTCTTTGGCGCCTCTCGGCAGGAAGGTGAAGTGAAAGTGGTGGTGGGATCGTCGCTGACACTGCGTGGGCTGCAGGAGGATACATATTATTCCCGGCTGCCCCATCCGCCAACTTCTTCCCGCCTTTGTGTTATTACCCCAGCACGCCCAACTGCCTTCTGCCTCCCACATGGTTCTACTTCTTTCGGCTCGGCTGCTCGCACATATCCGGCTTTGGTGACTGATCGACTTCGGATCGCTGTCGGATCTTGGGGTAAATTTAGTCTTGTGTGTGTGTGGCCTATCTGCCCTGACACTCACCTGTTGCTCCCTTTTCTGACTGGTCGTTGGCGGAGGATGCACACCCCGGTCTCCCCTCACTAATCTCTGTGGGAGTCGACTGTTGGTACCGTACCTGTGCTACCCATCCTCACCGCAAACATGCGGCCACACGGCGCCGCCGTCGAGATCGCGGCGTGGCTCCTGTGGTTGACCTGCGTCGCCGCGGACGGGCCGCCGCGTTTTGCGGCCATGGACGCCGTTCCGGCGCTGGAGGCGCGGTGGTACCCTCCTCTCGTCGTCGACGCCGTCCCCGCGAACCTCTTGGTCAAGCGGCAGGATGTCTTGAGCTGCGATGCCGGGTTTCACAACTGTGAGTTATGCCGCCCTTACTTTGAGCCCCGGTTGGTGATGCCCCAGGCGGCCATGCGACCCCTGACTTACCCCAACAAACCCCTTTTTCACCCGACACAGGTCTCGACGTTGGATCAGGGGGCTCGTGCTGCGAGAACAGCAAGTGGTGCTTCATTAACAAGCAGGGAGCGGCAAAGTGCTGTGGCGCCGGCTCGAGCTGCTCCGAGTCCATGAACTGCCCGACCAGCCAGTTCCAGTGCAACGACACGAGGACAGTCACGACTACGGCCCCCGGCGGCTCGACGTCGGTCAGCACCGAGACGTTCCCGGCGTGCTGCGGCCGCAAGTGCGCCACCAGCTCCTTCCGCTGCCCGAGCTCGATGGGCGACGGGTGCTGCGGCTACGGCTCGACCTGCGCCAGCGGCAGCAAGTGCCTCGCGGCCCGCTCCCAGACCCCGACGGGCTTCGTGCCCCAGGTGCCCGAGGGCTGCACCACCAGCCAGATCAGCTGCCCGTCCTCCGTCGGCGGCGGCTGCTGCCCCGTCGGCCGCTCGTGCACCCGCGTCGGCAGCGTCGTCGCCTGCGCCACCGTCCCGGCCCTGCCCACCGACGGCTCCATAACGGTCGACCAGAACGGCGGCGGCGATGGCGGCATGTCGACGGGCGCCAAGGCTGGGATCGCTATTGGCGTCGTGCTCGGCGCCGCCGTCGTCATCGGCATCGCCACGTGGCTGTGCATCCGCAACCGCCGCCGCCGCCGCGGCACCGCCAGCTACGGCAGCCAGGACGTCAGCCAAATCCACGACGGCGGCAGCGGCGTCGGCAGTGGGTACGGGCCGCGCAGCCGGGCCTCCGTCCCCATGATCGTCGGCGGCGGCAGCACGATAGGGGGTGGCGCCGGCGCCGGCGTCGGCAGCGATCGCGGGGGCGCGCTTTCTGGCACCGCGTCCGAGGTGCGGTACCCGACGGCCGACTACTTCGGCCCAGACGCCGTGGCGGGCCCTTACACGGACGTGGACTCGCCCACTACGCAGCGCGAGGCCACGCCGGGCTTCGACCGCGGCGTCCCGTCCCACCCGGACGAGCCGAGCCACATCGTGGCCCCCGTCGAGCTGGACTCGGGCCGCAGCGTCAGCGGCAAGAGCGACGTCACGAACCTTTCCAACATGGACGCGCGCGCTCTCTCCATGTACTCGCAGACGCCGGCGGCCCCCGACGATGTGGGCTCCCGCTTCGAGCTGTACGGCTCCGAGACCCCGGCGCAGCTCCATAGCGACGAGGCCCCGCGAGGGCGGGAGCAGCCCAGGTAGTTGAGGGTCTGGGTAGTTTATACTTGGGGATATACTTGATTTCGAATGCCATGTCTTGACTTGGCTGAGTGATATAAGTGACGGGCGAGCAGGCCGCCATCCGCGGGTTCACTTTCCCACGTCGGTATACTAAAATGCCCTGCCCGCTTTTAACGCCCTGTCCGGTTTTAATGCCCAGTTTAGTCAAAATGCACAATTTTTTCCCACCCTCTTCAATAGGTTGCCACTGCCTCTGTTGGTTGTGATGGTTATGAAGCCGGTTAGAAGTAGATTTACATCCCGGGTGGATTCCGCCCTGGAACGATAAAGGCAGGTGTAGTCGAATGGAACCAAGCGGAGCTTTGAGTAATAGGTGAAATGGGATTGGCTCCCCCACATTTGTGGCTCAAGCCATCACCACTTTAGCGCTTCTCCACACGAGGCAGAACGTTGCGATGGCTGTTCGTTGGAATCCCCACACGTTCTGATGTTGGTCGTCTTTCATATTTCTTGCATCTTTTCCCACGCTCTATTCTTTTCCCACCTGATGCCACCTACTTTTACCCCAGGAGGAGCGGAGGCTTTATCGGGAAATGCGGACGGACGTAGCTTTGGACCAGCGGCAAAGGGCTCTTGGGATTCCTCCTCTCGCCCGCGCTCTGTATCACATGATTCACCACTCTGCAGCCTAGCCGTGGCTTTTACGGTTGACATCACGGGACGAACATACTTCCGAGTACTGATGTTCCATGATTGACGCTTGACCGCGAAATCGATTCTGCGCCGTGCACCAGGGCATCGTAGTTTTGCCATCCTGTCCCACCGCGGCTAGTGTGAAGACCCAGGCAAGGCTTGACCGGGGGGATGACTCGTGACTGGCTATCGTCTCCGCCGTCGCGCAAACACTCCCTTCCCGTCCGCGGTTCCCGTCGGAGCATCGACGGACAAGGGCAAGGCGCCAGGCCGCGCCGCCATGACAGCAGATATCATCAACTATAACATCAACTACATTTTGGCAACAGACAGAGTCCCGATCAAGTAAATATATTCAAGGCCTGGGTGCTAATGTATGGCCGAAATGTTGCTGGCGGAATCCCTTCCGGCCACTGGCCGGAACAGCGCCGTTTCCACCTCGAGCCGACGAGGAAGCCGACAAGGGCGGGCGGTCCAGGTTTCATCGGGTCCCCTCTGCTTGGGCTTGGGACTGGAATGACGGTCAGGTGGCTTATCTACCGCATGAATTACCTTGTTGTGACAAACAGAAATTGAGGCCGGAAGGGCGCCGGCCTCGTGTGGGGAGGCGTGAGAATCGCGCGGAATTAAAACCGGCCACGATGTATATCAACGCGCTCCGGCGCCGGTGTCTGAAAATCTGCAGAAGGTTCGACATCAACCACACACAACAGCAACAAACATTTCTCTAGACCAAAAACTAGCTCCTACCCGGTTTTCGCCCTGTGATACAGGCCCCCTACCTCCTCTCCCTGCCCATATCATCCTACCCCTTTTACACAATGGGAGTCGTCGAGGACATCCCCGTGCCCACCTTCACGGTGCTGGAGGATGCCGTCCCCAAGGACAAGTCCCTCCAGGCCTTCATGGTGTCCAAGACGAGGGGGTTCCTCCCCCGCATGGACCCCATCGTGGCCCTGCCCAAGGAGTTCGACGTCCTCGAGTCCGTCCTCAGCCGCATGCCCGTCAAGACGCTCTCGGGCGAGCCCGGCCTGCTGGCCGACGGCAGGCTCGGCGACGTCGTCAAGCAGGAGCTCCCCGACTTGACGGACAAGATGGAGCTGTACAAGGATGACCTGCCCCTGATGAACGCCCTCTACCGCGACTACTCCTTCCTGGCGTCCGCATATCTCCTCGAGCCCTGTCACCAGCGCTTCCTCAAGGGGGAGGGGTACGGCCTGGGCCGGAACGTGCTGCCGGCCAACATTGCAAGGCCGATTGCCCGTTGTGCTGAGATGTAAGTGTGTTTATCTATGTTCATGACCACATGCCGATACACATCGCCTTCTACAACATCGCTTGCCCTTAGCCTTGCCTTATCATACCCATTCAACGTGCGCCCTGTCTGCCCTTACTTCTCTATCACCTATCCTTACATACCCTTACCTATCCTTACAATGTGTACACCCCCTCTCGTGTCACTTGATCTGTTCCTTGATATAACCACCCCTATCAATCATCACATGACATCGACTGCACAAGGCCACCCTGATAGGGCTTAGACTAACATCGAACCCGTCTTCTCAGTTGCGGATTCAAGCCATTCATGGAGTATGCCGGATCGTACGCTCTCTTCAACTACCGCCTTCAAGACCCCTCCAAGGGCCTGGAGTACGACAACCTCCGGCTCATCAGGGCGTTCGAGCACGGCCTGGACCCGACCTCGTCCGAGGCCGGCTTCGTGCTGGTGCACATCGACATGGTCCGGAACTCGGGCCCGCTGGTAGCGGGCACCATGGCGGCGCTCGACGCGTGCTCCCCCGACGGCACGGCCACTGTGGCGCAGCGGCGGGCGGGCTTCAACGCCGGCATGGGCCAGGTGCTCGCGGCGCTCAAGAAGATCAACAGCGTCATGGAGACCATGTGGCAAAAGTCCAAGCCGGGCAGCTACACGTCGTTCCGGACCTTCATCTTCGGCATCACCTCGCAGGACATGTTCCCGGACGGGGTCGTGTACGAGGGCGTCAGCAACGGCGAGGCCTGGAACTTCCGGGGCGAGTCGGGCGCAAACGACAGCATGGTCCCGCTCATGGACAACCTGCTGCAGATCCCCATGCCCGACACGCCCCTGACCGAGGTCCTCAAGGACTTTAGGCAGTACCGGCCCAGCAACCACCGCCAGTTCCTGCAGTACGTCAAGGAGCGGTCCGCGGCCGAGCGCCTGCGCGAGTACGCCCTCGGCCTGGCCAAGGACGCCGCGCAAGAGGAGGATGCCGAGGCGGTTCTCGAGTCGTGCCGGCTCTGGATCCAGGCGCTCAACCAGGTGCGCGACTTCCGCTGGAGGCACTGGTGCTTCGGCAAGGAGTACATCCTGCGCCAGACCACCTACAACCGCGCCACTGGCGGCAGCCTGGTCGCCACCTGGCTACCCAACCAGCTCAGCGCCGTCCTCGCGGAGATGCACGCCGTGCACGACGTCGCCAAGGCTCGCGGGGGCGACCTGGGCGAGGTGTGCGCCGACATCATGGACCTTGCGGGCCGCCAGAAGGCGACGCTGGCCAAGGAGGTGAGCAAATACTGCGAGGAGCGTGGGGTGCCGATGAACACTGCGTAGGACACTGGTAGAGAGATACTGTATAAAAATGAACCCTTTTCGTTGGTCACAGAGATATTGATGAATCCAAGTGGGTGTTGAAAAGCAACTTGCGTTCGATGTTAGCGGACCGACGACCAATAGCGGCGTTGCCTCACCCGCGCGATACATGCACGCTTGATATAGACACTGGCGTGAAGCACGCGAGCGAGGACGACGCCAGAGGTTTCAGGCACAACGTTGGAAGCCCGAAAGAAGCAACGTGCGCGCTAAATAGCTGGGTGGGTGGGACCTCTCGCAACCGTGCAGATCCTCGTGTCTGATATCGATCCTCCCCGCCCATGCCGATGAGACAGCCCAGCAGCTGCCATTTCTTTGATTGATAGCCTGTCAGGGCAGGATCGTATTGAAGATGATTGCGTGCGCCTGCCCGTCAATACATTGCCTGCAAATCATGAAAAAGCCGAGATTGAACCCACAATGGGGAGGCGAAGCCGTCTGGGGGGGACGAACTGCTCAGCCTGACGAACGAGCTGGACTGCCAGGGAGCGAGTCGCACATGTCTCTCGCTTGCTGGGTATCCCGTAGTTGGCAGCAGCCCTAGGACCTGCCTTGGGCCCCCTTTTCCTCCGCATATGCCTTCTCCTGGCGTTGCGCTTTGGCATGCCATCCAGCTCAATGATCGGCCGGCGGATCCTGGCAACCACGCACACACCTTCTCGAACTGGGCCCCTGGCAGGCCAAGTTGGCCCAGCAATTCTCAAAAGAGAATGGCGGCGGCAACAAGCCGAGTGGAGCTACGCAAAAAGACATGGGCCGCACGGCGAGCGCGATTCCCTGGGAGGAAGGAAGCACGTTCCGCAAATCAAAGCCTGGATGATAGGAAATAGGATAGGAAATAGGATAGAATCAGAAAGGGCAACCTGTAAAATACATTGGTTAATGAGGATTCCAGGCCTCCCCGCATGAGATGCAGGTGTTGTTTTCGAAAAGAAGGGTTCACTGAAACGCTGCAAATCCGGGGGTACGCTAGGCTAACACATCCGGGGTGTCCCGAAGGAGCATAAAATGACGGTGATGCATGGGGATTAGCAATGCAACGCCAGCAGGAGTGGCTGCCCAGGCCCAGGTGCCGCCAGGTGGTGTGTGCTAGAGAGCGCGAAATGTGTTGTTGTTTCTCGACGTGGACATGTGGACCCACCTGGCAATACAATTTGGGCTTCGGCACGGGCATGCGGGCAGGCCTTAATTCGACCCCTGTCCTGGGCGCTAACCGTTCCCCAGGCGACAGACGCCCAGACAAGTATTGACACCAGGGAAAAAAAGCAACCAGCTCAACGGTTTATCAGTCTGCTTGTTGCAGTTCCACGGATATCGGATTTCCACCCAATACCCTCCCGTCACCGCCCTCAGCTTGAAGAATTCATCCGTCACCGCCTCTGCACCGCCCTCGAGTTCCAACGGACCTGCAGCTTGTTTCCTTTGCTCGCCGCCTGCTGCTTGACGCGTTCGATGCGATGATCGAGGTCGAAAACCTCAGGGCGGCGTCCACGTACGTCTGCAACCAGCTGCTGGCCCGCGGGCTCATCGATTGCCCAATTGGTTTTGTTTCAGCCGAGCCGGACGAGGTGGCGGTTATCCTGAGGGTAATCAACGACTTGATTCTACGGAAGGATGTAAGTGCATAACGTTTTCTGTTTGTCCACACTGGGCGGAGCGTATTCTAACGCCGTCAACGACAGAGGGATTCGGAGAACAGGGAATCACTAGCAACCAACATCCGCACCCTGCGAGCTGAGAATCTGAGGGCCATCGACGATGTCCGCCGAGAGCGTGACGCCCATGCCGACACCCGACGGAGCCTGCAGTCTACCGAGGCGCTGGTGCACACACTCCGCTCACAACTCGCCCACGCCGAGGCCTCGGTGCAGAAGCTGAAAGAGGAGGCCGTACGCACCCGCAGTGCGGTGGCACAAACTCGTGCAGCATGTACCAAGGAGATCCGTAAACGAGACCTCCAGATTGACACGCTCAAAAAGGCCGTTGGTGATGCGGGACGTGCCCGGGGCGAGCGCAAGGCACAGGCCATCACCACCATCACCGTCACTGGGGATGCTGGTGCGACGGCAGGAGATGCTGGTGCACCTGGCCCAGGTGCTACGGCCGACGATGTCTATGATCTCCGACAGGAATCGTCCTCGTTTCTGGCCGAGCTCGCCCAAGGGCTGTCGACCGAGAACGAGGAACTCAAAACGCTCATCCACAAGGTCCAATCCATGCTCCAGGACATGTCGGGCTATCAATCCGGCACGACCGACAGCGCACCGGCTGACGCTCCGCTTTCTCGCTCCGCTGGTGTCGATGAGGTCGGGGCCGAGATGGACGCGATCCTGCTGCATCTGAGGACGATCCTCACCAACCCGTCATTCGTGCCCATCGAGGAGGTCGTTGTGCGCGAGGACGAGATCCACAGGCTGCGCGAAGGCTGGGAGAAGATGGAGTCGCGGTGGAAGGATGCCATGCTGCTGCTGGAGACGTGGCGAAGGCGAGTGGGCGAGGGCGGCCGCGCCGTCAACGTCCAGGAGATCAACATGGGTCTTCGCCTCAGCCCTGTCCGTGTCAGAGATGCGGAGCCGGCACCACAAGACACGGCCAAACGAATCCCTCCCCTGGACCTCGGCCTCGCGCCCGTCCGTGAGCAGGTGGAGGAGGACGAGGACGAGGAGCCACAAAGGAGGTTCCCACCTTCCCCAAGCCCGGCTGAATCCCTCCACCTGGTGCCGGCCCCAGCCTTCGACAACGGCCCGGATGACTCGGATACCGACTCGGAGTCTAGCATCTTTGTCGACGAGGACGAAGAAGAAGACAACGTGGTTGTCCTGGAGCAGTCCATTATGCTGGACTCCTCGCCGCTGCCGGTGCCGCCTAGGTTGAGCCCTCTCAAGGAGTCGGCCAGTGCTGGCAACAGACGAAACCCAGACGCCTCTCGGTCAAGGAAGAGACCAGGCGACTTCACCACCATATTAGAGGAAGACACTGTCGATATCGAGACGCTGTCGAAGCCACGCCAAAGCCCCATAACGGCCGTGGCAGCCCGCCAGGTGCCACAAGAGCGCCCAGACTCGGCCGCGTCCTGCACCTCGGGCACCTCGACGGGCACAGAAAGCAGCATCCGCCTCGTCCAGCCCGAGGCACCACCGCCCAACACCTCGGCCCCCGCGAAACCCACCCAACCACCACCGGCCAAGAAGCGACACACGACCAGGGCGGCCACCAAGGAGCAGAAGCCGCCCGCGAAGAAGCCCACCCGCCCCACGGCCCAGCCGGCCTCGTCCAGGCCCACCCGCGCCTCGGCGGCCAAGTCGGCACCGGCCCCGACGACGCAGAGCCGGCCTGAGAGTCCCGCCGAGAGCGCGTTCCGGCCCGGCCACAAGGCGACCAAGTCCACCGGCTCAGTCCAGACGGCGCCGCCCGCTCCCACGCCCCGCGCCGGCAGGAAGGCGGCGCCCACCACGCCCGCCAAGATCGTCGTTCCACCCCCGGTCTCCAGCAGGCTGCCGCTCCCCCGCGTCGCCAACGCCAACGGCGTGCCGCAGAGCCCGCTCACCATGGCCACCATTGCCGCCAAGCTGGCCGCGTCTGAGCGTGACGCCGACGCCGCCCGCGTCCGCGCCAAGCTCAAGGCCGCGAGGCAGGGCCGCGGTGGGCGCGCCGCCACCATCGCCGCCGAGGCCGCGTCAGCCCCCAGTAGCAGGGCCGCGTCCAACGAGACGGCGCGGTCGGCCGAGGACAGCGAGGTCGGCGGCGCCAGCATCGGCAGCAGCAACAGCGCCGACTCGGTCAAGCGCGACTCGCCTGCCACTTCGGCCGCGTCGTCGGCGCGCGCGTCCCCCGCCGTGGACCAGGACGCGAACAGCAGCAGCACCGGCTCGGCCACGGTCCGCATGGTGGTGGGTGAGCTCACGTCGCCGCGGAAGCGGGGACGCCGCGCAGAGAGGGTGGCGTCTAGACGTCGCAGCACCCTCAACGCGTGGGAGCTCAACACGCTCATCTCGGGCGAGGTTGCCGTATCCCCTACCAAATGAGGAGGGGTGTACCTGTCGGACGTGGTTTGGTGCTAGGAGTCTTGGTGTCTGACTTTTTTTTCACTCTTGTCTCTTTTTCACTTGGCTCAGGACTCATGTGATCATGACTTCTTCTCTATTCCCCTTAGGGTTCTTCTCCTCACGTGTCGGCGATAGTTCATGATTTACGACCATCTAGACTACCCCCCTAGTTTGGCATTTCGCCTCTGCTTAGTAGTTTCTTGATTCCCCTTCCAGAGAGCATGCTTTAATCATAGCACCTAATACCTCACCATCCTACCGCCACTAGCTTTGTGAAATGTGGCCCACGTACGAGGTTTCCGTAACTTGGTGTCCGTCCCTGCTCCAGCTGCCTTTCGGAGATGGCTTCCACGAAAATGTAGGCCCTCAAGACATGAAAAATGAGAGGAAAAGCAATTTGGCAGGGTAAAAGTAGAAAAGAAAACTCAACGCATTGGATCATCGTAAAATCAACGCCACGGAAAGCCTCCAGAATCATTAGGGAGCAGGAAGGGGAGCGGGAAAGTGAGCGCAAGAAAAAGGTAGAAGGAAAGTAGAAAGATAAAGAGTCAACCCCTTATGAACCAGCTCGCAAATGTTCCGAACTCGATTACCAATGGAGGAAACTGCTAGAGATAATGAACAAGCACGAGCTCATGGAAACAACCATAGGCTTTGGCGACGTTCTCTGGGTCTGGATCAGCAGCGCCATGAATGCGGCTAGAACCGACCTCCGAGTCGCCGGACCCCTTCGACGTTCCGAACCAACGTGACGGCACCTACGGACACCCCAACAGGTATAATAAGCCTCTCATTGTCGAAGTTTCCGCCTGAGGAGGTGCCGCGCCGCATCAGACCCGGGGAGACGCAAACGAAGACCGCCCGGCGTGGCAGGTCTGTGGACTTGTCATCTACCTCCTCCATCAACGAAGGATCGAAGTTGAAGCGTGTTGACATTTCGGGAAGCAGCCACTTGACAGCCGTCGGCTGTCTGCTAATCTCCTTGTCGATCTTCAGCGACTGGTCCAGGATGCCGGCAAGCGCCCGGGCGAACGCAGCGTTGTCGATGGACCAGCGTTGCTGCGGCCTGAGCCACCCACGCACAATGTTCAGGAGTTGACTGTTAAGCTCATCCGAGGAGTTGACGGCGTCATCATCAGTGCGGGAGCTCTGAAGACAGTGGCGGGTGGCGTGCGCTTTCCAGTCGTGGAACTTGTGCTCGGCGTCCAGCTGGATCTTCTCGGGATTTGAGCGTTTTATCAACGCCATCATGCCTGTTAAGTCCCTAGGTATTAGCTATCATTGTCGAACTCTCCATCCAGGAGCTCCGGGATTAGTTTCTGAGCACTCACATGTCTCTGCCTTTCGAAAGGCATCACTTAGCGATTTCTCCTCACCGTCAAGACACCACAAATACTTTCCGAAGACCGAGCGAACCAGCAGCGACCACAGGGCCGCCTGAGCAACCCGGAAGCAACCCCCAGGCAGTGTCCTAACAACAGCCATCTCCTTCACGCCGGCTTGCGACGTAGCCAATGAGATGCTGAAGTCACGCGCGGCGCCATGAAAGTGCTCATTGCCGAAGTACAGCTGCGCAAACTTCTTGATGTTAAAGTCGAGCTTTTTCACCTCGGTGAAGAGATAGTCATCTGTCAGCTTTTCCTGACTGACTGGTCGCTCCGCCGTCACCTGCTCCGCAAGTTCGTTGAATTCCTTCTTCCACTGCGAGCTCGTCGTCTCGGCCGCTGCTCGGAGCTCTCGCTCTTGAATGAGAGCAGCCTCGATCTCCTCCAGGCGGTCGTAGGTCGCATTGCATTCTTCCACGGCCCCGCCGAGCTGCTGCTTCTTTTGCTCCAGGGCGGCCTCGGATTTCTCCAGGCACTCTTTCATGTGATCGCTTTGGCTGCAGGTCATCTCCAAGGACTCTTCCAGCGCCAAGATGGTTGTTTGCGCTTGCTCGAGCTCTGACTCAGCCGCTGCGAGTCGGGCCTGGAACACACCGATCTTAGCCTGTGCCGTCCCAGGGCTCTCTTGTGTCGGTGCGGATAGATTGTTGGTGCCGTTTGGAATGCTGCTGAGCAATCTTCTGAGCTGCCTCCTCTGTCGCCTCCTCTGTCGCCTCCTCTCTCTCCACGCTTGCCTTCGCTCGCGCATCGCCTCCCGGCTCGCTTGGTCCTCAACACTCGCCCCAAGACCGCGCTCGCCCTGCTGCTCCGGTTCGAGGAAGACCGGGACCGCAGACGAGTTCTGCTGATCATGTTGGACTTTCTGCCGAGTCTGATGCTGGTGCTGCGGCCACTGCCAAACATACTCCTGCCGTTGAGAGACCTTCTGGCCATCTTGCTGCGACTGTGTCTGTTGGGTCTCATAGTCAAGGTTCACCGCCTCAGACCGATCACTCGGCTGCGTGCCATCGAGCAGTGACATAGGCAGTACTTCGGTGTCAAGTTCACCGCTTGTGCCCGCACTGGGCATGCCAGCCTCGGTGCCCACATCAGTAGTGGACATGTTGTACTGAGATGCCTGGCCTTGAACGGGATGGCGATCAGCAGACCGTGGTTACACGGATATGTGTTTAAGATTAATAAATGATAAGTGATGGAAGGATGATGAGGAGATGGGATTTAGCGGGACCTTTGATATCTTCGCTTTGTGGTAAATAGGTAGGATCGTAGGAAGCGTTGGAGGTAGTGCTGCATATCTTGCTCTTGTACGGCAGCAGAGAGATGCCGAAAAGGGCAGTGAGGGAAGTGTGAAACTCAACTCAGTTTTTAGTAGGCCTCTGAGCGATGCGGTAAATGGGTTCGTTAACTGGTAGCATAAGATATTTGCCTACTACTTGGGTAGGAGCCAGGTAGCTCCTGCCTAATTCGTGAAAGGCGATTTTTAGGCAATATCTCAAGAGAGATATCTCGACAAACTCGTCACCCATGCACTTTCAAGTCTACCTAACACACCTACCACCCACCTAGGTACCTACCTAGGCACTTACCCAGGCACCTCACTTTCTTCCCGCTAGCCTTTGCCGTCCTTCGTCTTCTTCACTCTCCAGCTTCAGTTCACCTCACTGTAAAGTAGCCTCATCACAGTCTTCACAATCTTTCTACGTAATAACGAAGGCATTTGTTTCCGCGCTCACCCGACTCAGAGATCATGGCAGACGATGATGCCTTAGTGGTTGGCATCGATTTTGGAACAACGCAAGTGAATTTCGCAATTAGTTAGCAGTGGGAAGTTCCTCAGCTGACATCATAACTTCGCAGCTATTCGGGTGTAGCGTGGGCGACCCAGAAGATGTTTGCCGAGAAGAACGTCGCCTTCATCTCAGAGTGGCCAGGAACAAGGGCTGAGATGGCCAAGACTCCATCCCAGATCTTCTACGATGGCGACAAGGTGCTTTGGGGGTCGGAGATTCCCGCTGATGCGGATTCGCTCCAGTGGTTCAAACTCCTGCTGCTCAAGAAGGAAGACATGAGCGCCGAGCTCTTTTCGTCCGAGTACCTGACCCGCGGTCGAGAGTTCCTGAGCAAAACCGGCAAGTCAGCGGTTGATGTCATAGCCGACTATCTACGGTTGCTCTGGAACCATGCCATCAAGACCATCACCATTGAACTCGGTCCGCTTATCCTCAAGACTAAGGTCTTTAGGGCTGTCATTACCGTGCCCGCCATCTGGAAGGGCTATGCTAGGCAGGCCATGTCCGAAGCCGCTCAAAAGGCTGGCATCTTGGACGCACGACTGGCGGGCAAGACTACACTGACATTTACGTCGGAGCCTGAGGCTGCTGCGCTGGCCACGCTGACAGAGCCGAAGTACGAGCCTAAAGTTGGCGACACCTACATCGTCATGGACGCAGGCGGCGGGACAGCCGACACGATAAGTTACAAGATCGTGGGAGTGAACCCAATTGCTATGGCTGAAGCTGTCGAGGGACAAGGTGATCTCTGCGGTGGCTTCCTCATCGACAAGGCCATCGAGGACATGTGCCGGGACGCGATTGGCAACCAATGGGATGCGTCTGACATCGCTGCACGCCAAAAGGTCTTGAAGCAAGACTGGGAACAGGGCATCAAGACCCAGTTCGAGCTTGAAGGCGACGCGGAGTACCCTATCTGGCTCCCTGGCGAGATGACGACGAAAAAGCGCAAGCGCTCGAGTTGCGACCTCGCAACGCTACCACAGGTTCGGGGCCACTGCCTCTATCTCCCACGGTAAGTATCCCTGACCTCAGTCCGGATCAGGACCACCCCGCAAAGAACTGCAACTGATCACACATGAATATCCGCCATAGGCACCTCATCCAGAAGGCTTTTGCCCATGCACTTGGGGGCATTGACAAGCTTGTGGACCAGCAAATCGAACAGACGCGGAGTCGGGGCTGCAAGGTAACGGTAAGTACATTTGCAGAAGCGTGTGGGTGCAATCAGATCGAAAGATGCTAACCAATTCCATGACTATCATAGGCAATTATTCTTGTCGGTGGCTTGGGTAGTAGCCGGTACATTCAGCAGCAGCTCGAGGATGCACATTGCGAATCTGGAATCCTCGTGCTCAAGTCAACTGGAATGAGACCGTGAGTGAGCTAACTTCCTTCCGCCTCGCCCAGGGCTCGAATATGGCTCCTAACATGCATTCATCAAGCCGGACTGCCATCTGTCGTGGCGCAGTGCTCAAAAGCTTTCGCAGCTGTGTCACCTCGACTATTGCTCGAGCCAGCCTCGGCGTCGATTCGCTTGATACATTCATCAAGGGAAAGCATTTGGTGGAAGACAAGTACTGGTGCGAAAAGGAGCTCGAGCACAAAGCTAACAACCAGATGAAATGGTTTCTCAAGAGAGTAAGTACAATCTTGGCAGCGCATTGGATAAGCCTTGTCCGTTGCCTTGATCGATTTCGACATATCTACACAGGGTCAGGCTAACTTTCAATACTAATAGGGAGATGACGTTTCACAGAAACGCCCAGTCAAGCGCAGCTTCTACACGCTGTACACCAAGAGCGAGTTCAGCGGCACCTACGCTGTCGAAATTCTCGCCAGCGAAGAGCCCAAGCCTCCCAGTCGCAAGACCGCAGATGTGAAGACGATGTGCACTATCAAGTGCACACTCGATGTGGACTTCCATGACCTGGATACAGAGACTAACTCCCAGGGCGAGATATTTGGGGTGCTTAAGACCGAGATTGCGATGGTTCCCGTCGGCGCTTCCATGGAGTTCACCGTATCTGTCAACGGCAGAGTTCAGGGCGAAGCTGGTGTGGCCGTCAACTTCCAGTAGTTGGCTGGGAAGGCACGAGATACGACACATCCACGAGAATTCCTAGTTCATTCTGCACAACGCTCCATCACGCGCAAGATCTATCGCCACAAGAGCAAATCCTGCATTGCATTTCTACACATTCTCCATTATTCTTAGCTCTGTTCATTTTCCACCCCGAAGCTAGAGGCCAAGATACGGACGAGCAGGGATGTGGAACAAATTCGAGGAAGAGAGCAAAAAGAGGGAGTTCCATTGATCAAGCAGAAGATGGACTCTACACTACGTCGCGTTGCAATTCATAATTAATCTTACCATCGCCAATATGAAAAGACGGTATGCACCTGAGTAGTGCTTGCTTGCGCCTCCATGTGCCGTTGAGAATATCGAACATGGCCGTATTATCAGCGCACCCATCCAGACTGCTGTCGAGAGACGTAGCGACCCCCCGACATTGCTCAACCACGCAAGTCATGCAGGGTATAACGTCCCTTGGCTTCGCTTATAAACGGACGGTTCGGCTAAGCTCAAGCAAGATTGCAACTTTCACAGCTGGCGTCCGTTCCTGGAGAAATCTGCATACTGACCGGTCCGCATCGAAACCGGGCCGGTCGAAGATCGCCTCCAACCTTGCCACCTGCGACTGATACCAACCAACATGATGGCTGGCGCCGTGGGCGACGCGAATCTCGCGTTGGTTCGTGTGTCCATCTCTTTCTTTCTCCCATCGGGCGGGGTATAGACTTACACCAGCTCATTATGGAAAGCCCTATGAGCTTGGTCTGCGATGGAAGGCTTTGCTAGATCCTGGCGGTTCGAGGATGAAGACAGCAGTCCTAGCTAGTCTGGATGGAAGCGCTGGCAGCGTCCGAGGTGGACTAGGTGGGAAAGCCGGTGCGCTCTCAGCGACAGCGCCAGGGGAGAGCTACGAGTGTTCTGTGGCGGCCAAAAGTGGCAGAAGATACGAAGCATTGGCCGGCAGATCATAGGTCGGAGGCTCTGCGTTCTCTCCGGCAGGGCGGCCAGGGCACAGAGAAGGCGTTCCAGTCCAGCAAGGATATAAGTGTAATAATACAAGCCGTTCACAGCAACCACAGCGGCTCCAGCAAGCATCTCCCCATCGGCGCCACTCCGCGGGATACTCTAAGCCGCGCTAGCAGTCTACTGTTGCCTTCCCTGTCCATTCTCGGCTACATCGCGTTCGTCCGTCACGCTATTCCCAAACACCGGCTCTTCACCCAAAGCCTTGACTACTACTATTATGGATCACACAGCGCGGCCGGGGTTCGATCTATCCATCACCTAGGTGAAAGCGGGGCAAGAATCCCAGGTCGCCAGGAGGCTCCCATACACCCGGTCCCAGGCGCCGCCACAAGCGAACCGCCAATGCGGCTGCTTCACCAGATGCTCCAGCCGTCACTCCAGCAGATATAACACGCAATGCTCCAGTTGATGCCCCATCAGGTGCTGCACATAGTGCCCTAGCCGGTCATGCACCCGGCGCCCCGGCGAGTGGCGTGGCCTTGCCAACCACGGAATCTACAAACACAATCTCCGTACCCTCTAGTAGTTCATGTCATTCGGCGAAAAGCCGCCAAAACTTTCATCCTGGGAACGCTATGAAACAGCCGCATACACGCTAGTTATCAACGATGGCGGGGAGGGATAGAAATGAGGTGTTGTGGGGAGAGTGACGTAAATGGATACCCAACAGCCAATAAATAGAACAAATAAACCAGAGAACCAAGTTGACAGCAGAAAGCCGCCGGCAACGCCGTGCTGTGGCAGGGACTCCTCAGAACCAGTATCCTTCCCTTCCATCCGCTTCCTCGCATGATAAGAAGCCAAGCAAACGCAGAAGCTGGTGAAAACACCAACGCCCCCACTCAGGGAGGTGCACCCTGTGTTGGTTCTCGTTCTCGTTCCGTACACCCGTTGCCGGTGTGTTGTTGTTACCGTGCGGTGGCGAAACGGAAGGTGGTTCTGTGTTGTAGGCAACAAACGGGTTGGGCCTCTCGTTGGAGGGCCGGGTCGCCGCGACATGCCGATCGGAGGACGGTAGGGGCCTGGGGCGCACCGAGTTCAAACTTGATGTCCCCTCCCCTTGGCACATTGACCTCTCACTTCAGAACACGATCGAACGAGACGCCTTTGATGACGCCCCCTCCCATAGAGGTTCGGACGTTGCGCTTGAAGCCCTCGCGGTTACTTCGTAGGTCCTCTGCTGCCTCCTTGTTCAAAGGATCTGACGCGTTGGGTTCGAGGAAGAGAAACTGTGACGGGAAGCATGTGTTTCTATCAGCACCGGCGCTTCCGATTTCCCAGCTACCTCAGTTGCCCAACAGGAGCGGGGTCTCACTAACCTGTAGGCCGACAATAACGGCATTCAGGTTCAGGACGGGCTTCCAGTCCTCGCGCAGGATGTTGAGGCAGACTTTGCCCTCTAGGTCGATGTTCGGGTGGTAGATCTTCTGTTTGCACAGAACCTTTGGCGGCTCGTGCGGAAAGTTCTGGTTGATCTTGAAGTCGAAGTCGAAGCGCCCGCCGCGGTACATGCCCTCGTCAGGGTCGATCATCAGGGTGAAGTTGAGAATGTCGTCGGGGTCTGGGAATTCTGTCTTCATGGTAGAGCCGAGTGACAGCTCCGAAAGATCTGGATGACAAGACGCACATGTGTTAGACGGTCCGGGCGAGGAGGCCAGAGCCGGGGAGAGTAACATGCGGGGAGGGCAGAGGACATGAGCAGTCTGCGCGGGTACCACCAACCTTTCTGTACACGGAGCTGTGCGGCTGTGACCTTCTTCTTCTTCCCCCCAGCGACCCCTTCTGCCGTCTCAGCCTTCTGCTGCTCTTTTTTCTGCGGGATCGGCACTGGTGGTTAGCGAGGCCTTGCGTCACGCCACGACACTCAATCTCCGCTCGGGATGCGGACACATCTGTGAAAACGGAGGAAGAGCTCGCGGGGGATACGAACCATGGACCAGATCTTTAACATCTTGACCGAGGTTGCCTATCCCGGCGAGGGGAGCGAACGGGAGGTGATGGATCGAAGATTGACGGCGTGGGCGAGGGCGGTGACCTAGGTAATGACTGTTTGACGGTGAAATCAGGCTCTCGAGAAGCTGCGCGGGAGTGCGCGCGAGGGTTGGGGAATATGTTGGTACGAGGGTCGAGATCAAACCGTTCAGCGCAAAGTCATGGCTCTTCATCTCGCGGGGCAGTACCCGACGAGAGTCCAGCCCAAGTGGAAGCATAGAGTCCAGGCATCCACGCAAAATAGTGGGGCCATGGACCCTCAGGCCCCCACTGACGACACCACAAGAAGACAAGCATTCTGTGGGAGATCTTTCCATTCGATCTGGGACCTGCGAATTTCTTGGGGAGGTACGTGAGGTGCATCTAGATAATGGGGAACCGGTGCCTCAGATTCCACACCATTGGCATTGCGTCACTTAGGTTCTATCACGGCCATCAGAGAATGTTTGCTTCCTTGTCCAGGGAGCCCATTTCCCAAGCTCAACGTCTTTCTCGGCGAACCATTGACGTTCGAGGGTCGTGAACGGCCTGAGACCTTCTGAGCTATGTCCAAGTAGACCTGAAACCGGCGCCCGCCTTTACCAATCCCTCGATAGCCATCACGGCGGGTTCGGCAAGCCTCATATCGAGAAATCCCACAGAGAGTAGCATCATCCGGGCGTCCAAGTGCTTCGAATAGATGCCGACAGACCCCCTAGCGGCCCCGGCAACCTGGGCGAACCGACCAGAAAACGGGCAGCTCGCAGAAGAACCCCGCTAGAAAGCCCAGTTGATCAGAGCTGCCCCTTTACCTCAGGAGACAGCTCTGCCCGTCCTCAGCTGTGCGGCGGGTGGCGGTAACTACCTAGTTAACTAGGCGCATGCCCACCAGGAGGACGGCCGCTTTGGTCAGTGCTCTCGGCTGGCTTGGTGGAGCTGTCGTCAGCCTGGCCATCGCGTCGAGGGCTGCACGGAGCTAGCCAACCAGCCTCAAACTTGCCAGGCAAATTTGAAGCTTGTTCCTTCGGCCACGGACCCGTCAGCAGACTATCCCCCTTCGACCTCCCCCGTCGTCTTTACGCTTTCACAATAGTGTGAATGTGTGCAACATGCATGAAGTTTTAGACGAGCCTGATAGGGGTTGGTGATAACCGCCGAGACTTCAATACAGAATGATATGGAAGAGGAAAGACATGCGAGGGGGAAAAAGCCGCCTTTTGACTAACCGATTCCCAAAGAACTTGGTATTGGAGCAGCAGGGCAGGTCGCCGGAGGATGGATGCTGGTAGTGGGAAACGACACTGCCAGGAATTCGTTCGGACAAAAACGTGTAGAGACTGGGCAAATTACACCTGTTCAATCAAAGGAACCTCAAGATCTCTAAAAGAGCGGCTGTGCTGAAATGGATAGCCTATACCAGAACAAATGCCGCAAATCCTTTTCCAGTTCATTATGCTTGCGTTGTCCATGAAAGTTGAGTTGCGGTGGAAGGAGACCCGGTCTGGTCCCGTGCCGTGAACCCAAGAAGATCAGAAAAAGACACCGCCGCGAGATATACCCCCTACAAACATTCAAAGAATCATATCCATTACCTGACCCTGCTCCAAACGATAGCAGATATCCTATCAGGTGTATTTTCGTTCAAATCTTGCTCAGTTATTCTTCAAAACTCGTCGCAAGATCAAACGAGCCCTAGTTAGATAGGCCCTTCGTGCCCACGCGTCTTTCGGTCGGAGGGCGCTCGACTTGCGACCTCTAGTGGAATGAGTCGCAGTGCCGTGCCCGTCACAACGTCATAATGCACGCTTAACGGCGCGCGATGCAGCACATGATACCGGTCTTGCCCAGGAACCACAGGAATCCAATGAAGCGGATCAGCGACAGGAAAGCCGTGGCAAACAGCAAGAAGCGGAAAAACTGTGCCTGTCTGTAGGTAGCGTCGTTCTTGGTCTATAATATGCAAAGGTGGCTCGATTAGCATTTGTTACAGCCAGTTCGACTTCCGAACTTGAGACAAGGGACAAACATACCGAGAACGTGGTGTCAAAGCTGGGGCTTGTGATCACGACTGCAAGAAGGCAGTTGGAGAACAGCCAAAGGGACACCAGCATGGTACGGAAGGACTTGTAAGAATCCTCGAGGTCCTTGGTCTCCACCTCGGGAACCTCGACGAAGGGGGTGAGGGCACGACGGACAGTAGCCTCGAACTGGCTGTCAATATCCTCTTGCGGCTTGTCGACCTCCTCGACAACGACCTCGTCCTTTTCGCCCTTGGTGATCTGCGCTGAAGGGAGCGCCTCGGCCTTGTCCGAGCCCTTCGTACCCCACGAGACGTCGTGCCAGTTGTTGAAGGCGTACACCATGAGGATGTTGATGTAGGTCGACATCAGAACCATGTAGTAGGGGAACGAGTGGAACATGTGCCACGGGTCGAGGTAGAGGAAAGACGCGATGAAGTATATGCCGTAGATGGTGATGAGGGCAAGGATGATGACGCCAGCAGCTCCCTCGTTGCCAAAAATGCTGTTCATAAAGTCCTTTGCGTTGTCCGTCTTGATCTGTTCCGCGAGTGGCACCTGGAAAGCACGAACGACGAGATAGGCCGATAGGACAATGATGTAGGTCTGGATGAAGCCGAAGACTGCAAACGACGTCACATAGGTCCACTTTGAGCCTTTCGGTCTGTTTCCGAGAGCCAAGATGAACTGGAGGATGACGAAGGTCAGGTAGATGTACTGCAGGACGTTGTTGAAAATTGGCGTTACTTTGTTGCCGAAGGGCCAGGCGTCCGCGGCTTTCGTCGTGGGTGTCCCCGGCATGTGCTGGCCGACGAGGTCCATGATGACCTTGGTGGTGAGCCAGTAGGAGGATAGAGAGAACCAGGTGAAGATGACGTTGAGGATGTTGTAGAGAAGCTGGACATGGAAGAAGAACATGCGGATCAAGTTGTGACCGCTCTTGTACATCCGACCGAAGTGCATCAGGGAGTAGATGGTGGCGGCGAACGATCCGTTGAGCCAGCGACGGCGCTGGCTGATGAACTCAGCGGCTCCCTCGGGCACATCCGTCTCTCCCTTTGCGGACTTGATGTAACTCAAATGCCACTTCTGGCCGGCCTTGGCGACGAGCTCGAAGCAGAGAATACGGTCCTCGGCCAAGAACATGTTCTTCTTGAAGATGTTCATGCCCTCGATACCCTTCTTGCCGAGAATCTTGGACAGGGTGTGATCACCGTGGAAGTACTGCTCCAGCGGGCGGCCCATAATAGCCCGGAACCGGTACGCGGAGAAGGCACCAGGCAAGACGCTAACATAGCCAAAGGAGCTCTCGAGGGGCTTGTCCAGAATGTTTGAGATCTTGTACTCGAAGTTCTGCACGGCCACGAGGGGGTTCAGCAGCTTCTTGCCGCCCTTGCCTGTACTCGAATGGATTAGCATGCATTATTAAGATATGACCTGCGGGATATGGACCATACGAACCAAGCATTGCATGGATCTCGCCGCAAGCACCTCCCAGATCCTTATCGTTGTAAAAACCCTCCCACAGTCCGAGCAGCGACCTCGCGCTGGGCTTGGTACCGGCGTCCAGCAGAATGCAGATCTCAGGGTTGAGGATGCGGCCGAAGGCGTTGAACAGCCAACGGTGCGAGTTGATCTTCTTGCTGTTCTGGGCCTTGAGGCAGAAGATGAATTGGACGGGCGGGAACGTGTTGGGGCCATCGTCGGTGGGGCGGATCAGCTGTTGATTAGGAGTGACGGACAGCTGGGTGGTGTACTCGAAGATGTGAGCAACAGTCTGGTGACCATCAACATCCTTCTTGATGACACCATCCTGGTAGATACCAATGGTGGCCAGGACGTCCAGGACGCTCTTGTCCGTCTTCTCGAGACCGTCAAAAACCAGGCAAACAACAATCTTCTGCCAGGCCGGGCCGCCCTTGTTCCAGAAGGTCGACTTTTTAAGATTGACAATGTCCCGGATATTCTGCATGACACCGTGCAGGGTACGCGACGTCAGCACCTTGTCCTCGTTGTAGTAGGTGATGGCGATCAGCAGCTCCGTATGCCGGTTGTACATGCGGGGACGCAGGTCGTAGCCGTTCTTGAGCGTGAAGTCGTTGGGATCGCAAGTCGCTGCCGTGTAGCGCATCTTGACGAACTCCTCGTTGGTGCCCTCAAGATCACGGTATTTGGGCTGGACGGCGTTCCTGATAGCGCTGGGAACGTTGTAGTCGAGACTGAGAACGGAGCCCTGCACCAGCTTGACTTTCCTGGTCGCGTAACGCTTGAGACCACCGACAGGGGCCTGCTGACGCTGGAGCCAGCTATCCTCGTCGTCATAGGGGGCCGGACCGCCGCCACCGGCACCAGTGCCGAAGCCTCCGCCGGGCTGGTCTGTGGCACCGGCGTATCCAGAAGAAGTGCCATGTTCGTTCTGGAAGGGCGATGGCGCCTGCCCGATGCCGGCACCGGGCCTGGTGGTTGGGGCGTTGGGGGCGTAGGACTCGGTCAAGCTGTATGCGGAGACAGGGCGGACGGGAGGGGTCTGCGTTCCTAGACGGTCGTGGTCATAGGCGGCAGGGCCTTCTCTGAGCAGAGATCGCTGGACATCGTCCTCCTGTTCCTGGCCAGGAGGCAGGTGCATGTTGGAATACTGCAAATCGGACAGGACAAACGTCAGCTAAATGGTGGCCCTCGTACAACGGCGGAAACTGCACTCGAGACTTACCTGGTTGTGGGGGTTCAGATCCTGCATGTTGTGGCCACTCTCATATTCGTTGTTGTTGCCGGGTCCTCCTGGACCTCCAGGTCCTCGGTATGCCATGGTGGGCAGGCAACTCGTGAGTATTGGACACACGCAAACGGTTGCCGATGCTCACCGGTGGGAAGGTGGTGGAGGAGGTTATAGACAATGAAGCTGGTGCCCCAGTCAAGGCAGCAAGCAGCAGTAACAAGCGAGTGGAGGAGCAAGCGAGAGCCCTTGGGTAAGAAGCTGCGCTGGAGCCAGCCGGTGATGGGGGAATCAGAGGAAGGAAACGCAGAGAAAGCAGGCGGTGGAAAAAAATGGAGTAAAGTCCTGGGTCGGGAACAAAGCGAGGCTTCCCAGCTGAGGCGGGTGCCGCCAGGATTATTCCACGCCGTCAAATATTTCGTCTAGCGCAGCAGCGTTAAAGAAGGCCCTTGGTGGGTCTAGCTGGTCCGCTTTGGTGGCCGCCGGGAGCAGGCAGTGAATGGGCGGTAGGGAGGCAGTGCACCCCGCCGTTTGTTGCTGTGAATTCCTGGAGGGATATGGGGAATTATGACGAGGCAACGAGAGCAAGATCCGATAAGAAAAGGATGAGGGCAATCCAAGAGCAAGAAGAAGAAGAGTAGAAAAAAAAGAAACAAGAAAAAATCACGGCAATGAAAAATCCAGCTTGATCGGCGCCTCAGCGTCGGGCGCAGCGGTGGGCGCGAGTGGCTGAGCCAGGGGCCCTACTGGGATGGGAGGATGGGGACGGTGATGGGACCGCTCAGAGGCTGGGAACTGAAGAGAGCAGAGACGGGCGGGACAGTTGGCGTTGCTTGCATAGTATTCGCATCCTTGCCAAATCAGGGCAAGCCGTGTTCCCCAGCCCAGTGCCCAAAGACCGGTTTGGCAGCATACGTCACGGTCGCCCATCCGGACGCTCCTGCCCTGGCACTGGCCCGGCTGCCTCCCCTCCCCCTGAGATGCTGTGGGGCGGCCATACGAGGCTGGAGACCCGTGGTTTCTCTGTCTGGACCCCCTTTGTGGTGCCCCCGTCGCACCCCGTCGCACCCTCACTGTGATCAATATTCATCCCGTTTGGGGGCACGTCTGACAAGAGGAAGCCGTGGAAGCCATCTGGAGGCCGTTTTCGGGCCTGTGCACATCCAGGAGATGCATGTCTGTCAACCGGCCTAGCGCCCTCGTTGGTTTTCCCAATCAACAATACAGTGGGCGGCGAGGGGTTGGCCAGAGAAGCTAATTCTAGCCCACTGCACTCCCGCTGGTGGGGTTGGGCGCGCACAGTGCTTCCCACTTTCATGGGTTGCCAAATAGAGAGCTTTTGTTTGTCGTCCAAGCGACACATCAACGATAAAGATGCATTGGCTGGCACATGCGGTTCTCCCGCGAAGATATCCATCCCAACCACTCCACTTCCCGTCTCCCGCTACCGTCCCATCTCTTGTGAAAGCGTGCAGACAGTCGCACAGTGAGCCAAAATCTAGTGCTTCGGCCTTGGCTGTGTGGCTGAAAATGAGTTGGCTCAGCTTGACTAGACAGTGCGTGCCGCTCCTGGGGAAAATCCCAGATCCGTCATGGTGCTTGGCACGTGCAGACACCGCGTGGATTGCGTCCAAAGTCGACAGATACGAGCCGAACTCCAGTCTTGTCGTGCCACATGCCTGGTGCAACCCGTTTGTTTGTTTTCGTCGCCTATTTCTGTGTCCTTCATTTTGCTTCTTTGCCCGCCCGAAAAGGTACACACCACGGAATCACGAGGGGCCAGCGGCAAAGGCAGCAGGACACAAAGACACAAAAATGGGGTTGCGAGGAAAATCTGAGAGCCCCCGCCGTTGGCCCCAGCGCCGGGTTCTCCTTGGTGGCTTGGGTGGTTCTGGGCGCTCCTGAATCTCTATGATCGGACGCTGCGCTGCATCCCGGTCCCCAAAAATAGCCGACCGAGGCGTTTGGTTGGCTCTGGTCTGCCGACGGATCCAAACGTAAAGGGGTCTTGGGGGCGTAAACAAGCCGTTCCGGGCTGATTCATCAGACAACGTCATTCGGGTTTCGCCTTTTCGTTTGTTCCTCCATCTCTCGCCGCCTCCCAATCGGAAGGATACCTACCTACCTGATGATTCCCAAGCATGCTACCCTTAACCCGTTTGCCCAACGGGACAAAATTGGTCGGACAGTAGAAACGCGAGGCGTGAAAGGTGGATTCTCATACATGTTCGAAAAGACCTCGCAGTGATCGTATCATGCATGTTCCCTTACTTCGGATTTACATCTCACCTCAGCAGTTGCGTGGTTCCCTTACAGCCAGAAAATGTGGCCTGAAATGTGGCCTGGGCGGTGACGGATGGTAAGCCGCGTTCCGAGGGACCTTAGGGCATTGTCAGCCTAATCGGATGTCCTTTTTCGAATGGCAGGTGTCCCTTACCGGCCGAGGCCGGGGCTCCGCGACGGCGGGTATATTTCCCTGACAGCATCGTGTCGTGATGTCCCGGTCGGCTCCTGGCTTGGTGCAGACACCGGAGCCTTCGATCCCAGCTTCCCGCCTTGAAGCCTCCCAAGCCCATAGATATCTTTTGATCCAGCCTCCCCCCCGTCCCGCGTCCCAGTTATAGTGCTGAGATGTTTATGTATCAGTTGCCGAGGTGTTGCCTTGGCCATTGACGGATGGGTGCTGGGAGATCAGTCATTTACCTAGACTCGTTGCATCGCTTCCGTACACCGTCAATTATGGATGGAGGGAGGTTGATGTTGCTGGCTCCCGACAGCACTATCTGCGCTACCTCCAGTTATTCCAAGGTAAATTAGAACCCAACAGGTCCGACTGCATTGCAAGGTACTACATGGTCCTAGATGCCTGCCAAGAATCGCTGGGCTGTCGAGCTCTCATGTTTTTCCGAAGGAATGCTTCATGTAGGTCCAGAAAGATGCCGGGCCGTGTCGTGCCACCCAGGCCGCGCCGATCGGCGTCTTCATTTCGACGGCACGCATGGGACCCCGACACAACTTTGTGATGGAGCGGAGCCGGAACACCCACTTCGCTGGCCGGCTTGACGGCAGTGCACGAGCCTGGCTGGACCGGGTCGGGTCCGTGTCCGCGTTCGTCATCGGAATGGACCTTATTGGCGTTACATGATGCCGTAGTATCTGCTTTGTATGAGGAATGAGCGCGGGGATTGCTGCTCGACTAACGGATCGGTGGGCGGGAGGAGACGGAGCTGGCAGATGGGCCGGGCCAAAAGAGCAATCTCGGGAGAAGGGTCCCAGCCGGCCAATGTGGCGGGTCTCGCATACGATTTGTTCCGAGATAGATTGCGTCCAGCACCCCAGTCCCGGCAGTTTTTCCCATCACTTGGCCCTTTCAATCACGTCCCGACTCGAGGTGCACCACATGCTGCCCGTCGTGTTTTGGTGGCCGCCACGCCCGTCGAGACGAGGGAAGTGCAGACGACGGGCTGGCTGCTTGGGGATCAAAGCCCAGGACGGGATACGGGCGATCGTGTTTTGATCGGGGCGACAAAAGTGCAAACACATGGACGGAAACATGCGCGCAGGTGGCGTTAGGCTAGGGGTAGGTGAGCGCCCAGCACCTCAGGTCTGGGCGCCGATTGGCTGCGAGGCGGCAAACCTGCGAGCGGCGCGCTGTAGTGGCGCCCCATCTCTCACACTGGCGCGGGAATGTGGAACGGTGTCAAATGAGCCAAGAGTCGACGCCGCCAATGCCGAAAACGGGCAACAAGAGCTCATGCAGACAAAGAAAGGATGGACGATGAGAACCCGATGGATGGACGGATCCGTCAGTCGTCAGTCTTCAGTCACTATCGCGACATGTCCCGCCCGAATCGGACTGCAGCGCTGAAGCAACAACGCAACGTCGCGCGTGGCAAGCAGCCACCAGGAACCGCAACTGTAACCGCAACTGTAATTAATTGCGCTGGCTGGGCAGCACGTAGTCCCGTTGCGGAGAAGGGGGGCCCAGAATGCGCATGGGGTTGCGCCAGCGAATGACAGCGCTGGACCGGGTTTCGCTAACGAGGAGCATGTCAGCTCAGCACAGCCCTCCCTGCACCTGCTCTTTTTTTCCAGCATTGAACGCGGCCGGCATGGAGGCTGCTTGGTGGTCTGGCCCAATTGGCGCTGGAACTTGGCTCCTTTCAATGTTCGAATAGAGGGCCCCTGCAACGCTGTTCGCAGTCGCTCACAGCCGCCCCCAGTCGTTTGCCTTGGCACGGTTCCCATGTCCCAGATCCTCGTAGCCCACCCGTTCTCGTCCGTCTTCCCTTTCAATTCTCCCCCTTCCGCCACCACTGCGCCCATCGCCTTGCCAGTGGGCAGCCCAAGACACAAGTCAACAACCAGCGACCGGCACCAACGTCGCAGTTCCCCATCCCGCTCCCGACTCGACCTGTCTCCCGTCAGGCTCTCCTTCTTTCCTCTGTTGAGCTAGCCTCTCAGTCCGCTCGTTTTTCCTTTCTTTCACTCTTTGACCCCGAGCCCGTGGCCAAGCCAATCGCCTCCCCCTTTGCCGATCCCATCGATCGTCCCCCGACCTAGCTCTCGCACGCCTTCGAACCATTCCCCGCGCTTCGCCGGTCTCTTTGGATATCAACGGCGCAGACATCCAGAGGAAAGCGACAAAAAAAAAAAACGACATTTGCGACGCAACGCCCTAATTTTGGTATTCGAAACAGCATTTACATCGGCCGCCAAGGGTTGCTTGCAGGACCAGAATAGCAGCTTCTCCACAGCCCGACGAGCGACGCCTCCCCGATCGACATCGTTGGACTGGTGGGATTAACAGCTGTCGCCGTTGGGTTTGCCGATCACTCTACCATCGACAGAGGCCGCATCAGGTTGAGAAGCCTCCTCTTGGAGCCTATTGCGGGGGCACTATCGTTAGCCCTCTCTCTTGGACGCCGACAACCTCTCGCCCAGTATGGATCATGTCGTCGCGGACGCCGGTGGAGGTGAGTTGTTTTCATGGCTAGTTCCTTTGGCCGGTTCCCCTCGTCTAACTCGGCTTCTCCTGTAGTCCACATGGCGGAACTCTGGCCCAGACAAAAAACCTGTGTTCAATGTCCAAACGCCGCCCCGAAATGTCTCCTTGACTGCGGTACAAACACGGAATGTCAGATCTCAACTCCCAAACTCGATCCGGGCGATCCCAACTGCTTCCTCGAATGCTCAAAGGCGTTCTGCGGCGCCATCGTCAGCACGCCGCCCCCCACGGGGAATACGAACGCGCCTGGTGGCAACAGCGGCGCCAGTGTTGGGCCAATTGCGGGCGGAGTGGCAGGCGGTGTCGTCGCCATCGCAATCGCGACGTATCTGGTGTGGAGGTTCTGCATCAAGGGCAAGCGGCAGGCAATCGATCAAGATGGCTGGAACAGCGAGAAGGACGCCGCCACGATTTCAGGGAACTCGGACTTTGTCGCGAGGAGAGACCAGCGGTCTTCGTCTCACACGGTCCATTCGGTCGCCTCCACCGTCCTCACGAGGGCCTCAAACGTCATCCAGATCGCCTACATCCCTGGCGTCACCAACCGTGCCACGCCCACGTCCCCGACTCTGCTCGTTCCGCCGGTCCCGCCTATTCCCATCTCGCACTCGCAGGCTAGTAGCCCGGTCGCGACCGAGGACCAGCACTTTTTCATGCCCAGTGACCTGCGACCGGATTCAACCTACTCGGCAATGTCGGGCTACACGGACCGCACCTCGTTTGCTCGCACGTCGTACGCTCCCCGCTCCAGCATCGCATCCACCATCTACGGAAAGAATGCCGTTATCGTGGCTCCGGCCCAGACGGGTATGCGCGCCAAGCCGGCCATGGTCAGTGTCAAGTCGACCATGAGCAGCGGCAGCAGCGGCTCGAGCACGCCTCCGGTCCCCAACATCGACTTTGAGAAGTACAGCGCGAGCGCCGCCGGGCCACCGAGCCCGGCCAACAGCACCTTCAGCGTTGGATCCACCTTCTTGAACAACGCGAGTGCCAGCACCGCCATGGCGGCCCGCCCCAACATTGTGCGCGTCGGCAGCGTCTCGAGCAAGAAGCCCGGCAGCAGCCTGGCCAATTCCGTGAGCGCTGGGGACTCTCCCGTTGCCTCGCCGCTTGTCACGTCTCCCGTGTCACCAAGCGAATCTCGCGTCTCAGCGGCCGTGACCCTGATCGAGGATTCACCCCATCCCGACCAAGGCCCCTTTGCCGACCCGCCCAAATCGCAGAACGACAAGAGCAAGCAATCGCTCAATGCGGTCATAGAGGAGGCAACCCGCCGCGCCTCACAACGCTATGTGGGTAAGACGGGCCGCGATGGAAGCCCATTCAGCGATGTGCACGCCACACGCTAACCAGGGGGGTCACTTGGGATTTTGGCATGGACGCGACTGTCGGAAGGATGCCGTATCTGCTGTTTAAATTTTCTGGTATTTACTTACTCGATGGCTCCAAGGCATGGCACACTGCCGCTGCCTTGCCGTAGGGGTCTCGAGATGACTTGATTTATCATTATCTCCTTTTCCCTTTCTTCTCTTCTTCATACCCCCTGTCGGCCTCGACAGTAGAGGTCTTTTTGGAGTGTTTTTTTTTGGACATGCTCACCAAGGTTTATGTCGAGGGCCGGCGTATTTGGATTCCCCCCTTTCAAACAATGTTGGATTTCCTGGATTTGGGTACGCGCCTGGCCGGCCATCTGCCGGCTCCTCGCTTGTTTCTTTGCCCAGTCAACTTCCCTTTGTACACCATTTCTTTCTCAGAAGACCGCCTCGAGCTTAGGTGTCTTGTTCCTATATATGGAAAATAAAACGACCCCATTGCGATGCCCACATGACGCTCCCTTGTCACGGCGTAGCCTCTGCTGATCCGTCTTGGCCGATAACGATGTCTTTGTTGTTCATCACGTGCCAATTGGAGCGTGCTGTTGGTTGGCCGGTGCCAAAGACGATGTATCGCCTTGGTCACATCCTCCATCGCCGTCACTTCCCAACAGCATGGCTACCTGTATGCGCCTTGGCTGAGTACCCAGGTGGTTTGTTGCTGGTACCTGGGTGGTGGTGGCTATCGGTAGGCAGTCGTTCCATCTCGATCGCTCGACAACTCAGCCACGTGCGTGATGTAAATGCAATGAAGGTGCTTATCAGACGTTTGGCCGTCCCGTCGTGCCCGACGCCGAAAGCAAAACCTTGCCGCTCTCGATTCGCCCGTGACGGGCAGCGGTCCCCCTTTCTCCTCCATGGGTCGGCCTTGCTGGCCCTTTCCGCTCCACGTCATCATATATGTCTGCCCGTACATCTGTGTGCTAGGTGGCCGTATCTTCCGTCTTAATTCTTGGTTGAGTCCGCTATTGCTAGACCTAGGCGGTCTGGCATTCGGGTTGTATCAAGGGGTTTGGTCACCACTCTTTTCACATTTCCCGGACCGTGCTTAGTATCTAGGACCTAGCTACCTCATGTTTAACTTTTTGATCAGCTGGCCGGGGAAAAGCACCATGCTTAGGGCTTGAAGCGGACTTTATGATCTGGGCGAGCCACTCTCTTTCAAACTCTTTAGATTTGGGATCTCGCCGCCACCGACAGCACAAAGAATGAGGTTCTTGGATCCGCCTCGTGGCACGCTTGGCCAAGTTGTTGACCAGATCATGTGGCGTTTGTGTTATGAGCCATCACAAAAAAAAAGGGGGCAAGCACTGGACTGCCATGGCCGCCGTGCCCAACAGAGTATCAATGTCGGCCATTTTGTAGGATAGCCAGGCCCGCGATGTTGCTGTCATGTCATGTGTGCACCCGCCAGATGACGGAGCTTGCTGTTGGAGGACTTTGAGCATGAGCATAGACGAGCCGATGGCAAGAAGGAGGTAGACACCCACTGGTCTTGGTGTCGTCGGCTCAGGGCCTTCAAGGCTGGCATGTGATATCCTCCCAACACCTACAAACAGCGGGCTTCCAAGCAGTCTGCGTGGTGGCGGTATAGGACCACCGTTTATTGGACTCTTGATATCATACTGGAGACCCATCCAGCATGAGACTCAGTCTGTCCTGATAGTATGCGAAATCTCGAGAAAAGGGACGTGGCTCGGATATCATGAAATGAATCATCGTCGCAAATACCGGACGAGAGTGACACCCGCCACCCCGGGCTGGACTCTGGTGGAGGCTCCGAGGCCTTTGTAAAAAAAAAACCAAAAAAAACCACAGATGGTATCTCTCTCATCTGCATTCCTCTGGAGGTGATGATTAGAGGTCGAGGGGTTTGTAATTTACGGCAAGATGCAAAACCGGGAGACTTCCAACATGTATCCAATGGCCCATAGTTTCCTAGTTCATGTGGCCCGGGACGGTCCGGCCGAAATAGAAAGCATGTCCGGCCCCGGGCCAGTGCGGTCTAGAACTGCGCAGACTCTCCCAAAGTGCCACGAGCATAGAGCATAACTTCCCCAAGCCAAGCCGGAAAATAACGTGGGATCTCCCAGCCTCGTAGGGCATTTCCACGTGATGGGGGGTTTTTTTTTCTTTTTTTCTTTCTCCTCCTCTCCGCTTTAGGTATAATACCGTCGATGATATGATAAAGAAGTAACACATATACCCCCTACCTTGAAACAAGTCGCCCTGTCATGGAGGGGAAGCTTGGGGTTTACACAGTACGGATGCCATGGCACACGCACACGCAGCGAAACGACCCAACTGGCGGACATGCAGGAGGAAGCGCAGTCATGCCGGCCAGTGGAAAAAGGCGCTGCCCCCCATGATCACGAAACCGACGAGGTATGTACATGAATATCGGTGGGGAGGGTCGCACGGCTAGCGGAATTTGAAGGGCGTGTGTGTGTGTGTGTGGCCTGACACAGGGCTCGTCCCTCTCCTACATAGGTACCTACCTATCTGGATCTGATGGAACGCAGCGCGCGATGCTACCTTGATAAGCGGCCCTCCGGGAGGCCTCGGGAGGAGGTGGTGGTGGATGACGCCTTGAACGGTTTATGCCGCGGGTCTCACGGCAAATAGGAATACGATATCCGACCATCTCACCCTGGATAGACAAGACCGCCCAGGAGAGCATCTCGGTAGGTACCTCGGTACGCAGGGGTTGGGTCTTGGAGCGGCCAACCACAGAGAGAGGGACACGACACGGAGAGGGCATGCATGCAAGTAAGAAAAACTGGTATTTCCGGTCATACACAAGCAAGCACGGTGAGCATGACAGAAGCACACTCGCTTTGTAATGCCGGTGGCATGGCACACGGCAAAGCGGATGTGGGATGTGGGTTGTTGGGTGGCAGCAGGTGTGCGGTCGCAGTTGCGGTTGCAGCGCTGTGCAGTGGGTGTTGGCAGCAAAAGCCCACAGGGTTCACTGAAGGATGAAATCAAATGCAACGCGGCAGGGCAGGGCCATGGGTGTCGAGGGGCGAGGGGTGTGTGTGTATGTGTGTGGCGTGCGCATGATAAACGGAAATAAAAAGGAACGAGATAAAATGGGGACCGGTGCCCAGCAGCAGGTGCTGGGACCCCAAAAGGGCGCATTATCAGTACCAGCCGGCAGACAGAGAACGTGGCTGTGGAGGCTCGACGTTGTACCGTACCAGAATGTCAGAGCCATGCAGAGACCAGGGAGGTGCAGCCGAGGAGGGATGGACGAAACAAAAAAGAAAATGGAAACACAACCCAGCCCGTCGGCCCTGCTGGTGGGTTTCCCAGGCCCAGAGCGGGCTGCCCCCGGTCGGTAAGTTCCCAAAGACGGACACCGAAGAGAGAGCCCAATCCCAAGAGTAGCGAGAAGGCCCAACCCAGCGTCAATGCCGTCCACGTGGGGCGAGGAATAAGAAGGAACCAAAGAAAAAGGGATAAGACAAGATACAAAAAAAAAAAAAAAAAAAGGACGACGGAATAACCTCACGAAACCGGGAATAAGAGCCCCCTGATTGGCATCCCTGCCATCCATCCATGCACCGACTGCAGATTGCCATCCATCGATGCGCTGTTGGCAGCAAGTGTCAGCACCCCTCATGAGAACAAGAAAAAAAAAAGAAAAGAAAAACACCGACGCCCGCTTTTGACGTGTGGGGGGGTAACGGGGAACATCACCCGCCTCTTCCGGGGCCACCGTCAGCCAGCTCCAGTAATCCGCATCGAGAGGCCCCAAGCAAAAAAAAAAAAAAGAGAAAAGGCCAAGGCTCACAGTTGTAATAAAACGAGAAAACGGGCGTAGCCGTCGGGCGGCGGGGGGCATTGTCCTCTTCTCTCTCTCCCCTAGGCGCATAACAGCGGTGTGTGCGATGCGCCGGGGGGTCCCGTTTTGCACATCCGAAAACCCCCGTCGGGTTATTTCCTTGCCCTCTTACTCCCCGAAGAGGAGAGCGGTCATCAAAACGCATGAATGAACGAATAAGAGTCGCAAGGGTTTTCGGGAGAAGGTTCTTTTGGATAAGGCAGCATGGGGGAGAGGAAGGAGAGAGCAAGGACGCAAGGCAGGGCAAGCACTCCGGGCAAGCGGAACGGTACCACGGATCAATTGAGATGGCGAGGGCACCGGTCGACCCCCCGGTAGGAACAAGGGGAAGACCGGCCGTGTCTCTCTTCCTTCGTATTTTTGTCCTTTCTTTTCCTTCTCCCTCCTTCTTTTTTTACTTTTCTTCTTCCCTCTCCCAAGGGGTCGGGGGACCACTTCGCGAGCGGCCGGACAAGGGGGGAGGGGGGAGGGGGGCGTGTGTGGGTGGGCGCTGAAGAGAACCTAGACGATGCTTGGCGCCGGCAACAGCAGTAGCGGCCGACGTGATGCGTTGCAAAAGGTAAGTTAAGCGGCAGTCAATCCGTCAGTCAGTCAGTCAGTTAGGCAGAAAGAATTAAAGACAAAAGACCACTGCTCCCAAATAATGTCATGCAGAGAAAGTTTCCGCACTAGGCGGGGCGGATTACAGGTAGGCAAACGACGCCCCCGTCTGGGAAAGCACGACGCCTTGCCCTGCCGCCACCCGTCGCATGTCGCATTCAGTTCTGCCCCCAAGTCATGGCCGTGTCCTCGGGTTCGCATTGCTGCAGCCTCAAGGCTGCGTCAGATTCGCCCTACTTACTTTCTGGGCCTTGTTCTCTCGCTTCTTATTCGGTCCAGTGTTTTTTTTTGTCTTGCCGATACTCTTTTTTTTGGCCCAAGGCCTGGGGTGTCCGAATGGGGAAAATATTTCGCAAAAGCGTTTTTGTTCCATTTTTTTTTTTGTCCGCGCGTACGATACACTCACGGGAAAAGTGATAAGCAACTCCACGAGAACACTCAACTCCGCTCTCAAGCACAAAACAAGGCGGACGGGCCGGGAACGCCCGGCATAATTGCAAGACGGACGCCCAAAGACCAACCCAGCGTGCCCAGCCTCCCCTTGGGGACGTGCTCATCAAACAAACACCTAACCCTCGTCCGGGGCACGAGCCTCTCTCCCTCGCTTCACCTATCCCTCGACAAGGCTGTGTGGGCGGTTGTGTGTTCCGGTGGCTAGGCACGTACGCATGCCATTCTGCACAGACGCCCATGTCGAGTACAAAAAAGAAAAGAAAAAAGCTACTTTCCGACCCTAGGTAGCAAGAAAACAAGCAACAACGGCGCAAAACGCAAACCACAAGCCAATCCTACCCTCTTGACTACGAAAATAAAACGTCACAACGTCAAATAAAATTAAAAAATGATTGCAAATAACGATCAGTGCGTCCCCCCTCCCCGGTCACCGTTTGTCACAGCGGCGGCAAGGCCAAGCCGCTAGGTTAATACGCGAGCCCTTTGCCCGATGCAGTTAGCCTAGTCGAAATGCTTGCCCCCTTTTCTGGCAACAGCCCCGGCCGCGCAGCCCGGGGTCGTCATCGTGGCCTTCATATTCTCGACAATCCATCAAAGGACTTGCTCTCGAATCCAGGCACATCGCCGACCGGTACCAGCGACATACCGAGGCAGGGCAAGTACCCAGTAACGGCCGCCGGCCATTCAAGCTCATCGGACCGAAGTTCCATGGCGCCGAGAAAAAAGCTTGCGATGCATGCTGATCACGTGAACCCAGCCGGAAATTTTTGCAGGAAATCATCGTATTGTCCCCGGCCTCCTCCCGCTTGTCGAAGCCATCATCTATAGTATACGGAACGTGCCCCTGATTGCATACCCACCGGCTTCCCCCATGCTGTCGAACAGAGATACGCCCGCATTGCAGACCGCTCGCTCCTTGTGCCCATGCTCCCTTGAGTTCCCGTGCCCTTCTGCCGCATGTAATGCAACCCCTGCCCGTCCAAGACCAAACCGCCTCCTGCAAGCAGTTCGCCACTGTGGTGGTGGTACCCAACAGCCGAGTAGCCCCCTGACGTCCTGCCCAACAGCCGCGACTAGGCAGAATCCATCAGGGCCTTGGGCGCGCTGCAGGGACGTTCCCGATCATGGACGAGGCAAGTGTTTCCCTAGTCAAAATGCAAAAGAACCAAAATGATATCGGCCAAGAAGAAATAAGGGTTGAAAAGTAGAAATAAGTAGCATGAGCGTAGTTATAGGGAAATAAGATGAAAAAAAAAAAGCGAGGTGGGGTAAGAAAAAAAGCGCAGTTGCAAGTTGGGTCACACAGCTGGAAGATAGGTCGCAGGTCGTGATAAAACATCCAGACTCCGAAAACACCAGGTAGCCAAGCCAGGTAGAAAACCGTTGCCATTCAAATTCTTTAAAGTTAAATATGGCATAAAATAAACCGTGTGGTCGACATCGGGGAAGATATTGGGTTAGATAGGTTGGTAGGTGAAAAGATGTCTGCGCCTGAAGTGAAAAGTGATGCCTCGCGTCGTAACTTTTATTGTGTTTTTGGTGGTATCGTACGCCATTCGTCGCCGGCCGTCAAGGCCAGAAAAATGCCATCGTCAACAGGTACCTCGCTTCCGGGCCGAGGATGGATCGGGAACGAGCAAGTGAGCTGCCGTGTCGATCGTTCGGAAGTCAAAGATGCGCGACAACCGAGACGATCCGAGCGTCTCGCCTCGTCGGCCATTTCTCGCAGAGACCGATGGGGGTTTGAAAGCCGGCCAGATCGGGGAAGAGACATCAAAGAATCCCGGAGCATGCGGCTTCGCCCGTTGGCACAGTCTAGCCCAGCTCAAAAGCCTTCTGGCCATCTGCCGTGATCCGAGGGCGAACAGGGCAGCCGTGGCCTTGAGTAGAGCGCCATTTCAGGTCCCACAACCACCCAAGACAGGTCCCCGGCCCAGGAGACGAATAGGTTCGCCGAGGCGAAGCGGCGTATTTGTGTCATATGGGCCATCGAGAGGGTATGAATCAAAGGATGACACACTTGATAGCCTGCTTTTTTGGCTTGTTCTCCTTGCCACGATGGGAGCCCCCTTTGTCGTAGCTGTCGTACCGGCTGCTCTTGGAGGTGTCGTTGGTCTTGGTGCGTCCGCCGCCGGGCATGGGCGGGCGGGCGGCCTGCTGGCGTTGCCGGCGCAGGATCCTGACAACGTCGTAAAATGCCTTCTCGACGTTTATACAGTTCTTGGCCGATGCCTCGACGAACTCACAGCCCAGCTCGCGCGCGAGAGCATGACCTTCTTGGGTCGACACCTCGCGCTCAGTCACACGATCGCTCTTGTTCCCCACCAGCATTATCGGCACAGGCGTCGGTACGTTGGGGTTGGACATAGGCGAGCCGGGGTATGAGGGTGACGAGGCGCACGACTCTTTTACCCTTTGGATCTGGTGGTGGAACCTCTTGATGCGTGAGAAGGACGACCGTGACGAGATGCTGTATACCAAGACGAAGCCCTCGCCGTCCCTTATCCACTGATCCCGCAGTGCCGTGTACTCCTCCTGACCGGCCGTATCGAGCACCTCGAGCATGCAGGCCTGGTCATCTATCACAACCTGTTTCCGATACGAGTCCTCAATCGTCGGGTCGTACTGCAGATTTCACTCGCCAGGTCAGCCGCCGCAATTATGTAGCCAACGATAGCCGCAGTAGAGGGGCAAACATGGAGAACATGAATAGAGGGGCCGATGGGCCGGGACGGATTTAAGTGGGAAGCACCGGGCCACAATGGAGCGAGCGCAGTTCGAGGGGCACGAGGGACTCAGCTGGCCTGTTTTGCCGCAATGACATCGACTGCTAGGGGCTTGTGAAGGTGTAGGTACTTGGAAGAACAGGCTGAGTCCGGAGTGGTTGATGATGTTGATGCTTGTGAGGTGATAGCTTCAGGGGGTGCCGGAGTAGAGAAAGTGACAGAAGCATACTGAAAGACGAAGCGGAAGAGTGGTCGAGACAAGACCAAAAAGAAAAAGATTGTCAACTCACGGTTTCGACGAAGTGTTGTAGACATAATTGGATAGTTAGAGCGGTTTTGCCAACACCGCCATCCCCTAGCACTACCAGCTTGTGAAGCTGCAACCTTCCAGTCATGGCGAAACTGAGGAGGGGAGCACCTGTATTGTCGAGACAGTGCAGTTGTTGGAGAGCGAGAGACGGAACGAGAGATGGCAGAGCGTGCGAAGATGAGGGGGCTCAGCAGGTCTGTCGACGGAAATAGGGAGGTTTGTTTAGGGAGGCGGCGGAACCCGTCGGGTGAGCCAGTCGTCTTGAGCTGCGTAGAGCGTCGGCGCCTTTCCGGGTTGCGTTGCAGGATGCTGTTTCGGCGGCAAGAAAAAGAGGCGGTTTCTTCGATTGACAGAGCTGATTCAGAGTTGGCTAGTAACACACACACACACACCACACACGTACACCCGATGGGAGCGAGTAGGCGCGAGGGCGGGTCGGTCGATGGCGAGCAGGCGAGATGGATCAGAGTGGGTTGGGGCGGCGGCGGCGTGTTGGAGCGAGGAGGGAGCTGCCAGTTGGGAGGGATGCACAACCAAGGCAACAGGAGAGAGGGAGGGAAATGATGACGAAAGGGAGTTGTGAATGCCCCGGGTCGGTTGGAGGGTTGCGGAACAATCAGAGTTTGTTGGTTGGAAGGGCAGAGCTAGCGACACAGGGCGATATGGCAGTGTGCCAAGAAGAAGGAGAGGATGGGCCTGGGACGAGAGCTGTGTTGTTGTGGTTATGGTTGGTGGTGGGAGAGCAGAGCAGGTGGTGGTGGAGGAGGCAGGCGATTGATGAGAGGCGGAGGTCGGCATGGCATGGCCCAATTGTGATTTCATTTGCGCAGAGGGAGGGAGGAGACCTGGTGGCATGGGACGCCCTTGCACCCTGCACAGAGCTCGAGTGGTGTCGGGCTCCTGACAGTGCACACGCTTAGCAGACATGCAGCGGGCCAAAGAGCGAGCGGGCCAAGCAATAATCGGGTCCGGCCAATGGGAGCGGGCACTGTGGGCGAACGAGTGGGCGTGCGACATGAAGCGAGCACCGCACTGCACCGCAACGAGCCTGATCGGCCGCACCCCATCGACGAGGGCACTGCAAGGAGCTGCCAGAGCCCGCCGCGCGGAGGACGGCAGGTGGTTCCAGGGCCAGTGTGCGAAGCCCCACCGCGGCACTGTGCTCTAAGGAGCACCTGGGCCCGACCGACGGGCGCACCTGCCTTCCGGCTTGCCCTTCTTGTTGCCTTTCAAGGGAGTCGCGATTGAAGCCCATGCAAATTGAGCTCCTTTATGCCCATAGTCGCGCCGACCCGATACGTCCTACACGTGGAGGCTGGCGACTGAAAATAGTTGTATTTGTGTTTTGGGCTTCTTGGGTTCAATCTAAATGCGCACTCTTTTTTTTTCTTTTTCCCTCGGACATCGCATTCTCACTCTCACACTAACAGGCGGAACTTGCCTACCACCTGGAGGTGGGAAGCTGCCCCTAGGTAGTATGTCCTAGTCGACAACGCCCTACCGCCCACCACTAAAGATTTGTCGTCTTTTTAGCTCGGGTAGATGTCCACCCACCCACCCGGCGCCCTGGTAGCCCTCGAGGCCCTCCCCACGCGCGAGGTGCTGCCTGCTATGCGCACAACGAGGACAAGCTGCACAGCGGCGAAAAGGCCGCGCGACCGAGACAATAGCATTGATCCAGATCGCGAATGGGAGGCCGCTGTCGTCGCAGTATCGTCGTGACTGGCTGGCTAAGTTCTGGTTAGATGATCGGTGTGCTGGTACCTACGGTAGGTACATGGCTCTAAGTACCTCCTGGAACGGCGAGTCGAGCTCCCTCTCGCGCAGTCATTTTAGTTGTCAGCTACCAAACACGGGCTAGACCCATTGGGCCTCCTCGATGGTATGTAAGGATATGAGGTGTCTCCTCTATGCGACCCTTCCCTCTGGCAGGTACAGTGCGTACACCTAGTGAATGAGGCAAGCGACCAGTCTGGATGGTGCCGTTGGAGCTCGCATTGAGGTAGCATTCTGAATCCCACCGTCACAGCGGCTTTGTTTCTTTCATTTTTCTTCGTTTCTTTTTTGCTCTTAGCGTCCCCAGGTATGGACGCCCCCAATCTTTTCCTCGCCGGTATCGATCCTCTTGTATGATAGAGGAAATGAGCGTTTCCCGGTCCCTAGACCCCCATTGAAACATCAGATGTGCGCAGCAGCGGCCCAGGGTAGAGTATTTGCTATTACCTACAATCAATGGGCCCGTCCACTGTACCTACAACGTTCCGCGCCGCAACAAGTCCCGGCCGACTGCTGCCAAGGGGACCGCCCTCTGCTAGGCGCACTAGGGTTGGTTGCCAAGGCTACATACACCTCGGAGCACAGAAATGCGTGCCTGGCAGAGGCAGAGGTACCTACCAGACCAGGTCTGCCTGGAACCAGGCACCCTCCCTAGGCCCTGGGTATGCTGTGGCTCCACCACACGCCTGGCTTGTCGGTAGCGTGATCTGGACCACACGTTCCAGGTTTCGTTTCTCTTTGCTTCTCCAGTTTTTTCGGCTTGTTTTCCCTCCATTCCTCTCTCTTGCCGGTCCTGTTTATTTTCCTCGCTTGCATCATCAACCAGGACGACAGGCTGCGGCGGCGGGGACCTAGACAACAGTCGGCCAGGTCACGGAGCCGCTACCCTCTTCCTCTCTCTCTCCCACCCCCCAGAAGCAAGCAAGGCTTTCCCATGTGATCGAAGTTGGGGTGCAGAGAACTCTGGGACTTGGAAGAGAAAGCACGGACGCAGAGCGGGATCAGTCCAAGCGAGCCGGCCCAATGGGTGGGCGCACGCACACGTCGGGCGCCTGTGGGCTGGTTCGCAGTGTGTGTGGCGGTTCAATTGGAACAGGAAAAATAGATGGGATTGTGCACAGATCAGCTGCTGGAGGCGGCGTACAAAGCACGGGCCAGTAGGCAAAAACAAAAGCAGGAGCGGACGGGCCTATCGATGGTCCGTGGGGGGGGATTGGCAGTCAGGGCCAACTCGCCCGACAATTGACAAACAGAAAGTTGCGCGCCTGCCTGCTGTTGCTGGCTGTGCGGGGTCAGGCCCGTGCCGGAAATTCCCACGCAAACGGCGCACGCACTTGGACCGTGCGTCCTACCCGCCCCCCAGCTTATGCACAGTACCTGTAGGCGGGTGGGTTTGGGTGCTACGTACAGTACAGCACAGTACAATTGTCGTGCGCGAGTAGGGGGGAGGGAGTCGGAGGGAGTCGGCAGGCCGGGTTTTCTGCGCCGCGATGATTACTCCAGGCGCGTTGCTAGCTGTTTGGATGAGCGGCGCGAGGTGCGTGCGTGCATAGGTAGGTAGGTAATGTAGACAGACGGATGAATACCAAAGGTAGGTACATGTAAGCCGCGAGGGCGCGTGCCGATCTGGAGAAAGAAAGGATGATTGGCAGCCTCGGTTGGCGCGCCTCGGCGGCGGCGGCTCAAGCCCCAACGGACTGGGCGTTTTTCTCTCCCTCTCTCTCTCTTTTTCTTCTAAGGCTTATCATCGAATCAACTGGCCCTCTTTCCAAATCATGTTCCTCGTTTTTTTTTTTGGCACCTTCCTTTAGCCGTACGACCTCGTCTGGCACAGAAAGACCGGGGCCTGGGTTCGATGGCAGCTGGCTGGCGGCATCCCGATCCGAGGCGCGCACCGGCACAACGTGGGCGGGCTAGCAAACTGGGCTAGGGGGGGGGGGGGGGGGGGTGTGGGTGAGCCTGGAGCCCTGCCCCGGAGCTCACTCCGATTCCCTCGCGCAATGGCCGCGGCCCCCTCTCAAGAAGAAAAAAAAAGAAGAACAAAAGGTGATACCCCTGGAAAACGGGCCTGAGGGGCCAGCAATTCGTCGGGTTTTCTTCCGCCTTGAACAGAGAGGAGTCGCGCCGCGACCATTCCTCCCATGCAAGGGGGGAACAACGTTCTCTTCCGTATGGAGCAGGACCGGCGGGCTTTCCTAGGGCACGACGATATGCAGCACGGAGGTGTCAGGCAAAAGTTTTCGCCGTGGGGCAGGTCGCTCCCGAGGTGAGGCAGGGGGCCGGGGTATGCCACGACCAATAGCAACGCATAAAAGCTCATAAATCCACATATTTTTACAGCACTAGACTTGTAATTGACTCTGGAAAATGTATAAGCTAGGCCTTATTTGGTAGGAGCTGAACACGCACCCTGGTCGATACATGCCCCACGGCGAAAACTTTTGCTGAGACCGCAGCTTGGCGTCTGAATGACGGGTCGAAACTGGCCGCCGCCGCACCCAAAGCCTTCGGTAAACAGAAAGAGACCGACGCATTCTTTGCATCTGCCGTCGCTTGTCTCGCTGTTCCCTTCCTAACTTATTCAGGTGCATATGGTGTGTTGGAGTGAGTGCGTCGCTCTCCCTCTTCTCTCTCACTTTTTGGGAGAGAGAGTGGGCGTGTGGAACCGTCGGAACCCCGGGATGCAAGAGGCCGTTGGTGCTGGTGCCGTGTGCTCCTTCTGGGCTTGTTCTTGCCAGGATTTGCAAGCGTGCAATTTAGACTCCTTCCCTGGGGAGGCTGTCTGGTACCCTTCTGCGTTCCGCCGTTGGTTCTTCCGACGAGAACCGTGGTCTTGGGAGGGTTTCCGGTTCCCACACGACAGGGGCAGAAAACGAAAGGACACAAAGCAAGGGCTTGCGTCCTTCAAAAGATGTAACAAAACACAGCCCGGTAACACAGTCAACAGTTCCCCCCCCCTCACAGTTTGCTACATGAAATGGCCAGGCGCTACGCGTTCGGTGACCTCTCGATTCGACCCGTCACAAAAAAAAGCTGCCGCGACGCCCATCGCGAATCAGACCCTGCCCTCGCCCTCCACCGCATCGGCGACCAGATCACTCCAAAGATTGGGGAGAGGTGGTTGGCTAGGTGGTTTACCTACGTGCCCTACCCAAACGATACGAGCCGGGCGGGGGCGGCTAAAAGGGAGGGAGGCATGGTGCTAGCGCCTGGCCGGAAGCGAGGCCGGCCACCTTTTCGCTTTCGCGCCCTTGCAACAGGCCACCAGGATTTCCATGTCAGAGTGAGCCCCAACAGTCCTGCCGCCCATCCTTCTTCTCTGCCTCCAAAAAAAAAAAAAAAACCGGTAGGGGGCGTGACGAAGCGGCAGTTCTGGTCGAGGTGTGTGCGCTCTCGCTGCTGGTAAACCCACCAACCTCCTCCTTCCCCCGACTCCGGCGTCGGGTCTGTTCCGGCCAGGGCGGAGAGAAGGCCAACTTGCGCCAGGTCCAGCTTGTCAAACGTTTCCGCATCCATGGCGTGGGGGCCCGTGTTCCACTTGGTTCGTTCTTCAGCCACGAAGGAGATGAATGAATGCAAAAGGCCTACTAGTATGCCCATGCACAGGCCTAGCCAACCGCCACCAGTTGCCTCGGCCTGGCTGGCCTCGATGTCAAGTGACGGCGCCAAGGGCCCCCGATCGGCCTTGTAACACACGTCGGACCTATCCAAAGTCCGCCTCCTCGCACTACCCAACCGTCGTGCCGTCCTGCTTGAGGTCTGATACAAACGACCAGGCCGATGCGGCACCAACCTGGCAGCATCGGCTGGTTCCGGGTGGGGTAGGGCTGGTGGCGCGTTTGAGCAATCAGAAAATCGCTGCTTGTGGTCATAATGTGCCTGTGATATAATGCTATCAAACGAGGGAAACAACCCCCGCAAAAATGACTATGGTAAAGAGCTAACGAGGACAGCCTGCCCGCCCGCCCTAAATCGGCACAGGCGTGCCCTCGCCGAGGAGGCTCACGAGCGACGCCAGCTCGATATTGCCCCCGCTGAGCACGAGGCCGAGGTCCCAGCCGTCGGGGCCGGCCTCGCGCTCGACCATGGCGCGGAAGTCCTCGTTGAAGAGCGCGACGGCGAGTCCGACGGCGGCGCTGGGCTCGACGACGAGCTTGAAGCGCTCGAGCACGAGCCGGAGCGCGGCCCGGATCTCGTCCTCGGTGACGCTGTATATGCGCTCGACGAGCCGGCGCTCGTACATGACGGACCACGGCAGGGCGCCGACGGGCGCGCGCAGGCCGTCGGCGATGGTCAGCGATTTCACGGCCGTGACGCGCACGCCCGTCTCGAAGGACCGCTTGGTGTCGTCGGCGCCCTCGAACTCGGGCTCGGCGCCGAAGACGCGCACGCCCGTGCCCTCGTACGACAGCGCCACGCCCGAGAGCATGCCGCCGCCGCTGCAGGGCGCCATGATGGCGTCCAGGGCGTTCTTCTTGCCCACCGGGCGCCGGTACGGCCCGTCGGTTTCCGCCGGTCTGGGGATGAAGTCACCGCCCCCACCCCTGCCGCCTCCTCCTCCGCCTCCTCCTCCTCCTCCGCCGGCCATGAGGCTCGCGACCTGCTCCTGCATCTCGAGCCCCAGCGTGCCCTGGCCCAGGATGATGTCCGGGTGGTCGTAGGGCGGTACGTAGCGGCCGCCCGTCTCGGCCACGACACGCGCCGCCACCTCCTCGCGCTCCTGCGACGTGCTGCCGCTGAAGTAGACGGTGGCGCCCAGCGCGCGCGTCGACTCGATCTTGACGCGCGGCGTGATGGTCGGCATCACGATGTGCGCCGGGATCCCCGCCGTGCGCGCCGCGAGCGCGATGGCCTGTGCGTGGTTACCTGCCAGGGCAAGGGGGTTTCTCTTTTCAGTCTAGAACCTTTATGGTTTGGTCTATACCAGCCCAGACGGGCATTTTGCCCAGGTGGGGATTTTGTCCGGAACAAAAAAAAAACGAAACCAAAATGACACCACTGGGGATCCCGTCTCACCATCAGACCACCACTGGCACCCTACCACCTGGCTTTCAGATTGCCGGGAAACCAGGCCGATATTGCCACGCGCAAACGCGGCGCGTACAGTGTGAGCGGGTGCTGCAGTCCGGGGGTGAAGGGGATTCGGCCGGAAAGGTCCGCAGTAAGCGACCCTCGCCTTGTTTCTCTTTTCCAGCATAGATAATCTCCACGCCAGACCAGCCCTTGGCAAAGTTGGGGAAAGCGTGGGTGGGTGACATGGTGGGTGTGAGGGAGGAGGGGCACGCGCCCCCGCATGTCCGGCTCAGGCCAGAAAAGGAAACGGAATCATGGGCGCGCACATACAGGGTAGGGGGGGTGTGCGTGTGCGAGTGTTCCGGGTCGCTTCATATCAGCTGGAAGCGGCAGGGTCGCTTAACCTCTGGCGAGTCAACGTGCTCGCGGCCGACATGACCGGTGAGTGAAGGAGTCGAGGGACAGGGTGAGATTGCGGTGTGCATGATATAATCTTAGGTCGCATGTAGGTACCAAGGGAAGTGATGGAGTGGGAGTCTGTGATGGATGGATGGAACGTGACGTGTGATACAAAAAAAAAAAAAAAAAAACTAACTCACCAGAGCTCGCCGTCACCAACCCGTTCCTCTTCCCCTCGCCCTCGAGCCAGCCGGGCACCAGCTTGAGCCTCTCGAGCGCGTGGAAGGCGCCGCGGGCCTTGAAGGCGCCGATGCGCTGCATGTTCTCGCACTTGAACCACAGCCGCATTCTCGGCCGGGCCGGCTCGCGGGGCCCGCCACTTCCGTCGGCCGCCTCGGCCCATCGCGTGCCCGCTAGCTCCCGCGGCCGCGACGCCAGCGCCGTCAGCGTCGCATTGGTCAGCACGGGCGTCCGGTGCACGAACGGCCTGATGACCTCGTGCGCCGCCTGCACCGACTCGCGCGTGAGGGGGAGGCAGGTTGATGGGTCCGCCATTGCTAGGGAGGAGGAGGAGGGAGTCTTTTTGCGTTTTTGCGTTTTTGCGTTTTTGCGTTTTTGATGCTTGTCCTTTTTTGGTCTTTTGGCCCTCTTTCTTACCCCCTGGTTGGCGTAGAGTTGTCGGGCCTCGCACTTGTTGAAGAGGGATTTTGATGAATGTAACAGAAGGCTGCATGCAGCTCGCCCCGGCTTTCTCAGAGTGTCGATTGACCGGAAAGAAGGCCGCTTTAATACGAAGCCAAACCTCGCGGCAACTTACTCTCGAACCACGCACCACCTGCCATGTCTGTCATTGGTCGGCTTTTTATGCCGTCTTGTGACTCGCGAGTTGCCGAACACTCGGCCTTGTCAGCTCCAGAGCCCGAACTGTGAAACTGCTTCGTTTTCAACATGGCGGCTTTCCGGGTGCGTAACTTCAACGGCGATGCGGGCGCTTGGCCGACGGGTGGCCCTGCAGCGAAGATGGCCACTCGGCGTTCCAAGAATTCGCCGCCGAGTGTGGGGGACGGTCCCCCCCTTTTTTTTGCTGCTTAGTATATGATCGGTAAGCCGCCCGGATGCATGTAAGTCGGGTAAATAGTGCAAAAATACCCCGAGCATATCACGTCAGGCTTTGGCCGAAAGGCACGCATGGAATATTGCTTTGGAGCGTTCAAGTCTATCAAATCAGCGGATAGCTATGCATGAGTGTTCAGCCTATTAGATGACCTAGATGTTATGAGGAAAAGTAGATATCAACGGGGTAAGGTGTAAAAAAAGTAAACGGTAAATAATAAATCACTAGCCCTCCTTGAGCTTCTTGTCCATCTCTATCCTCCACTTGCTCGAATACCGCCCGAGCGACCAGACGGCAACCGCGCCGACGACAAAGGTCAGGACTGCGACGGCGGTGCACAGCCAGCCGACGCCCATGACGTTGAGCAGCGGCTGCGCGACGACGGTGCCGACGCAGCTGAAGATGTTGCGCACAAAGTTGTTGACGGCCACGCCGGCCGACGAGCGCGACGGCATGAACTCGGTCAGCATGGTGGTGGCGGCCCCGAACACGAGCATGCTCGCGAAGCCGAAGAAGAAGTTGGCCACGCTCGGCGCCGCCACGTGCGCGCCAAAGGCCGCCGTCCACCCGAACCAGACCAGCGAGGCCGGGCACAGGACCGCGGCCAGCCACGCGTTCTCGCGCATGCGGTCCTCGGGCAGCAGCACCAGGTTGCCCGCGGCATCGAACCGCCCGGCCCGCCTCGCCTCGCGCGCCATGATGCGGTCGATCCAGCGCCCGCCCGCGAGCGAGCCGACGATGTAGCCGACCGAGGCCGGCAGGTAGAGCAGGCCGAGCACCAGCTCCGGGTACCCGTACGGCGGGCGCGCAAAGGTCGACTGCACCGAGATGTTGAGGATGAAGAGCGCCCCGAACGTGACGGCCGCGTACATGACGGTCAGGGCGACGGGCATGAAGCGGAGGTAGAGGAGCACGCTGAGCGGGTCGACAAAGGCCCGCTTGAGGAACCGAGCCGTCGCCTTGGTGTGCTGCGACACCGACTGCCGCGTCGACGTGCGCCGCAGGCTGGCCGCCGTCTCGGGCTCGGCCGCCGGCCTCCTTTTTTTGGCGAGCGTCTCGGGGAGGCAGAAGACGATCATGACCCAGACCAGCCCGCCGTAGATGACCAGGAACCACATGGTGCTTTGCCAGCCCCATCTCTGCGACAGCGCGCCGCCAAAGATGGGCGCCAGAAGGGGGCCCAACAGCGGCCCGAGGTACTAAGGTCGTCATGTTTGTCAGTGGGAGTTGGATCGAGAAGAGTCCTCCCTTGGAGGTAGCCAAGTTTTCAAGCGGCGCCAACTTACAAATATCCCCATGGCGCTGCCTCGGTTCTTCGGCTCCCAGATGTCGGCGATAGTACCCGCCCCAACAGCCTGAGCCGATGCTGAGGCGCCTCCTCCAAGCACCCGCATGACGATCAACATGGCGATGTTGGTGCTGAGTGCACTAAGGACAGACGCTACCACGAATAAAGCAAACGATACTACGTAGATGGTCCTCCGGCCAAGCGTCTCGGAAAAGGAAGACCTGTGGATGCGAGTTAGCTGGGAGGGCGAGACGGAAAAGGGTGAAGAGCGAAAGAGGGGCTACCCACCACCACAGCGGGAATATAGACCTGTGTTAGGTATCATGATCGCAGTCAGCCAGCTTTCACATTTTAAGAGTGCCAAATCAAGGAAGTCGGGCATACATTGAGAGCATGTACACAGCAACCGTGAGATTGGTTATTGTCTCGGTGGTTTTCAAGTCAACCGCCATTTGCCCCAATGCCGCTGTAATAACGCGTGTTAGCTGCGATACGCGTGTTTTGATTGGATGACCCGTGGGTGTGACCAACGGTAAAATATGGACGACCCCAGAGGGGAGGCCGAGCCGGCGAGGGCGACTATGGTGGTGATTGTCCACTTGTGCTTCTGTGAATACTCGTACGGCCGCTCGACCTCGGGCACCAGGACGGCCAGCCTCGCGAGGAGGCCCCTCCGCTGGCCCATGGGCACGATGGTGACGGCGCGTGATCGGGCCGACGACGTCCGGGAGAGCGCCGTTCCGGCCGGCTCACCTCCCAGCTCGGGGTCACCGGAAGCCGTACCCTCATCTTCCCAATCACTATGGGCGAGCTCTGGCACATCTCCGGAGTGGGATGAGGGGCGTGGCTTTTCATCGCTAGCCGGCCCGTGGATGGACGCGTCGGACGGCGGCGTGCCGGTAACAGGCCTGGGGTCACTACCCACTGTATGACCGGCAAGGGTAGGTTCTGGTTTACTGGGTGCTTTTTCATCCCCAGTGCTGTTTGGACCTGGCGGCGCACTCATTGTGGAAACAGGGTGGGTGGCGCTTTGCGGCTCCCAGAGGCGTCCAGAGAATATGTGTCGACGACACAGGCTGGGCCACTCAAGGTCGCGTGAGGGTCAAGCCTAGTCTGGGGTAGAGGCTTGGCAAGCTGTGGAGGTTGTATAAATAGGCCGCGGCTCAAAGTGACGATGTGACGATGACGATGGCACGGCCAAGGGCCGGAGTTACGAGAGTGCGGGGGCGTGAAAACCAACAACCGTTCAAGATTACGCAGCTATCTAGGAGTTTCCAGGAATGGCTTTTCCTGCCCGATTGAAGAGGGAAACATGGGCAAACACGCTCCCGACAAGATGGGCAAATGGGGCCATGCTCGGCTCCGATTCGGCTCCAGAACTGGACCAGGCCTGCTCCATCAGGACCTGACGAGACCCAGGGTGGTGGGCCGCTGTGAGCGGGGGCGTCAGAGGACCGAGGCCTGCGAGGTCGGCGCTATTCGGCATGTTGTGTGTTACGGCATTAGAACCTGCCGCTGACGCCTTTCCCATGCCCTAGCCGCTTGACGCGATGGCAGTCGGGTTTAACGATTGGATATAGGGGGCTATTCCCGCCATGGTGGCTGGTGATGATGACGGCCTCACATCCCACTTGAGATCAATCAGGACTGTTGGGGGTCCTGGCCCATCGAGCCGAGGGCCGAGTCCATCAAGGGACTCGTCGGAGTTAAAGCAGACGGGAGTCTACTGTGTATGAATCCCGGATTAACAGACAGTCTAGCCTGCTGGAGCTGGTCGCAAGGTTCGCTGTCGCGTGCAATGGCGGCTGGCGGCGGCACCTGTAGCCTATTCGTCGGCGCTCTGGCGTCATGCCGACCCGTATGCTGATTGTTGGATGCTGGTCCAATGGAAGCCTAGTGGTTGATTGGCGGCTCAAATTTCAGTTTCAATCTAGCCATGCGATCAAGGCTTGGCCTTCGATGAAACTAAATCGTCGGATGTGATGGGGCAGGGTTCGGGTTGTCAAAGGTGCCAAGAATTGGCCAAGGGGTATTCAAGGATGCGGCCGCTGGGAATCAATTAAACGCGACGCGTCAAATCCAGCCGCTATCGTCACACCAATCCAGCACTGCGGGGCCGTCAAACCTCTGGACGACATCACCTAGAGTCACCCAGAGGCCGCACCACGACACTGGTCCGGGACAAGAGGCATCAAGGACTCGGCAGACACCAGACACTACGCACAATGGCCGACCCTACAACAACCGAGCTTAACGAGCTGTTCGCCTCGGGCGGCAAGGGGCTCGGCGCCGACGTGCTCAGCGAGCTGCGGTCCATCATGAACCTGCACGAACTGTCGGCCCAGGACCTTTTCTTCAAGTGGGAATCGTACTGCATAAAGATGGACATGGACGAGATGCGCCCGGCCTACGACAGCATCCGCGCCTTCAAGCAGGACCTGCATGACGCCCTCCAGCGCTCCAACCGCGCCCAGGCCCACGTCAAGTCTGAGAAGCGCCCTGGCGCGACCCCGCGCACCACGGCCAAGTCCACCGACGTCTTTGGCATGCTCGACGGCCTCGTCCCCACAACACCCGGCTCCGGCAGGCTGGGCAAGTCCGCCGCCAGGAGCAGGCAGCTAGAGACGCCCTCCATCTCCCGCCTCAAGGCCGCACACCCGCCCAGCTCGCCAGACAACGGCTCGCCCTCGACCCTAGAGGGCCAGCTGAACGCCCTCGGCGCACTAACGTGAGCACCGCCAGCCGGCCCCTGAGAAAAAAAAAAAGAACCCACCTGCTGACCGACCGGCGCAGCCCCTCATCCTTCCACGACCGACAGAACCCCGGAGAGGTCATTGAGGTCCTCAACGAAAGCCTGCCGGCTCCCGAAGCGCCCATCGCGCCCTTTCCAGAGTCCCGGATCAAGCTCACGGCCGCATCCGACACCAAGAAGCTCGCGTACCGGCCCATGGCCATGAAGCTGTCCGAGGCCTCGGAGATCCTCGACGACCGGATAGAGGATTTTGCCCAGCTCGTAATGGAGCACCACAAGCTGGAGGAGTCGGCCTTTGGCAGCGCGGCGGACCAGAGCCCCACCGAGATCATCTGCGTCGGTCGCGTGGCGTCGGACGTGACCGAGGGCAAGCTCAACGCCGCGTCGCTCGTGCTCGAGACGTCGCGTAGGGGCGGCGGCGGCCTGCGCGTGCCCCTGAATCTGCAGAGGCTGCCGGGCTACCAGTTGTTCCCCGGCCAGATCGTCGCCGTGCGCGGCACCAACCCGTCGGGCAAGGAGTTCGCCGTGGCCGAGATGCTCGAGATGCCGCTCATGCCCAACGCCGCCTCGACGCGCGAGGCCCTCGCCGAGCACCACCAGAGGCTGCGCGCCGCCGGGTCCGACGCCATGGACTCGGACGACGGCGGCGGCGACCCGATGCCGCTCAACGTCATGTTCGCCTCGGGCCCCTACACGGCCGACGACAACCTCGACTTTGAGCCGTTGCACGCGCTCTGCGAGCGCGCCGCCGACACGTACGCCGACGCCCTCGTGCTCAACGGGCCCTTTATCGACATTGACCACCCCCTGGTCGCGTCGGGCGACTTTGACCTGCCCGACGACGCGTCCGTCGATCCGGACGCGGCCACGCTCTCGACCCTCTTCAGGTACCTGGTCTCGCCCGCCCTGGCCCGCCTCGTGGCCGCGAACCCGCACGTCGCCGTCATCCTGGTGCCCTCGGTCCGTGACGCCGTCGCCAAGCACGTCTCGTGGCCGCAGGAGGGCTTCGCGCGCAAGGAGCTCGGCCTGCCCAAGAGCGCGCGCGTCGTCGGCAACCCCATGACGCTGTCCATCAACGAGGCCCTCGTCGGCGTCTCGTCCCAGGACGTCCTGTACGAGCTCGGCAACGCCGCCCTGGCCGGTGGCCGCCAGCCCGGTGGTGGTGGCCAGCAGGACAAGTTTTCGCTCCTGTCCAGGCACGTCATCGAGCAGCGCCACTACTTCCCCGTCTTCCCCCCACTCGACCGCAAGCGCCTGCCCAGGACGGGGACCGCCGAGGGCCTCGCCACCGGCGCCGTGCTCGACGTGAGCTACCTGAAGCTGGGCGACATGGTCAACGTGCGGCCCGACGTGCTCGTGCTGCCTAGCGCGCTGCCTCCTTTTGCCAGGGTTCGTATCATTCTTCTTGGTTGTCCAGCAAAGACTTGGCGCTAACTTGCCGGAATACCTCCAGGTCGTAGAAAGCGTCCTCGTCATAAACCCGGGCTACCTCTCCAAGAGGCGCGGCCCGGGCACGTACGCGCGCATGACGCTGTATCCGCACTCGGCGGCCGAGCTGGACGCAAAGGAGGGAATGGTCGGGCACGACATCTATAAGCGGGCGAGGGTAGAAATCACTAGGATCTAATACAAACAAAGCATAATGTGACAAACGTAATAGTATGGCTTCGAGTCTTGCAATGTATGGGGACCCGGCGTTTACAAGGCCCCGCCGTTCTCGAGTTGTATATGAACGGAAATTATATATATTTGGGGTTTCAAATATAAAAAGGCAGCAGCCGCTTCACCTCGAATCGACCCTCCTCCGCTTCTCGCCGTCGTCGCGACCCCTGTCCCCGCCCCGCGAGGTCGGCCTCTTCCTGCGCTCGCGGCTGTGGTCGCGGCTGTGGTCGCGGCCGTCCCGCCTGGGAGATCTCGACCGGGATCGCGACCTGCGTCTCCTCCTGTCATCGCCGTCGTCGTAGTCTCGCCGCGAGCGGTACGAGTCTCTCGGCGCGCCGCCGCCGTCGTCGTCCCCGCGCTCCCTCCCACCGCCACCGCCGCCGCCGTCGCGGTCCGCACGCTTGCGGTCACCGAGCGGGATGGCGTTGGCGCCCTTTGCGCCGTCTGGCCCGTAACCACCACCACCACCACCCCCATCGGGCCTGAAGCGCTCATCGGCAGCGAACCGATCGCCCGGGGCGCGGCCCCTGCCGAAGCGGTCCTTGTCCGGCGGCGCGTCGCCCCAGCGCCCGGTGTCCTCGGACCTCAGGTCCCTGTACTTGCTCGCGCCCTTGCGGCCCAGCCTGGTCATGTCGCGCATCTGCAGCGCCTGCGGCAGCAGCTCGCGGTTGCGCACCTCGTCGGCGAAGTGCGCGCCCGCCAGGTCCCTGCGGTCCAGCCCTTCCCTGGACTGCTCGTCGGCGTAGAAGGCGCCCTTGTGGAAGTACTTTTGCATGTAGGCCATCTTGCCCCGGCCGGCCTCGGACTCGTCGCGCCGGGCGGCCGCGCGCGCCTCGTCCTCGGCCCGCCGCTCGTCCTCGGTCATGGCGTCGCGGCGCTCGCGGTCCTCGCGCTCGCGCTCGCGCGCCTCGATGGCCTCGCGCTCCCGCTTGAGCCGCCGGAGCTCGCGGAGCTTCCAGGCCGCGCGCTCGGCGTCCGGGTCGATGTCGTCCGTGTCGTCGACGAAGCCGTCGCCGTCGCCGTCGCCGTCGCCATTGCCGCCGCCCGCGCGTGCCTCTTCGTCCGAGTCGTTCTCCCAGTGCCGCCGCCCGGCCGCCTTGGCCGCCGCCTCCTTGCGGATCTGCTCCTCGATGGCCCCGTCTAGCGCCGCCTGCTTCTTCTTCTTCTCCTCGTCACCGTCGTCGTTACCGCCCGCTTCTGCTGTGGGTTCGCCGCCGCCCTCCTCGCTCGTCGCCCGCTTGGCCTTGGGCACGAACTTGGGGCGGAACATGAGTCGGCGGCGCGGCGCCTCTTCCTCCTCCTCGGACTCTTCCTCGCCGCTGCTCTCCTCCTCCTCGGACCCGGACCCGCTGCTGCTGCTCTCGCCCTCGCTCTCCGTCACGAACCCCTCCTCGGCGGCCCTGCGCTCGGCGTCGGCCGCCGCTGTCGCGCGCGACGCCTCGGCCTTGTCCGCCGCGGCGCGCCGCTTGCCCAGGTCGACTGAGGCCAGTGCGCTGCTGCCGGTCGAGATCACCTTGCCGGCGCCGCTCGGCCTGCTGGTCACCGGCTTCTTCTGCTGCTGCGTCTGTTTCTGTTGCTGCTCGCCATCCTCGCTGTCGCCGTCAGAGTCGGAGTCGGATTCGGATTCGGGCTGGGTCGGCTTGCCGGCGCGGTACCGCGACGGCTTGAGCGGGTTTGCGGTGAACTTGGGCGGCATCGCGGTGATGGGTGGAGGGATAGGGAGGGGGGCCTGCTGGTGAGCGTGAGGTCTCCCCGACGAAAAAAAGAGGCTGGTGTAGGTTGGGACCGACGCGAAACTGGACCGCTATCTTATCGCCCTGAGGCTGCTGAGTCAGTGGGGCACGTCCACCAAAAGGCACTGTGGTGCAGTGCTGGTTGTTCACATATTCACTGAGCAATTCATTTCAGAACGTCCATCTTATAGCACTTTCGATTCTTTCCAAGGGGTGCTGCTCTGATCGTCGTTGAGAAACACATAAATCAACCGAAACCCATCTCGAGTTCAGGCCAGGACTCGAACTGTCAAGCTCGAGCTCCTATGGTCTCTCAATCCTGGCTCTGTCAGCCGTAATGCGGGCTCCCAACCAACAACCACTGCGGCACCACGCCAAAACGCTCAACTAGGAACAAAACGCAACACTTCGGCTGGGGCAGCGGAGTAGTCCTGAGCAAAAACTATGAAAAGGAAACGACAAAAGCGAAGTTGTTTGTCCCTCATGGGTACCCGCAACGGTTCTTTCTACGAAGGATAAACCCTTCGTAGAAGACCGCATTGGTTACCCACAGCGGTTATTTTCTACGAAGGATAAAACCTTCGCAGAAGACCGCATCTCACTTGGAGACACCAGTAGACAGTTGTTTGAGCTACTTCGCTGAGGGTTGCATCCATATCAAGCCTTATAAGCTGAATGCAGGTCACGGATAACAGCTGCCTGAGGCTTGCAAATTTTTAGTGCACTGGAGAACAAATCACAGGTTGCCTCGTCATACAGTGATAACATTCGGCGCGCCTGGCGCCTGGCTATGATAAAATCAAATGGTATCAATAAACAACAGTCGAACACGAACGCTCCCGAGTCCAAAGTAAACCCCTGAAAGCAACCCAATCCCTTTGATCCATCTCTTGTCCGTATTTAGCCCAGCGCCAACACATCCCAATTCCTTCCCATCTGCCAAAAAAATCCGTGCGATACAAAAATACAGAGTTGGGATATAGGTGAAGAAAGAAGTAGAGCCAAAAAGACGGCTTAGAAACACAGGTAAACAAAAAAGGGAGCGATAGGAGGAACGAGGTGGAACCGGCAAAACTAGTGCAGCAAGTCCCCGTTGTCCATCATTTGCTTGAAGCGGTCTTCGGGTTCGACGAACTTGTACGACTCCCCCCGCACGACGCGGTCGACTTCCTTCCTGATCATGGGGTACACGTCCTTCCAGGCATTCTTGCCCATGAAGCTGTCGAGATGGCCATATCCGGGGATCTCCTTCCTCTGGTAGCGGATCTTGCAGGGAAGTACCGCCGAGATGTCCTCACGGGCTTTTTGCTTGCCATTGATGCCCAGTCCGACCGTGAACAGAGGCCTGAGCTGGCCGTCGACGGGAGTCGCCGGGGTAGCCGTGTCTGTCGAGGAGGAAGTCGACGAGGAGAGCGAGCCCGCGGAGGAGGCTCTGGAGAGCCCGCTTTTGCCTTTCAAGTCGGCACCAAGCATGTCTCCTGGCACTGACGATGATGTGGCCGAAGGCACCGGCGAGGACCTGAGGGAGTCGGCACCAAAATGGTCCTGGAGGGTCTCGAGCGTCCGCAAGGTGGACTCGGTACTCAGCACGGCGTTTTCCTTACCCACGAAGAGAAGGAACGATATGCCGCGCAGGCGGTTGATGTTCTCCTCGGTCGTGAGCTGCGTGTAGTCGTTTTCCATGGCATGCCCATCGGTCCCCATCTTCATGAGCAGGTTGAGCAAGCGCATGTTGACGCCGCCGAAGAAGCGGTCGATCTGCCTATGCGTCGCCTCATTGAGGTTTCCGTGATTCCAGCACCGGCCAAACACCAGCGTGCAGCGGTGGCAGCTCGCATTGTTGCAGAGCTCCTTGCGTCTGTCCGGGTACAGGCGCAAGGCCTGGTTCAATGCTCGCTGGACGCGCGTGTCGTCCCTCGATGTGCTGCAGCTGAACCAAGATCCGGCCGCCGCGCCGTACAGTTTGTCCAGTGGGACCGGCCCTGCCATAACCTTGGCCATGTTGGCCGGGCCCCATATGGGGTTCATAAACACTTGGCTGCATGTCACTCCCGAGATCCAGCTGCCGGGTATGGTGCCATCCAGCATGCCCGACGAGAAGGCGACTGAACCCATGCAGTGTGCGATGGTGTAGATTTTGGACGGCGGCTCCGGGGCCTCGGTCTCGGAGTAGTTCTCGCGGATGTACTCGAGGCAAGCCCTCAGGTCAAGACGGGCATCAAACGTGGTCCAGAGGTTGTGCGCCGCCATGATCTGCCCGATCCTGTGGACTGAGACAAAGACGCGGTAGCCGGCGCGCGTGAAGTAGTTCACCGTGTTGAAGGGAATGGTAGGGAGAGCAAAGATCTGGTGATCCACAGCGGCGCCTGGCACCATAAACAAGTTCCGAGGAGGTGTGGGCCGGCCGTGGCGATCCTTGGGGGTGCTGGTGGCCTCCCACATGTGCATGCGCGTGTAGACGCCGTCAGAGGCCTGGATAGCGAAACTCTCGGTCGGTGGCGTGTTGTTGATGTAGCCACTGTAGCTCTGGCTCGGGTACTGCAGAGGCGTGAGGGGGGCCAGGAACAGCGAGAGCGACTTGCGGGCAAAGAAGGTCATGAAGTAGGCAGCGCTCTTGGCCCGACGGAACACCGACAGGCCCGTCGGCTTCATGGTCTTGACCTCGGCGCGAAAGTCCTGGGGCTGTATGTGCATGATGCCCTTGCCCACTACGGTGCAGTGGCGCCAGGCCTCGTGCTCGGCACGGTCGATGTGTGACGGGTGGTCCTTCTTGGTGATGGTAACGTAGAGTGTCGAGGTCGCGCGCCAGAACTTCTTGGGCGACAGCGCAACCGACGAGTCGACTACCTTGTACCCGTGAAAGTGCAGCGTGTTACCGTCGACACCCACCATGTCGAAGTCGTACGTCAGATTGCGTGTTCCTGGCGCCTTGCGGTCCATGGTGAAGAGCCCGAAGCTGCCACGCTGCACCATGAAGGGCGAGCCGGGGATGGCGGGGGAGACAAAGGTACCCGTGAGCATGCCGCGCCCGTCTGGCGCGTACAGCATGTCCTTGGTGTTGAAGGCCTGCACGCTGAGGAAGAATCGGGCGCTCTCGCACCGAGACTTGGCCGTGCGGCACGCAAGCTCATACGTTTCTCGGCAGTCTTCCTTCATCTTGGGGTCACCGTGTACATATCCGCACATGACCTCGGTGAAGCCGAAGCCGCCGGCCCTCATGGCCTGTGCCTTGTTGATGGCGTTCGCCGCCTTCTCCACCTCCTTGCGCTCATCAAGTGTGAGGGTGCGGGGGAGATGTTGACCTGACTGCTTCTGCTGGAACTTGAAGAGTTCCGGGCCATGCGGGACCGCTCTCGGTTGGTGCGCAGGCTGACCGAACAGATCGAGAATCCCGTTCTTCTCGGTACTGATCAAGAGGTGGTTCTCCTTGGCGTACTCGTCGATGCATCGCTCGGCGAGCGCCGCGATGGTTGCAAAAGGGTTAACCCCTAGCGCAATCGGAACCAAGGCGCCGTCCGCCACGATCAAGCCCTTGTGTGTTTCAGAGCCGTTCCCGCTGAAGACCTCGCCCCTGTGGTTCGTCACACCGGTGGCGCCCGTGTTGTCTTGGGCCATATTTGCACCGCTGCAAGGGGGGTCGGCGAGCCGAAGACGTCAGTAGGTTGCACTGCATGCATCATGAGGCAAGGAACAGCGGAAGAAGGTCCCCAAAATAAATGTGAGAGGGAGAGCCCGGGGAATGGGACGGAAGGAGAACAAAGGGTGGGTCGGAAATTGATCTGGGGAACGTGGCACAACATAGTGTCGGTGTGGACTTACCCGATAGGATGGACTGTTACCTGCTGCTGGCCCATCAGGGCGAAAAAGGGGTTCTGCACGAGCGTGCCCCCGACAGCCTTGGTGGCCTTGGCCAGGATGCTGTTGAGCTCCTTGACGTGCTGGCTACGACCGACCCCGAGGAACTCGAGCACGGGGCGGTCGTCTTTGAGTGACAGGACGGCCTGGTTGCTGTCGTGCGACATGATGAGGTACACCTGCGTCCGCCCGACGGCGCCCTTGCGGAAGTAGGGACCGAGAAGCCGGCTGCCCCAGCGGGCCAGGGCGGCTTGGGTCCGGTCGACGACGGTATCGTCATCAGGGCATTGCCGGCCCGGCATAAAGTCGAGCATGGCTTGGAACATGTGGGCGAGCGCACGGGGCACGGTTCCCTCCTCGATCACGTAGCCGTCGAGCGGGTTATCATGACCGTCGCGGTTGTCGATGACTGAAGTGATGCATGGCCCGACCGGGTTATAGGGGTCGGGGTGTTTGCGGCCGACCGAGTTGACTTCGTCGTTCGTGTTGTAGCCAAAGGCTAGGATGTCGCCGTTGCCACTCATTTTCTGGCCGACCTCGTCGCTCATGGGCAAGCCCATGGCGCGGCTGCGGAGCAGAATCTCGGTGGTGCCGATGGAGCCAGCTCCCAGGAAGACGGCACGCTTGGCGTGCACCCACATGAGGTCCCCGTGGAGGTTGGACTTGAAGTGGCCGCGATTGCGGCCGTGCCAGGCGAAATAGATGATGTAGCCACCGCGCGCGTCGGTCACCTTCTCGATGTGGCGCACCTCGCACTGGCAGAACATCTCGGCGCCCCAGTTCCAGGCGTCGGCGAGATAGGTGACGAGAGTGGTCGTCTTGGAGCCGTCGTTGAGGCCTGTGGCGTCCTGTCCGCTCAGGGCAGAGGGCGACATCTCGACGCCGCAGCTGTTGGGCCCGTTGCGGAAGCGCGTGGTCTGCCGCACGCGGTAGAACCTAGAGTTTTCGAGGCCTGGCTCTTTCCGCAGTATCTCTGCCTGTTTCTCCAGGAGCTTGGCCTTGGGAAGCACTGGCCAGTCTGCTGGATACTCCTCGGGCTCCAGAACGTCTTCAACCCGCTTGTAGTACTTGTCCAGGGCGCCCTTGGCCTGGAGCTCGGGTGGCCATTCGTTCAACGACAGGGTGTCTTGGTCGGCAGGCAGAAACACGTTTGCGTTGATCAGGCTCGTGCCGCCGAGGCCGTTGCCCACGATGGTGTTTTGGCCTCGACCGAAGATGAGATGGTACATGCCGGTAGGGTTGCCGCCGTCGGCCGTCTTGCCGGGAAAGTGATGAGGGGAAAACTCGCCGCTGAAGTGTAGCTGGCTCAGGGCGTCACGGGCGCCCGTCGGATACTCGCCGGGCCATCGCTCTTGGCCCCTCTCGAGCAGGCACACAGACTCGCCAGCCCTGGCCATGCGTGAGGCAGCGATGCCTCCGCCGTAGCCAGAGCCGATCACCACGACGTCGTAGCTAGAGCGAAGCAGCTCTACATGTCTTGATATGCGGGGGAAGGCGCCGGAAGCGTGGCGTGCCGCGCCGTCGGCGTAGCTGTGAATCTTGGCGTGTGCCCGCGACCTGGGGCCGCCCGGTTCCGAGTCGTGGATGCCGGCCGGCCTGATGGGGTGGGATCCGACACGGCGCTTCGGAGAGGTGGCGACAGGGGTGACTGGGTCTGGCTCCTGGAACAGGACATGAGGGCGTGCCGGTGTAGGGAACTCATCGTCGTCCTCGACAGTTGCCGGCCTAGCTCTGGACGCCGGCGGAGACGGCAAGGGGGTTTGGGGTGGTGATATGGCAAATTCTGTGGCCGGCGTTGGCGGGAGACCGCCGATTGTGACGAGCATCTTGCTGCCGTCTGGTTGCAAGGTAGAGTAGCTGAAGCCGATGCTGTTGCCCTCACTGTCCACCTTACTGCTCCCGGCGACGACGGGCGCCATATGTAGGTTGTCGACAAGAGGAGCCATGTCGGGCAGGCAAAGCCCCCTTTCTCGGGGCTGGAGCTTGTTCCTTTCGTGCGAGTGCCAGTGAAGGTGTCGACGGGACGTCGTGTTGCTCGCTAAAGCACGCGGTGCAACACACCAAATTCTATCTCAGGAGCTCAGTCTGCTCCGAGAAGTGCAAGCCAGGCCACGACTGCGCGTACAAGCTCTCGGTGGATACGGTATCCGCGAGAACGATCGGGTGCTATGGGTGAGACAGTATAACCCGGGGGTTGCAGGGCTGCGGGGTGGCGGAGGGGATGGTGAGGAAGCCGGGGGGAAAGAGGAGGAGGAGGACCGGTAACACCATCCCGACTTGGAGGACCCGGAGCCGGTCGTGCCTCTTTGTATCTCGAGCATGGGCGCGGGCAAGGGTACGATCCCTCCCCTGCTGGGTGATAACCGTTCCCTACCCTCCCTTCCTCCCGAGAGTAAGACTAAGACGGGCTCCCCAGATGGGACTTGGCAGAGTGCCCTGCCATTGGCCTGTGGGTACCGGGCTCCAGCGGAGGCTCACTTCTGGCCCCGGCAATCGTGTCATGGTGGGTGCGAGCTCAGTTCTCGCATCGTCCGGCTAGGAGGCCATGTGGTCGGGCAAGGAAGAGCGCGAAGAGGGTCCCCTGTTCGGAGGCTGAAGTCAACTGTAACCCTCCCTCCCACAGCCAGCACCAGCCATGTTACCCCCCCCTGGAGCTTCCGCCAGACGCAGAGGCAGTCGTCGTGCCCGCGCCCGCTCTAGGGCCGGGGGCATTTTCCAAAAGGAGTGAGGCGCGGGCTGTGTCCGATAAGATGGTGGTGCCTGGGCGTGTGTCCAAGCCAGCGCTACTACGAATACCTTGCCCCAGAGCGGTAGGGTATCTGAGCTGGGGGTGGCAGAGCTGAGCTGAACTGCTGAACTTGTGGACACCGCAGCAAGGGATTGGTCCAATGGTGATGGCGGCCGCCATTGGTCAATGAACGCGGGTTGCAGGGTCCCATTGCTGGGACCCACCGCGGTAGGATCCTTAGCTGCGGGCTGGGGACTGGAGCGACTGGCTGGCCGCTGAGATGAGCTGCTGAGATGAGATGCTTAGGTTCATCGAGGCTTCGCCTTCCCGCCCGCTTGAGGAGCGCGGAAGGAAAGGGTGACCACTGGAGACGATGGCACTTGGGCCAACAGACGGCGGGAAGTCGCGCCTCGAAGCCACGGAGCAGCGGGTGGCCCCTATCTCCCATGTGGGAGGCGCCTGCCACCGTTGACGGGAGCGACTTGGATGGCGTCAATATCCCGTCAACTGTACCCTATCTAAACAGGTGACCCCTCGGTGGCTCCCTGCGCCGCCGCCGCCGTAGGATCAGCCCGCCATGGGGCCAGCCAATCCCCCAGCCTTGGGGATCGACAAAGTGACAGAGCGACAAGGTGACAGAGCGACAGAGTGACAGAACTCGAGAGTTCTTCACCTCGGCACTCGGGCAGACAACCAGGCAGACACCAAAAAAACCAAAAAACCGACCCATCTTCCCGGTTGCCAAAACCAGAAGGGGTACCGATTTTACTCCAACCGACTCCACGTTCCAGCTGACGAACAGTGGAGAGGCAATCACCGAACGTATTATTATTGGCCCCCAAGCGAACTACGAAGCCTTGGGCTCCCACTCCCAGGCTCCAGCCATCGGGACCCCAAGGGGTAGTTGGAGTGGAGAAGCAGTGATTGATGGTTGTGGCCCCAACCCTAAAAAAGCGATCGTGATTAATACTGGGTACGCACCACTGGGATCAGTGAGCCACAACCTCAATTCCCAGCCCTCCAAATGGCTGCACCCGGCGGCCTCGGACCCCACGGTATTGCATGGCTTGCCTCCGGGCCGTTGGGATCCAGAGCTGGCGATGCCCATTGGATCGGCGACCACCAGCAAAGACTGGGGAGCGAGTGGGCTGGACGGTGCTCCCCACCCGTCATCATGGAATCCTCCCAGATTGGCGGCAATGGCAGCCGACGGTTGGCAAACAACAAAAGCTTGCTCCGTCTGAGGTCAGACGAAGTTTTTTTTTTCTTTTCTTTTGATGGGGTTTCTCCGCTTCCGCTGGTAAGGCTGACAAGGGTCGCCAAGCGGCCCTCGGGAAGGGCAAGTGTCTCAATCTTGCCCCTGACAGATGACATGGAGGACTCGATGCTGTGTCAGGGGAAAGAATACTTCTCCATGTCACACGGGCCAAATATATCCCACAGCCCGCAGACGCACACGGGCGACTCGACCGCTCGCGCTATCTATGTCAAACCTGGGCACCCGACGAGCCAGCGCTGCCGCCCGCGATGCTGAGCGACGACGGGATCTGACAGTGGAGCGTGCACAAGACGGAACACAGCCCCCCCGCCGCCGCTATTCCCCGAGGTTCCCCAGGGCCGCAGGGCCGCAGGAGGAGCAAGGAGCGCGCTAAACACGGGAGCCTGCCGCCAGTCCGGCTTCGAAAGGCTTTCTGCGCATACGTCTCTGGGGTTCGGTGAGTATGCCTGGCCTGGCAGGACACACACGGCCAGAAGGGGAGAGCCAGACCTGCCGACATAGCCCACCCGTCGGTTGGCGCGCAGCATGCATGCAGTAGTACCAGTAGTAGGCAGCCGCGTGCGCTATCGTCTGGTCGTCCCACGCCTGTCGGTCGGGGGAATTTTTGTGCCTTGCCCTTCGTGTCGCCTCGTCCCACTCACTTCACCCTCGAACACGTCCAGCCGTGGCGCCCAGCAGGACGCCTGAGGACGGTTACAGTTGCCCGAGATGCCCTCCTGTCTCTTCCTCTTCCCAGTACCTTGCCTATTACGTATGTTATGCGGGGTCTTTTACACGGAGGTTGCATCCTGGCATGGCGCCATCATAGGGGTGCCCGGTGGCCCCAAGCATGTCAATATCGCTATGTACGGTAGGCATGCATGCGGCGCCCGCATGCACTAAACTGTACAGCCATATCGGCTCCCTCCTATGACCGCATCGGACGGATTCCCCTTTTGGCCATTGACGCCTGTGTGACACTCTCGGCTGGCGCGTGTATCGTATGCGGATATTTTTGGGCAATGTATTTGCGTCCGTCAGCCCAGACGACGACGACGACGCCGACGCCGACGACGCAATGCCGCCCTTGCCGGCCCAGCAGACACGGACAGCATGAGGGGGACAAGACTTCAAGCCACCAGAGTCACAGAGTTTCGTATATTCGGCTTGTTCTACCCAACACACTCTAGCTCCTCCGAACCAGGCGAGCCAGATGATCAGCGCCAGGCAGGGGGAGGGGGGTTTCGAGGGAGGAGTGTGCAGCGATGGAAAAAAAAAAAAGACCGAGGCATCTCGGCGCAGCCACTCAACGCGCCCGCGCGCCCCCCAATGGCTTGCATTAGCGTCTCCCTTCCACACCAACCAGATGCCCTCGTGATATGAGCGCAGGCTGATGGCGCTTCCCAGTATGACGGGCCTGCGCTTTGCGCCCAACAGCCCGCCCGAGCTAATGCAGAGCCGGCGCTTCATCCTTCGTCCCATCATGGTGGGTGGTGGCCGTCGTCGTCGTCAACCCGCAGTCGGCATGCCATAATACATCCGCTTTCGGGGAAGGCGTCCTCTCGGATTCCTTTCCAGGCGGGAAAGGGGCACCCTGCATTACGAACTGACCCCATGCTACGTTGTATTGTATCCGATTGGATGGTGAGAGAGAATACTTGGGCTACAGAGAGATGGAGAGAATGTGGTGTGCGAAAAAAGAAAAAAGAAAAAAAGAGAGAAGCCTCCCAACAAAGCCAGACCGAAGTCAAAGAGGCACCCACCCAGTAACAAACAATCCCCGAATGACTCCCCCAAATGCCGGAACGCCGATTCCCCGAACCAATGAGAAGACCTAGACGAAAGGAAAAGAAGCAGGTGGTAAAGCCTCACCACCAGTCTCCCTGGTCATGCATGGCGCGGGCGACCTTGACGAAGCCGGCAATGTTGCTGCCGGCAACCAGGCTGGGCAGCTCGCCCTCGCGGGCCGGGACGTACTCCTTTGCCGTCTTGAGGCCGGTCTGGAATGCGTTCTCCATGATGGACTGGAGCTCCTTGTCGACCTTCTCTGCTGGCCAGGCCAGACGCTATTCGAAGGGGGGGTGGGACACATGATGCGAGGTTAGTGCTGAAGTAAAAAGAAAACTAGACAGAAAAGGGGCAAGAGGATGGATGGGCAGGGTTGGGTTGTTCCCCTCCCCCCTAACTTACCGAGCTGTTCTGCCCCATCTCGAGGCCGGACACGGCGACGCCGCCGCAGTTGGCCGCCTTGCCGGGCGCGTACCAGACGGCGGCGGCGGCCGGGTTGGCGCGGCGGTGGGCCTCGAAGACGTCGATGGCGGCCTGCTCGCAGCCCATGTTGGAGCCCTCGGCCACGAAGCGCACGCCGGCCGCCACGAGCGCCTCGGCCTCGGCCCCGCTGAGCTCGTTCTGCGTCGCGCACGGCAGCGCCACGTCCACGCGCCCCACGTGCGCCCACGGCCGCGCCCCGGCCATGTACTCGAGCCGCGGGTGCGCCTCCTCCTCCTCCTCTTTCTCTTCGTGGCCGTTGCTGTGCCCGTTGGTTCCGTTGCTGTGCCCGTTGACGCCGTTGCCGTTGACGCCGTTGCCGTTGACGCCGTTGCCGTTGACGCCGTTGCCGTTGACGCCGTTGCCGTTGACGCCGTTGCCGTTGCCGTTAACCCCGTTGCCGTTGGCGTGACCATTGGCCCCCTTGTGGCCGTTCGCAACCCCGTTGCTGCCGCCGCACCCGGGCAGCTCCGACAGCGGGCGGCGGCGCTCCTTGAGCGCCATGACGGCCTCGACGTCGGCGCGCGAGACGCCGCCCTTGGCCCCGCGCGCCACCAGGGCCCCGCGCGAGTCCGACAGCGACACGACGGTGCCGCCCAGCTCCATGACCTTGAGGGCCGCGTACTGTGCCACGTTGCCCGAGCCCGAGACGGCGACGCGCCTGCCGGCCCAGCCGGGCGCGCCGGCGTGCCCGAGCATGTGCGAGACGTAGTAGACGAGCCCGTAGCCCGTGGCCTCGGGCCGGATCAGGCTGCCGCCCCAGTCGAGCCCCTTTCCCGTCAGCACGCCCCCCTCGAACCTGTTGCGCAGGCGCCGGTACGCGCCGAACAGGAACCCGATCTCGCGCCCGCCCACGCCCATGTCGCCCGCGGGCACGTCCGTCAGCGCCCCGATGTGGCGGCTCAGCTCCGCCATGAAGGCCTCGCAGAATCGCCGGATCTCGGCGTCCGACTTGCCCTTGGGGTCGAAGTCGGCCCCGCCCTTGCCGCCGCCCATCTGCAGGCCCGTGAGCGCGTTCTTGAAGACCTGCTCGAAGCCGAGGAACTTGAGGATCGAGAGGTTGACCGAGGGGTGCAGCCGCAGCCCGCCCTTGTAGGGGCCCAGCGCCGAGTTGAACTGCACCCGGTACCCGCGGTTGACCTGCAGCTCGCCCCGGTCGTCGGTCCACACTACCCGGAACTGGATCACGCGCTCGGGGATGGACACGACCTTGAGTGCCGTGCGCAGCTCGGGCTGCTTGTCGAACAGGCTGCTGTTCTTGAGTGTGCTGACCAGCTCTGTAAGTCCCCGTCCAGCCACGTCAGCCTGCTTCTCCTTTCTTCTGTGCTCTCGACATCCCGTTGGCCGTAGAAAGAGCTGGATATCGCAGGCCGCCCAACGCCATCGAGCCACCAGACGGGTCCCTGAGCAACAACTCACCATTGTAGGCCTGCTCAAACTCGGGCTCCGACGGTAGGACAGGCATTGTGGTGCTATGTATGGGCGGATGCCGTCTCGAGGGTATATCCTAGGGAGGTGAGTGAAGACAAGAGATTGGGCTATGGGTATCTATAGGTGCTGGCGTGGGTATAGGATAATAGACAGACGAGTTCGACTAGGTATCAAATAGTAGGAAATACAAGGATAGAGATGCAAGAAGAGATGGCAGAAAAAGAAGAATACATTCATGAGAAAAGCGGCCTCTTTATAGAGACACAGGACGACAGATAGACCAGACAGATCAGACAGAGCCGATCCGCGGGCTTTTCTTTGACCACGCCTCGCCCACCCCGTATCACTCCTCCCGTCCCATATTTGGCCCGGCCATCCGCCCGCTCGCCGCATCTCCTGGCGCGTCCCTCACCCTCTCTCCCTTGGCAGCCCCTTGTGCGGACAGAGCGATCGCGGCGCGGCTAAACCCAGGGAAATGGAGCTCAAGGGGGGGAAGGCAGGCTGGGCGCGCAGTGGGGGTCAGTCGAGATGGGAAACAGCGTATCGACCCATCAATCCATTGGAGGTCCGTCCTCGGTGGTGTTCTTTGCTGGAGAATAAGCTTGTTTTCCTCAGCCTCCACGCATGGAAATCACTCAGGCGTCACTAAGCAGGCGTCACTAAGCAGAACAGAAACCGATCCCCACACAAATCGCGCAACCCATCTCCATCTGCATGGAGGGCATTGAGCCCAACCAACCCCAGCTCGTCCCTTCGAGCCTCGCGCTCTCCCCCCGGTGCCGGACTTGCCAGCACAGGAAAGAGCCCGAGACTGCGAGCCAGCCATGCAGCCAGCCACTGCATCATTCTTTGCCGCATTCAGCCACTATCTGGGTAGGCCCGGTGGCTCGCTTGTAGATTGGTGATATCCATTGATTCCCATGACAATTACAATCCTCCAAACCCACCAAGCAACTCAAAGCCGCCCCCGACTTCCGCTAAGCATGCGCTGCGCGGCATAGACGGCACCATGAGAAGGTGACACCAAGACGGACGGACGGCGGACCTGTGAAAGAAGGCACCTCACCTCCCCCTGAAGCAAGCGGAGGAGGAAGGAGAGGCAGTAGGACCGGAACGGGACCTGCCTGCATGTGTCGTGTGCTTCGGACGTCGGCCCTGACGTACTTACGAGCTCGCCCAGCCGTCTGTCGGCCTCCGAGAAACCCAACTCGGGAAAAAAGCGACATCAATTGGCCGCCAAAGGGTGCTACTTTTCCCACCCCAGGTTTCCGCCCGCAGTGGACTCATTGTTACTGTAACCCAAAACGAGGGCCCGCCCTTGGGGGAGGAGGGAGAGAGGGAGGGGGTTATGCGGGAAAGCATCGCGGCAAAAGCACGCATCCACGTCGCATCGCATGCGCAGAAGTACATGGCAGATCTCCGTCGCGACCTGCCCTGTCATCTGTTTTTTTTTTCTTTTTTCGTTAGGCTGGCTGTGTGGCCTCGCCTTATCCCTGGCGTCCCATTGGCCGCGCGCGCGCCTGGGGCAAACAGTCGCAGCATCTTTTTGATAAAGTGCGCCTAACAGAATCGCTTCCCCCGGGGGGGCGGGACAGGCGCCAAGGGGTTTGCTTGACTTTCCCACCACCATGTGGAGAGACGGAGAGAAATCCATTTGAGGGTCCACGTCCCTTTGGAAATGGGCGACACCGGAGCCCAATGTCCCCAGACCCGTCGTCTGGCACGATAATATTTAGGAATTGAATGCACTGCCTCTGCCTTGATTCTTCCATGCTGGCTAGTGCCACAAGGGGGCTCGTGGGGGTCCGTCAAGTCCGATAATCGCTCTCCCTTTCATGCCGTCTGGTGGTGGAGGGCTCTAGGTGGAAACATAGCAAGAAAGAAATCAAAACCAAAAGCTTTGTCATTTTGGCTAGGCTTAGCGGCGGGAAGCTGGGTTGCGATATCGCCCATCTCCACGGCCGTGGCCCTCCTCGCCCGCCACCAAATGTATATATCGCAACATACACGAAAGACCCTAAGGCGGTGCCATGGTTCGCACTCGTCATCCTGCTGACATTTCTCCTGAACTTTTTTGCGTGCCAGCTTTCCACTCACCCTCTTCTAAGGCCGCTTCTTATCGACGAGGCTAGGATCTCCTTCCGCGACTATATACAAAAGATATTACGAAAACATGTCGTCCTGTTGGGAACGACCAAGATAGTGAGAAGGAAACAGCAAGCCTGAGGCCAAGCGCGCATGCACCAAGAGACCCTTTAGGTTTGCGCCACCTCACAAGAGACCGTTTCCAGAGACGAAAAAAAAAGACTCCCCATGCTCTCTATGTTTTTAGCCTCAAACCGCCCTGTCACGGTCATGATGACCAACTGCGCCAGAAACCCATGTATAGGATGCGTCCCGTCAACCAGAATGTGTCCCTCCGAGAAATGGGAGAAAAAGGAGAGAAGGGGAGAACAAAAACAAGAAAAGAGACGACAAGGCCAAGGTGAGTGGGGACGAATGTGAATGCTCGCATAAGAGACACAGGCGATACCCGGGCTAGGGAGCCTGTGCTTGCCTTCTGGTGGGCTTTGAGAGCAAAACATTGGGGGAGACGGAAGATCCGATATGTAGAGTGGTATCTTGATCGAGGGCGCGGGAAGCGCCCAAACACAGTCCGCCAGGTCTCCAACCTCCGTGAATTAGGCATTAGCAGAATCTGAGGCCTGGCCACAATAAGCTTCGATGGGAGGACGGATGGAAGGCAGAGCTGAGCAGATTTACTCCCAGCCGTCAAGGGCAGAGCACCAATGAAAGTCAAAGGGAAGGGACAAGACCAGCCTCAGTTGCATGGAGGGGCTGAAAAGGGAGATAGGAGACCAGAGACGAATCATGAGCGAATGCGTGTGTAGCGCAGCGCGTGTTGAAAGTGCTGAACCAAAGCTCCACCATAGCGAGAAGGACAAACCAAAGGGGAAAAATCAAGGATCCGGGCCTCCAACGCCGCAGGCTATGAAGACGATAGATGCGAGAGTGCAGAGGAAGAGAACAAAAAAAGCCTAGTCGGTAGAGATATTCTGAGCGACAAAAGCGTATTGCTAGAGAGAGAAGCCGGGACTGTTCCCAAGGATGGCGACAGTCCAGCATCGAGGTCGGTAAGAGGATCGAGCAAATGGTTCAGTTGAGGAACCCCTTGCAGGCCGTGGTGCCGCAAAGACACGGTACACGATCCTTCTGATCCTCCTCGGGCTCAAACTTGTAGTCATAGGTGAGCTCCTCGTCTGGGAGAGAGAAATGTTAGTGGCTGATCGTGAGGGTCTCGGCTGCTCCGAGGTGCGGATGTCATCGAGGACTTACTTTGGCCAATGTCTCTCAAAGCATAGATAACAATACGCTTGCTGCCTTCGACCTTGATGATCTTGGCTGTGCAGTTGGGCATGCAGCTGTGGTTGATGAAGCGTGCAATGCCGCCCTTCTTGGTCGCATCGATAACCGCCTCGTCATCTATCCGGAAGAGGTACGTGCTTCCAATGCCGCTCTTGAGATATCTCGCCTCGCGCACCTTGGCCACCGACGGCCGCACCTCCTCGCCCACGTACTCGATGATCATGTCATCCTTGGGAATGTTTTCCATGGCGTACAGCCCCCAGTTGTGAATTGCGGACCGTGCAAACTTGACAGGCTTCTTCCGCTTCCTAAGCTGGTTGAACCGCAGCACGTCAGAGTCCTGCCCGAGCGTCTTCTTCTGGTCGTTCAGGTCGGCAACCACACGCCGGTGATTCGCCCTGTTGGCACGCGACGTGCCTCGCGACATGTTATTTTCGTCTGGCACCTTGACCACCGTCAGCGTCTTGCTGGGTGCGTTGATCGCCCTGGCCTGTCGTTCCTCGCGCGCTTTCTTCACTTTGATGTGATGCGGCAGGTACTTTGACTTCTCAGAGTTGAGGATCTTCTTGACACCTTCTGTGCGAGCTGATCCCGTCGGGTTAGGTACGTAGTAGCCCTCGATCTTGGGCTGCTTGGCGCCACCCATTTTGGGATCGACATTAAGCCTCGTGATTCGGTCCCGCCTCCAGAGCCAGAACTCTGGATCGTTGATGCTGCCAACTGGGAACCTCCGCTTGAGCCTCGCGAGATCGGGACGGTCCTTCGTGCCGAGGGCCAAAGCATCCAGCGATGTAATGTCCAGCTCGAATTTCGGCGGCAGAGTGAAGGCAGAAACGAGCTCTTCTGGATAGAGCTCGGGGTCCAGTCCAAGCCTCTCTGACACCTCTGTCGTACTGGGCTGTTTGGTTTGCTCGGTCGGCTCCACCTGCGGTTCTGGGGTGGCCTCGGTCTCCTCGGCCTTCTCAGACTGCTGTAGCGCTTCTTCTTCAAACACCTTCTGCTGCGCGATCCTCAGGGCCTCTGCCTTCAGAGCCTCTCGCTCCTCAAAGATCTGCTTCTTTGTCTTCTTCTTGCTCTTGGGCGCCTTCTTTTTGCTCTTGACGTCCGCAGAAGTTGGGGTCGGTAGGCGCGAGGTCTCGGTATCCTCCTTGCCCGCAGCATCCGCGTCTTCAATGACAATATCCTTGACGACGGGTTCGCTCGGAATGGGAAACTCGGTCTCGACCTTGTCGATCGTCACGCCGAACAGCTCCTCGTCGCTCTTCTTCTGGCGCTTGATGGCAACCTCTACCGGCAGCTCGAGTTTCCTCTTCTTGGTAGGCAGCAACGCAGAGTCGTGAACCGCAAAGCTGGCCTCTGTCATGGAGTCCTCTTCCTGTCTACTCCATGACCCCAGCTCGTCCTGGACCGCATCTTCGTCGGTGCTCATCCGACTGCGAGGTCTGGACTCTGGCTCCTCGGTGTCTTCAACGCGAGCTGTCCGGATGTCCAGGTCTTCATCCTCAGACTCGTTGTCGCTATCCGCCTTGAGACGGTAGTGAAGCGAACGGAACGCGTTGCGCACCCGAGCTGGCCGGCGGCGCTCAAAGGGGTCGACAAAGCCTGGTCTCCTCTCAGCCAGACCCGCATTCTTGATCTTGCGGATTCGGGGGAGAGATGCGACATTCAAGCGGGTTGGCTTTCCCGTCCTACTTTCAATCGGATCTGCACGGGCATTCGGGGTAGATGCGGTCGACCTGTCGTCACCGCTGTCCAGCACGATGCTAGGCACATCGGTGTCAAGTGGTTCCTCCAGATTCAGCTTCCGGCGCTTCGCCACATGGTTGGCAGGATCAAGATAGGTTACCAAGGCTGGCATCGCTATCTTGGCGCGGAGGTGTCGCATCAGATGCCCTATTATCTCGGTCTTCATAACCCTGGCGGCTTCGAGAGACGGGTCGAAATCTTTCGCTCGTTGCTTCCTTTCTTCCTCCAGGTCCGCATCCTCATCGCGGCGGCGCCGATCCCGGTCGTCCCTGGGCTGTGGCCTGGGTTCTGCAGGCGCTCTCCGCTCGGGCGAGGGGCTGCGTTTCCTGGCCTCTGGCACTTTTTGCGCCGGGCCCGGGGCCGCCAAGGGCTGGCTTGTTGACTTGGCGGCTGGGGGCGACAGGTAACCATTAGGGTAATATGTCATGACCATCGTGTAGTCGAAGAGACGCCGGCCATCTGTGGCCTGATAACACCTCGCAGCAGCGTCGCGGCTCTTTTCTAGGAAGATGATATAATACCCGGTCTTCTCAAGGTATAATATCTCGTGGATCTCGTAGGACTTCAAACGTCTCATCATATGGGGGATGGTCAAGTCCGACGCCGGCACGGAGCTGTGGGGAATGAATATGAAGGGCGTTAGCTGGATCGCCGCAGAGACGTGGGCCTGCGCCTGGTACCGAGGGCTGCCAACAGGCGCGGCAATCATATGCTTGTTGATGCCCGGGCGCACGATGTCAAACACTTGCGGTGGTGGCACGGGCGATTGTGGAGGCTGGCGGAATGCTTTGGGGGCCGTTGGTGGTGCCCTCGCAACGCCTCCAGGGTTCCTCGGCGCAGTAGGGATCCTGGGCTGGTTCGCAAGTGACCTTTCTTTGTCCTTCCTCAGGACATCCTCCATCATGCGACCGCTTTTCCTCCCATCCGGGTCGTATTCCACCCGCACTTGGCTAGCCTCAATGCGCATCCCATTCATGCGCGTGACGGCGCGCTTGGCGGCGTCAATGGCCGCGACGGAATGTGGCCGCGAGCGGTTCGGCTGGGAGTCCTTGTAGCGAAACGTCGCAAAACCCAGGTAGCTCCCCGTCTCAGGATGCATCTTGTTGGAGCTCTCGGCGATGTCGCCACACGAGCCAAAGACGGCAACGACCTTGGAGAAGGAGAGCAAGGGATTGAATCCCATGACGACAACCTGAGTCGGCGGGCCAGGGCCAATGGCAGTCTTCGGGTCGTAAGGGTACGGGATAACGTTGTAGGGCGCATGGCGCAGGCGTGCTTTTGGATTTTTGCGAAAGTCGACGTTGATATAGTTGAGCCGGCCGCCTTTGGCCAAGCGCGGGTCCGGAGGAGAGGCGTCATTGTCTTTCTATTCATTCAAATGTATTAGCCATCAGTTCCACAAGACATATGACGCCCCTCCTCCAGCAAGTATAGTATAGGTATCGGTATACGTACGATGCCGAAGTCTTCATATATGGGCTTGGAAGACCTCTTCTTGTCGGACGGCACGGACTTGTCGAGCAGAGGGTCATATATGCACCTGCTGCCCATCACGGGGCGAGTCGTGTCGCGGGCAGGGATGCGCTCGACGGCGGCGGCGTCAAGGGACAGCGAGTCCGCATCTGGCAGAGCGCCGTTGGGCGCGGGGGCGGTCGGGGTGGACGAGGGCGGCCCATCGACCTTGTCGGGGCCGAGCGGTGTTGAGGCTAGTGGCCTTGAAGGGCCAGATGCGACCGAGTAAGAAGGCGACCCGAGGTTCGTGAGCGGGGTGACATGGCTGCTCGAGCTCTTGGAAGGCGCCATGGCGCTGTGGTGGGGCGCCGACGAGCTGAAGACGGACGAGGTAGTGCTCGCGTGCGAGCTCGCCGAGCCAACGGCGTTGAGGATGTCGCCGGGGATGGACTCGCTGTCATCCACGTAGGGTCGTGGCGTGTCGGATGCGGGCTCACTGCCGCGCAATGGAGGCGCCGAGGAGCTGCACAAGGCCGGGGCGGTGTCCTCGGCGGGCTGGCAGTCACCGCCGAGGGGACTGGGACGTGAGATAGCAGACGTGGACGGGGGGTCGGCCGGCCGCTTCCTGGCCCTCTCTCGCTCCAGTGCCCTATCGCGGACGGCCTTGGGCGCGGCAGGGAAGCATGCGGTGAAGCTCGCCCCCGGGGGCGGAGGCATCGTGGAAAATTATCTCGTCAGCCACAACCACCGTCCACCAACCATCGTATTCGCGTCGCAGATGCTACTAAAGCGCAAACATGTGTGTCGGGGGAGGATCGCGGAATCGGAGCGACGGTGTTGATGCGATGACAGGTGGGTGAACGCGCGGAATGGCCGCTGGGCTGGGGCCACGCGACAGATGAGCGCTGCTGTCGGTCGGCTCCAAGCTGCGGCACGGGACTTGGGAGATGCGAGCGAAGATTCAGAAGACGCCCTGCGTGGGCGGCTGAGCCAGAGGTGGCGGCAAAGTGAGGCGGCAGGCAGACGGGGGCCAATGAGGCCGGAAACGAGGTCTGGGACGCGCTGCGACAAGATCGCCGGGGTTTCTTTGGGCGAGCACCTTGTCGTCGAGGTGGCGTCGCGGGTTGCAGTGGCAGGATGCAGATTGAGAATGGCGAAGTTGATGTCGGAAAAAAGTGGTCATCAGGGATGGCGGCACTGCACTGGCGTAATGGCGTCGGCGGGTGGATCCACACGCTGGGCCAACTTAAATTTCGTGTCGGCGTGTTCAGGCGTCTTGCTCCTCCAATGGGGACGTGCATTCAGCGGCTCATTCAGCTGCCGCCCCAGCACAATACTTGACCTTATGCTGTGGCTGGTCGGGCTTCCACTGGGGAGATCGGGAACCCACCGCCTTACTGCCTGGTCCTGCGATTCCCGTCTCCCTGGGTGCCGGTTGGTGGGTTATGTAATCTCGTCCCCGCAACGATTGGTCGTGCTGCTGCAAGCTATTGTTAGGGAGGGGAGGGTCTGAATGACTTGGAAAGACAATAAACTGAATAGGGGACAATATGAAGCGCGAGAAGGCTCGGGATCTGTCTGGGCCATGTCGGGGGAGTGTGCACTGGGCTGCAATGGGGCAGGGACAACACCAAGGAGGGCGGGGGGTTGCAACGGGAAAGGGAGGTTTCTTGAAACCATGGAGCATTCTCTTGTGGTGGCTGCATACACCCCAAATCTCTATGCAATCTCGATGCTGATTGGAATGACGCCGCTCTTCTGCTCAATGCCAGTGGACCCTACAGCCTGCCTGACGCATGCGCATGGTCCAACAACGGAACGATTGGCCATTTTCGGCTTGCCCCTTTCCTTGCACGTAAGCCAAGGACCAAATGGAAGAGCCCATCGTCCACAACAGTGCTTACTCTACCGTGAAGAGTGAGTGTTTTGCGTTACTATTTCCCTTTTCTTTGTTACACCAATCAAGGAGTGCATGAGGAATATTCTTTGCAAAAAGAATGGTGGCACCGAAACTAGGTATAGAGACAGTAAACAATAACCAAAGCCCAGAACACAAAACCCAAAACTCCAAATCAGAGCGCGCCGTCGCGAAAAGCAAGAGAGAAAAAATGGCGGACCAAATGGCCCAACAACGAACGCCTGATCATTAGGTAGGTACATTTTTACGTGATTGGCAAACTAAGGAGAAGACGTCAAGGAAGCAACCTAGAAGTCGATAGTCATCTTGAAATCATCCATATCGTCATCCAGGTTGAAGTCGGCAGAACCACCCAGGTGCCCGTCGTCGTCTTCCTCAGCCTCGAATATGGACAGAAACTCTAGCCGTCGCTCGTCGTCCGCTTCCTTCCTCGCCTGGCTCTGAGCGAACCTCGCCGGTGTGATGGTTGAATCCGAGGCCGTCGAAGTAGTACTCGCTGAGCGGACCAGCCCGGAGCGCGGGACAGGGCCAACATTGGACGAGCTTGACGGCGCAGGGGGAGGCGAAGGACCCGTGGCTCTGTCGGGACGGGTCTTGAGCATGGATGATGCGGTGCGGCCCTTGGTGTAGCCGAGAGTGGTCCTGGAAACCGGCGCTGCCGACTCGGCCGGCGCCGCTCGGGGTCCAGCGGACATGGGCTGCGCCGCTTTCCTTATCGGCAAACCGAAGGGTTTGCTCGGCTTGGCAAGTGTCCTTCCGTTGTTGATCTTTGGTGCCATCGCTGTTCTGGGAGCTATGCTAAGAGACTGGGCTGCGGCGCGAGATGCCGCGGCAGATGGCGCCCTGGGAGGGATACGCATGGCTTTGACTGTCGAGGTGGCGGTTCTAGTGCCAACGTTGGTACTGACCGTCCTCTTGGACCGGGAACCAGGCACATCGCCGACGGACCAGTCGAACTCATCCAGGTCCTTCCTGATACGCGCCTCCGCCTCCTCCAGAGCCTTCTTTTGCGCCTCAGCAAATTGTCTCTCCTTCCGAGATACGCCATTAGCGTCTACGGGGTTGTGGTAGTAGTTGTAGAAGCCTTTCAGACGATTCTCTGGCTTCAGGCCGTCGAGAGTCAAGACACCATCCGGGAACACATCAGACTCGTACGGGAGGTCCCTGGGCTTGGGAGGGGCATATTCGATCTCTGGCACGGCTAGAGGGTCGGTAGCATCGGTGTGGATCTCAAGTTTGGCTGATTCCGTCTTGGGCGACCGCGCCCTAGGCTGCCGGGAGACTGTGCCGGGAGCCTGGCTCTTCTCGAACTCTTTGACGATGCTCTTCACGCCCTGCAGCTGGCCGGTCCTTGCTTTCGCGTTTGTTGTCTTGTTGCCAAGCGGCGCTCTTCCTGTGCGTGGCTCTGTATTCATGCTGTCAGCTTTGCCTGCCATAGATCTGCTTCCCTTGTACCTCCGAGCGACGACATACCAAGTGGTGTCGCCAGCACCGCCTTGCCCTTGCCAACAGTCCGAATGTTCTCGTTGCCATGCTTTGATTGATTCCCGAGCATGCCTTTGCCGAATACTGTCGTTGTGTTCTCATCGTTCAGAGGAACTTTCAGAGGTGTCTTGGGATATAGTGCGCCGGGTGTTTTGGACATGGTCGCCTGGCTCTTAGCTGCGGCCACAGTCTGGCGACTGAAAGCCAGGTTCTCCTGATCGCGAGCTGCGAGAATGCCGGCCATGATTGCTAACGCTTTTCTCTCGCACAGGCGTGGGGTGCGAAACTTGTCGTTCGGGGTCAGGCGATATTTGGGTATAAAGGTTGAAATCGAGTGGCAGGCGGAGTTGAGCTCAGGAGTAGCCAAGCGAGATCATGGAAAAAGTGATCGAAATCTCCCGCCCCAGGGTAACCAATATCCGGACCAGTGGGGACGCGTCTTGTGACAACCGGACTTTCGTGTTGGGCGACTTGGTTCTTGAGCGAAGGAAGCTCGGTACGTACAATTTGGGGATGTTGACCGGGAGCTCATTGTCGGCTAGCGTTGGCAGGGCAACGACCCGGAGTTCGCTGAAACGGCAGGCCTTCAGGCTGGCCGCAGCCGCCACCCCACCACTGGTCTCTTTCCGGCCCAGCATTTGGGTGGGCCCCCCTGGCAAGCCACCGCACGCATGCGTCTCTGGAAGGGTCTGGAGGGGCAGGTGCCAATTTCGCGAGGTCTTCCTGGTCTCACCTACATTCGGAACCCTCCTTTCCCATTTGTCCAAACCGTCTTCTTTTAGCTGCGATCGCATCCCCAAAAGCCAACGTCAGAAATTAAGCCACTCAGGAAACCTCACGACATTACAAGACTCTGCTACACATCCCGTCGCCGCCTTCGAACTCGCCCGCCATGGACCGTATCAAGGAGGTGAGTCCGACGTCTTGATGGGTCGCTCTGACAGCTGCCCGCCCCCTCGATCGAACCCCACCCGTCATCATGTCATCGAAGCTTCCCGCCACACGACGCAGCTCCCAGCGATGGGCGCGTCGAAGAAAGCAGCGCTGCTGACCGCTTATCATCGTGCCTTACCCACGTCCGTTTGCAATGACGACAGAAAATGAACCAGCTCCGGCTGGAGGCGGACGAGTCTAACGCCAAGGTGGAAGAGCTCCAGGCCAAGCTCAAGGTCCTCGAGCAGGAGAACCTCAGCAAGGAGCAGGAGATCACCTCGCTGCAGCACAAGAACGGCGTCCTGGAGGCCGAGGTTGAGAAGGTTGAGGATGCTGTCAAGAACCTGAAGAAGATGAACGACGACAACCAAACGGCAGGTACGCAGAACGAGAGCCTCACTCGCAGGCTGCAGTTGCTGGAGGAGGAGGCCGAGGAGGCAGACAAGACACTCAGGGAGACTAACGAGAAGTGAGTTTCAATCCCCTGGCATTTCACCGCGTGCTCCTCTCGCCCCCGCCACGTTGCTAACGCTGATCTGTTCTCCCACAGGCTTCGTCAAACCGACGTTAAAGCCGGCCACTTCGAGCGCAAAGTCCAAGCTCTCGAGTCGGAGAGAGACAGCTGGGAGACGAAATACGAGGAGATGGCACAGAAGTACGCCAAGACTCAGAAGGAGTTGGAGGACCTGCTGGCCGAGGTTGGAAACATCTAGATCTTCCCTTTCGAGAACCGACCTGGCCGCCGAGGCGGGTATTTATTTGCTGTGCGAGTCGCAGGTGGAAACTTCCCGGGTTCATGTACCGTTTTACCCCTTGATTTCTACATGCCCCTTTTAAACCGAATCGAGCAACAAGCACATCGCCATTGCACCATTCGATGCACATATTTGCCTTCTAGTCAAGTGGATTGCACAGGCCTGTGTGCGAGTTTAGGGATGCAGACTTCTCCTCTTGTAGGTAGGATCAAGAAGTCAACTAATATAGTGTTGTGTGGGGAAGCTGTGCTCTCGCCCTGGAACGATTACGCGCGGCCCTTTCTCCAAGCTTATTACCTGAGAGTCCAGTACGACGGCTGGGGTGAGAACGTGGCGGCTGGGGCTGCGCTATATGATTCGATTCTCATGACCTAGCGGCGAGCTTTTTGGCCCTCTGTTTTCTCTCCGTCGCTCGCCTCTCTACCTTTGTCTCGTAGCGGAACTTCTTCTTTTTCTTCTTTGGGCGCTGTTGATCCTTGGCCTTCGCGCTCTCGTTCCCAACCTTCGTCTCTTTCCTCGTTTGTGCTTCGTCATCGCCCTCCTCGCTTGAATCGCTGACTTTTGGTTTGTGTAGCCCGTCTCTATCCACGTTCACCGATTCGACAGTGACTGTGGTGAACTTGTCCTCGTCGATATACTCCTCCTCGAAGTTCATGGGTTCGAGCGCCGGGGGAGGGTCGGCGAATCCACCCCACTCGTTGCCGGAGCTGTCGTCGGAGTCGCCATGATGCCCGGCCATTTGTGCTTCCCGTAGGAGCGTGTTCACCTGCTGTACATGATTTTCGATATCTTTCTTGCGCTCCTCCCTCATCTGCCCCAGTGTGACATCTTGTTAGCTTTCCGAAAAAAAAAACCGTCTGGGGTGCGCCACGAGCTGCTCGTACCTGTTTCCTCAGCTCGATCTTCTCCTTGCGCGCCTTCTCGGCCGCAATCTCCTGCGCCTTTTTTATCCTCTCCTGCTTGCGCTTGTGAAACCCTGTGAGATAGTCGGCGCGCGCGGTGTTGTCGAAAGATATCTCCTCGATGCTGGGGGCGGCCTTGCGCTTCTTGGACGGAACCAAGAGTGGCCTCTTCGGCCGGGGCTGAGCGAACATGTTGTCAATTCCTGCAAAGCGAATAAAAGAGGCAGCCTAACCGGTGGTCCAATCTGCTTTCTCAGAGTCCGAATGCCGCTCAGAATGTTTCTGTGTTGTCGCCGACGGGGTGGCTGCATTTGAGCTTGTCAAGAGGCCCCGCCAAACTTTTTTGCTAACACCCCTGCTTGGACGGGCTCAGCGAAAGGGAAGCTCCGTCACCGCCGCTGTGGACGTGCAGGGCCACCCGTCCCCCTGCATCACCAGCTGAGCCTGGATTGAATCGCACGTGCAGCCACACGCCGACATGATTTCCTCCATCTCAAGATGGGAAAAGAGGTACCTGTCTAGAAATCCCAATGACCTTCTCTTTCAGGTATAATAATAGTAACCCAATCAAGCAGCTTAGATCGTTTGAATTTGTCGACCAAGGGTACTGCGATCCAACCACCTAAAACCCCTACCGCAGTCACAGCGTGAGGCTTGCCCCTGTGCCAGTGTGGCTTGCGCCTGATCTCGGTCCGCGTCCCCAATGACGCCACAGTCTTCCCCAGCTTGCTGAGGACCGAATCCCAAGGTCAACGACATTGAAGCCGACCGCGAACACGACGCAGTTTCACCTCGCTACACCATTCATCACTCAACAACCCGTTCCATTTCCGTAGCACAATTGAAAATGCATCTCTCATTAGGTGCCAGTCTCCTGGCGCTCGCGTCGTCGGCGTGCGCATTTTCCGACTCGTCTCCGTTTGTTTTCATGTCAACCGCCGAGTATGTTCGCTCCAATCCCGGCCTCGCTCGGGATGCTTCAGACGCGCCCGTCGCCAAAGACCTGTCGACATGATGGCTGACTCAACCGTATCCGGACTCCCCACAGCATCGAGAGACCCTCTTTCTTCAACGGCAACCAGTTGCAGAGCAACTCGCAGGTTCTCCGCTCGGCCAAGGCCATGCTCGACGCCTGCCCGACGGACTGGTACCTGCTCATCTCGCAGCCGAACGTGCACGCTTCGGATCTGCGGTGCACCTCGGAGGACCTCAGGTGCCGACGCGCCCCGAATCTCGTCCGCAACGCGCCCCTGGCCCGCCTGTCGGTCTCCGAGGTCGTCGGCAGCCTTTCGTTCGAGGATTTTAGCGAGCACATCAAGGCTGCCTGCCTGCAGCAGGGGAAGAAGGTCCACGTTGTCGAACACACTCTCAGGGAGCTCCCATCATCGCGGGGCGCGGATGAGAGGGCCGCAGTCCTCGAGGAGAATGGTGAGTGGGAGCCTCGCGTGAATGTCCTTCGGGGCTCGGGACGGGCAATTCTGGCATGGGCTACTAGCTGACAGAAATCACTCCCGCGATAGACCATGAACTCGGCAAGATTTTGGACAATGCTCAGGACGAGGGCGAGTACACAGCCATCTACTTCTCCAACCCGAACAAGTTCAAGCCCTACGAAGCCGAGTTCGGCGAGCCGGTGCACATGGAGCTGAGGCGGCAGTCGGTCCCTCCTCTTGTCCAGGCGAGGGCGGCGGGTGGCAACTCTACACACCGTCCGGCGCCTATGGGCCTGTTCCAGAAGTACCAGTTCTTCACCCCTGGTAAGCCGCTTCCATGCACGCGTTGCGTGTCTTCAACGATTCAGGCTACGATATTTGAACTAACTGGACCTAGGCGTGTTCATGGGATTCGTCGCCATGATAATCATTCTTTCGATCCTTTACGTTGCGCTCATGGCGCTCGGCAGCCTGCAGGTGCCGTACGGCGCCTTCGAGAAGGACATGGGGCCCGCGGCGCAGAAGAAGCACAACTAAAGAGGCATCCTGAGGATGCGATTTTTTCCCCTTTGTTTCGGGGCAGTTCCCCCCCCCCCCCCCCCCTCCGGAGGATGTACGTCACCAAGGACAGTTGGGATAGGGAGTTATGGGCTTGTTTTTTTATGCATATTCAGAGTACAGAGCGATCATGTCGGTCGGTAATTCTGCTCGCCATCTCGAGTGATTTTGTTATATGGGTATCGTCAAATTGCGACAGTGTATCAAGGTGCCATGGACCATTACCCACTGTAGTTTGCTCTCGTTTCCTTGGTCAACATGCCATCGTGCACATTCATTTACCGGTCGGCGATGTCCATTCTTTTATTTTCCTCCCTTAAGCCAGAACCAGAACTCCAAGATGAATTCAAACATGCAAGTGTTCCCTAAGACCCGGACACGTCCGCCCCTTCAGTTCAGACGAGATGACTGGGGAGCAGGAAGTTTGCTATCCCCTCCCGGATGGCGTACTCGTGATTGCAGTTGGAGCACACCAGCTTCCCCTGGTTGATCTGGGTCTGGATGAGCAGGTTGTGCAGGTCCTTGAGCATCTTCTCGTCCGCCTTGAGCGCCTCCGCCGTCGGCGGCTGCGGTGGGAGGGCAGGGAATCCGAGCTGGGCGTCACAGTTAGTGGGGAGGGGTTCCCGTCCTCGTCTGGGTTCTTCCGTCTTTTTTTTCTTTCTCCTGCTTACCTCGGTTGCGGTGGTGCAAAGCGCAGGCCAGTCGATCCTCGGCAGGATATTGACCAGGAGCTGGGCGTTGAGCTCCACGTCGTCCTGCACCAGCTCGGCGTCCTTAGGGTGGAGAGGGAACGAGTTTGACGATGCTCGGCATGTCTTCACCGCGCAGGTGAGGAAGTTGAGGCTGAGAATCTTCATTTTTCCCCCCTTCTCCGTTGGCCTGGATATTATTCACACCTGCTGGAATCGAGCTGGTTTTAGCTGTAGATTTTATCCAGGCACTTTTTGTCCGTCCGTTGGTCGACTTTGAGCCGGGCTGTCATGCACGCTTCTCTGGTCCGGACTTGCTGGTGGATTGTTCGATGTTCCTCCCCGCAATCAAACGCAGATTTATACTTGGCACGTGATCACCGCCATTCTCTTCCGCCAACCTGCACAAAGGTAACCAGCACCAGATAAATCGCCATCACACATCGCAGAGCAGCCTAGCTTCAATTTGGAAGATCAAGATCCGAAACAAATTTAGATAAAAAGAAAAAGAATGACCGGATAGATTGCAGCGGCAGGGACAACTACTTGAAAAATGATGAACACATGGCCAGCCACGCCCCCGCTGCTGTCGTCTCGGCGGCTTGGTGATGGAGAAAAGAGCTACAACAACGGCCGGCTTTAGGCCAGGTGCTTCTCGTAGGCGGGGACCTTGGAGTCCCGGACCCTGGTCCAGCGCACGTAGTAGGCAACGGCCGATAGGATGATGCCAAAGAAGAAGGCCTTCTGCAGGACGGACCAGGCGGCGGGACCGCTGGCGTCGACCTTGGGAGCATCGTGGTGGGCCGACTTGGAGGGGGCCTTGGCGTCCTTGGGATCCACGGGCTCGTCGTTGTGCCCGGATGCCCAATCGGCACGGCCATATGCAGCAGCAGCTAGAGAGAGGTCACAGAATCAGCAAAAACCGAGGAAGTCTTGGAAAAATTTCATGCTTTTATTTTTCTGTTCCTCATGGTTCTCGTCACGTATTTTGGCGCCCAGGTCTATATATCCTCTAGTTCGGTTCCAGCCTAGCAAGACAGAAATCAAAAAGGCGAATATAAGACCGATACCCGTGTGTTGCACGGCGAGCCGGTGTAAGGCAGGGCAAAGGTAGGCAGGTCTGTATAGTGGAGAGATTACAGCTCCATGTGAATACCTTCTTCGGGAACCTCAAGCTCGCCGCTCTTGGCGATCCTGACCGTCTTCTTGGGCTTGTCACCGGGCTCCTTGTCGACGTTCTCGATTTGCTCGACGATGTTGTAGCCCTCGATGACCTCGCCGAAGACGACGTGACGGCCGTCCAGCCACCTGTGAGGTTTGGGGAAACAGTTAGTATATGTTTGCAGGAGGAAGAGCTGTGAGTGTGCGAACAGGCGCTCGCGGGAAGTTGGGGTAAGCGGTGCTCTTACGAGGTGATGGCGGTGGTGATGAAGAACTGCGAGCCGTTGGTGTCCTTGCCAGCGTTGGCCATGGACATAATGCCCTTCTTGCTGTGCTTGAGCTTGAAGTTCTCGTCCTCGAAGCGCTCGCCGTAGACTGCAGAGGAGAAAACAAGCGGTGTCAGTTACCCACTCCAATTATGCTGCCCATAAAGGCAGATAGGCACAGGCGCAGTCATGGAAGCTGTAAGTGCAATGGGCATTGGTACTCACTCGATTTTCCGCCGGTGCCGTCGCCCTTGGTGAAGTCGCCACCCTGGATCATGAAGTCCTTGATGACACGGTGGAAGGTGGAGCCCTCGTAGCCCTCGCCCTTGGGCTTGAGGGCCAGCTGGCGGAAGTTCTCGGTGGTCTTGGGGACGGTCTTGCCGTACAGGCCGATGACGATGCGGCCGATGGGCTTGTCGTCGTGCTCAATGTCGAAGAAGACCTTGTGGGTGATCTTGGGACCCTTGGCCGCGGCCACCGTCTGTGAGAAGCAGAGGACGGCCAGCCCCATGAAGAGGGCCGCGGTCACGCAGAACCGCCGGAAGTTGAACATTGTGGCTGTTTCGTTTGTTTCTGCTCTCTTCTTCTTCGTCTATCTCTCGCTTGGTGGAAGGAAGAGAGGATGGGAGGGGAGGCAATGGCTGGTGCTCTTATACCGACTCGTTGCAATTGGGAGGTGGGGGGCACTTTTTCCTTAGGAATTGAAGCTACCACGTTTCAAGAACGGGGTTTCAAAGCTCTTGCCTCCTGCAGCCGCCAAGGAGAAATGAGGAGCTGCCACGCCCGCCGGGGCAGGCTCCACGCGGGTCAATTCAGGGGGGCGGCTAGAGCTGCCAGAAGGCGGGGATTCAATGGCGAGCACGCAGGCGGCGAACATGGTGGCAAGTATTTTGTATAGTTGTTATTTTCTACTCTTTTACGACATCCCCCGCCTATCACCTTCCCTTATGCGATATCCTGTACTTATGTTGTTTTCTGGTGGTGCTGGCCGCAATGAGATGCGGACATTCTTGCTGGCGACCGAGGCACCACCCACAGTGCCGCAGAAAGCAGCCACCGAGGACGGCCGCGTCAGAGGGCCACTGCGTTCGACTGGACAGCGCCACTCCAGCCGCGGACCCACTAGAACTCGGGGGCCCAGCTCCGTTTTGCTCCTCTGGCCAGACATCCTCCGAGGATCCCTGGGACCCAAAAAGCGCATTCGATTTTGCGCGCGCAAGCCTAGATTGAACTGCCGGCGAACAGACGGGGGGCTGATGGGCTGGATCTTGCACCTCCGCACCTATTGTGATAGAGCATCTCGACCCAGGACGACGCTATCACGTGCCAGCGCGCCGAGCCAGATGCCCTCGCGCAGATGACGACACACTCGAGGAGAGAAGCAACAGGATGATGTCCTCAACCAACGAGGGGGACCCGTTCCTCCAGGTCCAGCAGTGAGCAAGCACACTACCCCCAGCAGACCAGCAGCCATCTTTCCAAACATTTACCTCCCCCGCAACGGGCCCTAACAACAGAACTGCGCAAACAGAGATGTCCTCACGCAGCTCAACTCGGCGCGGCCGCTCTTCGCCTCGTACCTCCGCATCCGGTCTCTGACGACGGCCGCGAACTCGCCAGAGCTGGCCTCGGCCCGGTCCGACCTCGAGTACGCCCTCGCGACGCTGGCCGAGGACCTGGCCGACCTCGTCGAGTCGGTCAAGGCCGTCGAGTCGGACCCGGTCGCCTTCGGCCTCGACCGCGCCGAAGTGACGCGGCGCAAGCGCCTGGTCCAGGAGGTCGGCGGCGAGGTCGAGGACATGCGCGACGAGCTCGCCAAGCGGCTCGGCGACGCCGCCGCCGCCATCGCGCACGGGAAGAAGAAGCAGGCCGCCGGCGACGGCTCCTCCTCCTCCTCGGACCTGCCGGACCCCAACGCCTTTGCCATCCCCGACGGCGAGGGCGGCAGCGGCGCCGGTGGCGACTCGTACGCCGAGTTTGAGCACCACCAACAGCTCCACATGCTGCGCGACCAGGAGGAGGACCTCGAGGGCGTGTTCCAAACCGTCGGCAACCTACGCCGCCAGGCCGACGACATGGGCCGCGAGCTAGAGGAGCAGCGCGAGATGCTCGAGGTGGTGGACGGGCTGGCGGACCGCGTGGGCGACCGCCTACAGACGGGCATGCAGAAGATGCAGTATATCATCAAGCGCAACGAGGACCGCTGGAGCAGCTTCTGTATCGCCGTTCTGATATTCGTCCTCATTCTTCTTTTGATTCTGCTGCTGGTGTTATGATATAAGGTTGCGTTACTAACGAGGGATCCCAAGCTTTCTATTTTCTTTTGTGTGCCATTATGGGAATGGAGTTGTGTTTTAGACGGAGGCGTGGGAGGCACGTCCACTGATAAACGCCTTCTTAATAAAAGTTTACAATATTTAAATGAGCTTTCTTGTTGTCTGTGTAAAGCAGCAAGCAGACTGTCAGTGTTATTCATGTATGATGCGACCGAGAGGTATATGTACTATCCGATCAAGGAGGGCGGCTTGGTATCCAATGAAGAAAAAAAAATCATCCGGGGGGAATCCCGTGCTGAGAAGGGCAAAGCCAATAGAGCCGTCTATGATAGATGTCGTTCCCAAGATATGGGCAATTCAAACATAAGCAGTCATTACACAATTCGACAAAAAACAAATTCAAACCATATCTCTTGCCTGCCGTCTAAACGCCGCGTCATGCATGTCGAGTGGTTGTGCTGCACAAGGCTCCCTTGTGCCTTGTGCTCCTGGTGGTGACAAAGTTCCGTTTCCGCCCTGTTTGAATCCATCACTGATCCTCCATTATTGGGGTTGCAGACAGCAGGCCGCGCATGCGCTTCGGGCTGCTAGCAGGTAAATCGCGCATCTGCGTAGGCACCAAGATAGCACAGACAGCTTGCTTGGTTGCGGGAGGTGCACATGCGCATCTTTCCTTCAGCTATTGTAGGGCGAGGCCATAGTCGCCCTTGAGGAGCTGGGCAAGCACCGGGAGCGCTCCAACAGCAGCCGTCATCTTGGGTGCCTTGGCCGGGAACTCGACCAATGCCAGTCGCAGAGCCGCGACTGCGGCATTCCCGTAAAAGTGTATGAATCGCTGTTCATAGTTCTCGATCATGGCCTTGAGTACGAGGCACTGCGTGTCCGACATCTCGTTGGCCGGAGTGTTGACAATTCGGGCTAGAGCTGCCCAGTACCTCGACGGAGGGAAGGGGTTCTGGTTTTTGGACCTGGAGAAGTCGCGCAATGCGATGGCGCCGAATCCTGCTCCCAGACCCGTCATGCGATCGGCGTGCATCTGCTCTGGTATCCAAGCACCGCCGGCTTTGCGCCAGCCGATGCGTATCCGGCCTTGCTCAGTTCTGTCGCTGCCACGGAAGCCGAACAAAACGGGACAGACAATCCGGTACTTCGCGAGGAGCAAGTCGATCATGGAGCCCCCTCTCCATTGAAATTCCGGATCGGAAAAGATTTTGGCGACAACAGTTCCAACAGCGTCTGCCAACTGAGGTTTAGCGGAGCACTCGTTGATGAACTGGGAGATAACAGACTTGGCGAAGACGTTGAGTAGGAAGATGAAGAGTGATGGCACCTGTGGTGCATTGTTCGTCACATTTTCTACTGGACTTCGAGGCTCCAGTAGAAATTCGTTCGGGTCGACTGGCTGGCTAGGTACTCGGCCTTGAAGAGCTTCTTGCAGATTCGCGGTGATTTTGGAAACCTGTTATGGACCGCAGTTAGTAGTCGAACCGTGAAGCTACAAGCATTCTGCCAGGCACAGGGCTTGTATACTCACCGCCTGTCTGTTGTTGGATAGTGCGCCCTCGACAAGTTGCCCCACGGACGTTCGAATCTCACGGCGCATCTCTCCCATCCTCGCCTTGAGCTGCGGGTTAACCTTCCGCTGTTGGTCCACGAAGGCGCGAAGCTGCTTCAGCTTCTTATGGACTTCAACATGGCGGTCTGGCTTGGCCACCGGAGCTGCTGGCGGGGGTTGGGGTTTCAATGCTGCGGCGGGTGCCCCATTGACTTGTGGCGGATTGGGCGACGGTGCCGTTGAGGCAGGCTTCTGGGTTGGTTGTACAGGCTGGGCTTGGTTCAGCGCCGGGAAGCCTCCATTGATCATGCCCCCTGGAGGCTTGTGGGGTTCTGGGGCTGCGACGGGCGCCGCGTTCTTCGTTTCCCCGTTGGCTAACGTCGAAGCAAATGGCTTTGGGGCATCTGATAACTGGCCGTTGGCGAGCGGAGCCGCAGCGGTCGACTTCGGAGCATCGGCGGGGGGTACTGGCTCTGGCGGTGGTGGGGGCGGCGGGATTGGGACAGACTTGGCCCTGAGGGCCTCAAGTCTTTGCCTTTCAGCAGCGAGTCTGGCCTCGGCGCGTAACCTATCCTCCTGCTGCTGCTGTTCGATCTGTACGCGGCGCTGCTCTTCCTGAAGATGGTAGTGCTTCAAGACCTCGATGGCAGTCTTCCGAAGTCCTTCATGGTCTCGCTTCGCCTGCGCTAAGCTGCGCTGATGACTCTCTTCGGTATTCCGATCCTCGATCCGGAGATCTTCCAGAGTCAGATCAATAGTCGAGCCCCAGGGGTGGGCGGTGCGGTTATCCACGGCACGCGTATCCTGCGTCGGGATACGCGCCGCCGGTGGTGAAGAATTCGCCATGGTGGCACGTCGTGTCTGGTCGGGCGCAGAGGCTATAGCATGGCCATTCGGGCGGCTTGTGTGTGTGTGTGCGGTGTCGGGTGGCTGTGGAGGGAAGCAAACGACGACGCGACAGGCCTGAGGATATCGGCTCTTTGTCGAGGACGGCACAATCAATCACGACTTTACGATGGGGACCTTTGCACAGTGCCAAACCCGGCGAATGGGGGCTGGGGGTGCTGTTGGATTCTGCCCGCGCCGGATGCAGGCGGTCAGCCACTTGCATGGGCCAACGCGTGAGTGCGGGGAGGCGCGCCAGGCTGGAGCTTTCTGGGCTTAGGTTGCTGGCCAGTCTGGTTGGGGCAATCACCTGACACAGCATGGGGTAGGCCGGCCTTGAATCTTGGTTTCGCTTCCAGGTTTTGCTGAGGCCAGGCCACCTTGGTGAGCCGTGCACAGCAGCCTCGGAGATCGTTTGGGGCTCCCGTGGGAGTTGGTGAACTGTGACATGAAACACGACTTGGCCTGGAGCCGGGCCACGGAGACTGGAGCGCTGTCACATCCCGCAATCTACCCAGGAGCGAGTGACGCAGTCAAGTACCGCTCGCTACTCCCTTGTCCCAAAGCCCAAGGATACGTATCACCTTCAGGGTGGCTTTTTTATCCAAGCCTGACTTCTCTCAATGTTGTCCTCTTGTTGCTGTGCATTCCGTTCCTTTCGCTTCGCGTTTGATTTTACAAATGGGTTAACTTCCCAGCGCTGAAGAACAGTCTTTTGGCTTATAAAGTTCCGTGTAGTGAGCAGCCTTTGCGAATGATGGCAATTGTAAATATATGCATGTCATCCCGGCAGGCTGGTTAGTAACATAAAAGTACACCCTCTTCGTGCGCTGCCTCGGAGAGCAACAGGGAAACATCCGTGAAAACATAGGAATAATTATTGCGTATGAAAGTTGATAGGGAGTATGATGACAGCGAAAGTACGTAGGCATAAGTACCTAAACATGGGACATCATAGCACTCCCTCTCGAAAGTGAATATTCTTCTTTGGCCGTTATTGTTGGGAGATGTCTCCTGTCATCAACATATACATCCATCCAATGTCTCGCCAGGATTGCGGCGGGACGAATCCCATCGGAAAATCGCCCAATTGGCGCTGCATACCGGATTGCCCAGTCTCTAAGCCACTGGACTGGACTTGCCTATTTCGATTGGATGCTACAGGAATCCTCCATGTGCTGTCCACAGAGGGAGGCACCGATGCCAAGGTCCTCAGATGAAGACACATCACCCAGGCAGAACACAGATGAAGATGTAGCCCAGCCAGCCTCAGGCGAGGGGTGTTTGGTCAGGGATAGGATTGACTAACTCGGCACAGGACAGATTCGGCAAGATCCAGACCCTCGATTCCACTCTGGCGTTGCTATGCCGCGCTCTAGCGTTGTCTGGGCGCAAAGTTCGGATACTTGCGCTGCGTGCAACCTCATGTTATGTACCTAGGCTGGTGGGGCTACACTGGCAAATAGACCGAGCCGCGCCTTTGGAGAGGCCGAGCTGTCAGCTTTATTTAGCAGGCGTACAAAGCGGCAGGATGCTTTTTTTGGGATCCCAGTGGGCGTCCCAAGCATCAGCCCGGCTCGCAGGCCGCGCCAGGCGAGCAAGAATGGCTGCAATGCGATTATCCCCTCGGGTCCTGATGTTTGGCCGCCCACCCACCGTGGAGTTTGTTGGCAAATTTTAATGACAAGACGGGCAGACAGACAGACTCGACATGGTCTCGTATTGTGACGGTCGTGCCACCATTCTGACGAGCGACTGCGACCTTTGGGCTGTCGAATCCATGTCTAGGGGTCAATTCTCCCACATCGCAGCAAGGGGCGTGCTCCGCTCTCCTCAGAGGGGGTTCTGCAGTGGGCCGCTAGCCAGCGATCAGTGCGTCTTATTTGGCGGCTTGAGTGGGGCGTCCACAGGCCTTTGGCCCTCTTGGGCGACTGGGGGGCTCTGTGATGGGCCAGGCAAAATCCCGCCAGCTGGGGCAACAGCCAGTGCATGCAGAGAAAGCCAGACCTACATCATCAACTTTGTCGGCCTCGACTCCGTCCTTCTCTTCTTCTCCCTCCCTCTGTCCTCCTGCACTCCTCCTCTCCCATCGTGCCTGACCCCCTCTTCAATCCCTACAGCCAACGCAGCCAGTCTCTCCCTCTCACACGTTCCTTGCTCTGTTCGCATCCCTCCTTTTACATTGTTTCCCACTTCCAACCCCACGCCTGCCTTGTCCCACAGCTCTCTGCCGTCTTGTCGGTCCCCTACCAACATCTGGCTCTAGCTCCTCAGCCTGCTCCCATCAAACCCCACAGACATCCAGACCCGAAGCTTCAAGCTCCCGCTTCCGACCGCATCGTACTGCAGAGAAAAAACAATACTTCCATCGACCGCACCCAAACACGCACTCTTGTCGCCACGCGCGAGAAGAGGGAAAAAAAAAAAAAACCACGGTTAAGCACTCGACGTGCACTGCCAGGTGCTGCTCAGAATTGATCCGCCATCATGGAGCAGCAACAGCAGAATCAACCTCCCACCGGGGGTGTTCCTGGCCCGACTGGCCGCCGGCTGCACATTGCTCATCGCCGTAGCCCATCGGAGCTGACGCCGTTGATGAGCATGTTCGCCAATCCCAACAGTAAGCCATCTATCCATCTTGTTTTGTTGTCCTTTTTGCAGCCGTCGCCATCCTGAGGCTGTACTTCACCAGGCTGCCAACTCCGGTCTGGGTCTGAATCCCGATCATGACTTTTTTCGGTCGCTTTTCCCTTCCTTCTTTCATCTCCCCTCAACCCCGACCGTTCATCTTGTTGGCCACCTCTCAGGCCGTTAGCCTCGCCAATGCCCTTCCATCTACTGACGTGTCCTCTTTCGCCTTGCCGCAGTGGAGCAGCTTGCCATCCAGCAGCAGATCGAGCTGTTGCAACAGCAGCAGCAGGCTCTTCAAGCCTCACACCAACAATATGTTAACCTGGGCATGATCCAGCCGGGACAGGCCATGCCTGGCGGTGCTTTCAATCCTTTGCAATCCGCCATGGCCCCGCAGGCCGGATTTCAGTTCCCTGGTCAGCTTCAACAGCAACAAGTTGCCATGCAGCAAGCGGCGGCTCCGGCACATCGTCGCAACCAGTCTGCCATTCCCAACATGGGCATGGGCGGCCCTCCGCCAGCTCCGTCCTCTGGTACAGCCGGAACTGGGTTCAACTTTGAGACCACCTCGGGGCAGGGCCGCGAGAACAACGCCGGTGGCGGCGGTCGTGGTGGCCGCGGTGGCGGCGGCTCTGGCGGTGGCCATCAACGGAGGCACTCGCTGGCCCTTGCAGACGCCAAGAAGGCGGCGGAGCTCGCCCAACAGAAACGCACCACCTCGGGGTTCCAGTTTCCCGGTCCAAACGCTTCGGGTTCGTCCGAGACCCAGGACGAGGAGGCCAAGCCTGCTGCGCAGCCTGCGGCTGAAAACCAGGCGCCCCAAGGTCAGGCCGCCCGGGGTGGCCGCGGCGGTGCCCATGGTAGAAGCCAAAGCATGGCTGTTGGGCGTGGCGGTGGTCGCGGTGGCGCCTCCGGGGAGGGTGGCCGTGGTGGACACGTCCGTTCATCCTCGCGCAACTTTGACGGCAACTGGCGTAATAACCAGAACGGCCAAGGAGATCAGCAACAGGCGCAGCAGCAGGGCTTCCAGCCAGGCCATCGCTCTCGCGGCTCGGTTAGCCAGGGCTCCATTGGATCTTTCCAGTACACCGGGCAGCCCCAGCTTGTCCAGATGCCCAACCAGATGCTTATGGCTGGCATGTACGCTGGTCAGCAGCAGCTTACCCCGCTGCAGATCCAGCAGCTTCAGGCGCTCCAGGCTGCGCAGATGAACGGCCAGCACATGGTTGGGCTGCAGGGCAGCCAGCACGCCCATCAGATGGGCCAGCAACCGCAGCAGCAGCAGCGCAAGACGCTGTTCACGCCTTACCTTCCCCAGGCCACCCTGCCGGCTCTTCTCGGAGATGGACAACTTGTGTCTGGAATTCTCCGTGTCAACAAGAAGAACCGCAGTGACGCCTATGTCTCGACCCAGGATGGTCTTTTGGACGCTGATATCTTCATCTGCGGCAGCAAGGACCGCAACCGCGCTCTGGAAGGCGATCTGGTGGCCGTCGAGCTTCTTGATGTCGATGAGGTGTGGGGTCAGAAGCGAGAGAAGGAGGAGAAGAAGAAGCGCAAGGACATCACTGATACCCGCTCTGGCTCGACTAACAACGGGAGCCAGAGCAACGCAAACGGCGAGGACGGCACCCCTAGTGAGGGTGGTATCCGCCGCCGCGGCAGTCTGCGGCAGCGACCTACCCAGAAGAAGAACGATGATGTCGAGGTTGAGGGTCAAAGTCTCCTGCTCGTCGAGGAGGAGGAGATCAGCGACGAGGCCAAACCGCTCTACGCTGGCCACATCGTGGCCGTCATTGAGCGTGTTGCTGGCCAGATGTTCTCGGGCACCCTCGGCTTGCTGCGTCCTAGCAGCCAGGCCACCAAGGAGAAGCAGGAGGCCGAGCGCGCTGCCCGGGATGGCGGTCGGCACCAGGACAGCCGGCACCAGGAGAAGCCCAAGATTGTCTGGTTCAAGCCTACCGACAAGCGCGTTCCCCTCATTGCCATCCCAACCGAGCAAGCCCCGCGAGACTTCGTTGAGAAGCACCAAGACTACGCGGACCGCATCTTCGTGGCTTGCATCAAGCGCTGGCCCATCACCTCCCTGCACCCCTTCGGTACCCTTGTTGAGCAGCTGGGCAAGATGGGCGACTTGAAGGTCGAGACAGACGCGCTTCTTCGCGACAACAACTTTGCGTCCGATGAGTTCTCTGACGCTGTGCTGCGCAGCGTTGGCCTTCAGGACTGGTCCATCGCCAAGGAGGATGAGGCCGCCATCGCCGAGAGGAGGGACTACCGGGATGAGAAGACCTTCACTCTCGACCTGGACGGTTCGACCGAGCTTGGCAATGCGGTTCACGTCAAGACCAAGCCGGACGGCAAGATTGAGATCGGTGTCCACGTGGCTGACGTGGCGCACTTCATCAAGCCCAACTCCCTCGTCGACCGCGAGGCCAAGAAGCGCGGCACCGCGGTGCATCTGGTCAACAGATCCTGCGCTCTTCTGCCCCCTAAGTTGGCAAAGGAGGTCTGCTCGCTTACCCCTGGCGACGAGCGCCTGACCGTCAGTATCGTTTTCCAAGTCAACCCGCACAACGGCGCCGTTGCCGAGGGCGACACCTGGATCGGAAAGAGTGTTGTGAAGCCTGCGGGCAAGCTCAACCTCGAGCAGATCAACGCCGCCCTCGCGGAGTCTGGCTACAGCCATGACTCGGTCCCTCAGAATGACGTCCAGATCCTGAACGTAAGTTGCCCCATCGCCCAGGCCTATTCCTATGGGTGTGCCCTCCGAGGCTAGTATCATCGCATCCGCTAATAATTATCCTGTCTATAGGCTGTTGCCCAAAAATTCCGCGAGGCTCGTCTCGGTGCAGGTGGAGAGGTTATCTCCCCTCTCCGTCTATTCAAGCAACTCGATGACGAGAACATTCCCCTGGAGCACAATATCTTCGATTCTACCACGGCGACGGAGGTTGTTGAGGAGCTCATGCACAAGACCAACGCGGCTATTGCCCAACGTCTCGCCGAGGCTCTGCCCGAAAAGGCACTTCTTCGGAGACAAGGCGCGCCGAACCCTCGCCGTCTCCAGACGATTGGTGAGCGCCTGACGGCGCTTGGTTACGAGATCGACACCTCGAGCAGCGGCGCACTCCAGAACAGTCTGTTCAAGGTAGAGGATGAGGATATCCGCAAGGGTATGGAGACGCTTCTGTTGAAGTCCATGCAGAGGGCCAAGTACTTCATCGCCGGCAAGACCGCCAAGCAGCTTTGGCCGCACTACGCGCTGAACCTGCCGCTTTACACTCACTTTACCAGCCCGACGCGGCGGTATGCCGACGTCATGGTTCACCGCCAGCTCGACTCGGTCCTCTCGGACGGCAAGACTGAGTACACCGAGGATCTCGAGAACCTCGTCAAGACTGTCGAGTCCTGTAACACCAAGAAGGAGTCGGCACAGAACGCCCAGGAGCAGAGCATCCACATCGAGTCCTGCCGCGGTATGGACAAGACGAGGCAGGATGCGCACGGCGACCTCATCAGCGAAGGCATCGTCATCTGCGTGTACGAGTCCGCGTTCGACGTTCTCATTCCCGAGTGGGGCTTCGAGAAACGTGTGCACTGCGACCAGCTCCCCCTGAAGAAGGCCGAATTCCGCAAGGAGAAGCGTGTGCTGGAGCTGTACTGGGAGAAGGGCGTCCCCAGCTCGGCCTACGTGCCCGAGGATGAGCGCCCCAAGGCGGCAGCATCGCAGAGGGTTAGCAACGCGATTGCCGCGGCACGCCAGGCTGAGGAGGCCGAGCGCGCCAAGAAGGAGCGCGAGGAGGCCACCCGCAAGCAGACGGAGACTGACACCATACCCACCGATGATGTGGATGCCCTGTTTGACGACGATGACGATAACGCCTCGGACATCACCGAGGCCATGGCTGGTGCCTCTCTGGCTGAGCGGCCAACCCAGAGCGTCCCGGGTTCGCCGGCTAGGACCTCGTCGTCGGCCATGGGTACCCTCCACCGGACTAAGTCGGAGTCCAAGGTGCCGGTTTCTGACCCTCCCGAGTCGCGCCTGTCCAACAAGGAGAAGTACCTGAAGCTGTTCAAGCTGCGGGAGGAGGGCGGCGAGTACATTCAAGATGTGACGGAGATGACGAGGGTCCCCGTGATCCTTAAGACGGATCTCAGCAAGAGCCCACCGTAAGTTGAAACGTTCCTATCCTGTCCCGATTTGAGCTGTTGACTCTAACCGATCTTCTGTAGATGCCTGACTATCCGGTCTCTGAACCCCTACGCCCTGTGAGGTGTCGGAGGTTACCTAGAAGCCTGTCATGTCGAGCGTGGCGGGCTTTGCTATCGATGGGATTGCTTGCTCGCACCCGTGGTGCAAATGGAATAGGCGTTATACACATGGAATGAGCAGAAATGGGCTATGGGGTTAGGTAAATGGAAAGCCCTCTGGCGACTCGGGAAACGAACTCCGCCGTGGGGGAAAAGGAGTTGGAAGGTCCGAAGTTGTAACAAGATGGTCAGTGTGATGACAGACGGTTCCTGAGAATGTTGTCGTAGGCTTTAAACGTTGGTGGTTATCGTCGGCCTCGAGGTATTCTTTTAGTCTCACGGTTTGATATGCCCGCACATTCAGTGCGTCGAGGGCAGCCATAGTATTAGAGCAAGACAATAGCAAATGATGAGCTTTAGAGAGAATTTGCTGGTGCAGGCCATCGGCTTACTGTTGAATTGCCGGTGAAGAGAGAGACTTATCATGAGTTGCTTAAGGCAGTCACGTCGGGTCTTGCGAGGTATAAGGGAACAGCTCGAGAGGGAGTGTCTGGGAATCTCGCCTATTTATATCACGCATGTCTCGACTTGTCACTGTGTGGCATCGCGTGGTGGCCAATGTGAAAGGAAACAATGACCCGGCAGGCGTTCAAGTGAAAAAAAAAAACAAAAAAAAGAGAAAAACGTAGCAAGCAAAACATAATATCCGATTGGGAGAGCCATTCGCATTCGCATTACTACGGGGCGAATAATTCGCCCCGTGGACCTTTTCAGCCTCGCTACCCTACTAGACTGAGGAGAGAACCATCTCGTGTCAGATACATGCTCGATCGCTAAAGCAGTGACGGGTGGATCGGAAGCAGACCAACCGCATAAGCGAGAAGGATGGGGACAGTGGGAAGTGTCAAAACACTATCGGATGCTCGGAAGGGATGATATAGCTCGGACACAATAGAGGGCCAAAGTGGAAGAATCTAAATGTGCAAGGTGCGTGCCTTGGGTACCAATGTGCCAGTTATATTGTGTCGGACGCCGCGTCTTTCTGGGGGAAGTCACGCCAAACGGAGTCTATTCGCAGGGCGCCGTGGCATTGTATGATCTCCCGACTGGCATAAAATATGTCCGATGGCAGAGAGGCGGGCCAAGTCAAAGAGGTGTAGGATCTGCAACCGGGGGAGGCTCGGAAGAGATTTGTGGACGGCGGTGAAGATCAACAGGCGGTCTCCGTGCCTGGGATTTGAGGACGGGCGGTCAATATCAGTAGGTAACTTGACTTGATGTGTATCTGCGGCTCTGCTTTTCATGTGGCCCTTCCATTCAAGAGGGGAATAACGGCCACTAGTCTCTCGTCCGGCGGCTGCATGCATATTGCCTCGGTTACATCCGAGGTGACTTCCCGTGGTTGCACGGAGTGGCGGGCACTGGAGGTTCTCATTTGGGTCGCGGGGATACGTGAGCCCAGTTTAGATGCTACTAATCAGCCTATCTGGGGGTGGTCATAGCATGTACATAGAAATCGACAGACGGACGGACGAAGCTACTCGGTACGTATCTCGACAACGAACCTGCCTAGCCAATCGCCAAGCCCTCGCCCGTAGGCAGATAGATAACGCGGATCCTCGGGGCTTGATTCATTTTAACACTCGGATGAACGTCCCTCGAGACATTGGATAATTGGGGGCGAGAGGGGGGAGATCCTTGGCGGGCGCAACACACAAAGAGCCGGAGGACATGCGTCTTGGATTCGTGGTGTGTAACACATGGGGGTGGAAGGGCCATGCCCGGTAAGCAGGGGTGGGACTGCACCTGACAGGACAGGAAAAAAAAAAGGATGAGCAGACAGAGCTGTAAGAAGAAGAGGAAACAAGAAGGTGAAGCTCGCAGGGCGCAGCAGGGCCGTTGTCAGAAACGATCTGGGTGCCACGCTTCCCTTGCTTGCAGGCAGGTACCCCTTTCGCGTTTTTTTTGTGCCCACCCCTGCGGTCGGGGGGAGGGGGAGAGGGCTCGTTCTTATCCGATCACGGGCCGAGCACAGGCAGGCAGGCAGGACAGCAAGCCCATGGAGCGAGCGAGGGAGGAGACGCGGAGGGATCAGCTGGCTGACGGATTGATAGCTGCAGCTCACGAGGCGGACCCGAACCCAGATCATCGGGCCGGCGACCCAAAGCTGGCGAGCTGCGTGATAGGCGAGCGTGGTGCAAGGGGTTATTTTAGCCAGCCATTGGGTCTGCAGGTACGGACGGCTGGTATCATCCATGTCGTTGACGCCCTCGTCCATAGAAGCATATCATGGCAGGCACGTTCGGCCGTCGACAGAAGGCGACGTCGTGTGGTCTGGGTACCCTATTTCTGTCCTCGTTTTGTCCCAACTCACCGCTAGTCTCTTTTTGTTTTCGCCTCTCGCAGCCTCTCGTTCGCCCCCTCTCCCTTATCACTCGCGCACCGGCCGCCGCCCGCAGTCAATAAAGACAAGCGAGATCTCGAGCGGGAGTCAGTGCGTTAGAACATGACACGTACTACTCAGGTAGCATGGCGTCCCGGGCGTTGCGAGAGGCTCGTCGCCAGTGCCGGGAAAAGGGCGGCGGGTGAGATGAATGTGACAGTTGCTCTGCCGACCCTTCAATCTCACAGGCGTCTCCAGCGTTAGTGATCTCGCTTACCGCCTACGGGGATTTTTGCTCCTTGGGTTTCTTCTGAACGCGGTCCCGAAGCCCCCTCCCCCTCCTCGTAATCGTAGAAGAGACACGGGGCCGATGATGCAAAGGCCAGGATCGGTGGAGATAAGCTATGGAAAGCTTGGCATAAGCGGGCTCGAGGCGTGCCAAACCTAAAAAGTGAGCACGTCAAACAAAGCTGAGCTGCTTTTTTTCTTCTGTAGGCCAGCAATCTACCCGACGCAGATTGGGGACCCGCAAGCCGAGCAGAGGGAGATGACGTGCCAAGGCTCCAAGCCAGAGAACTGGTGGCGGGCTGCACAGTAAGCTGTAAACACACCGGTGGTTGAAAGGCGGTTGTTGGAATTTGCCGCCGTTCATTCTGCTGGGTTCCTGCTGGGTTCCTAATAGGTAGGCACTTAGCGTATAGCCGCGCGCAGGAAGCAATCACAGGAAGCAATCACAGATGCCAATGTCGACGACGCACCCCACCAGCGTCGGTGCTTGCAGCAGCCTGCCAATCGTGTCGCAGACCTCAAGAGCGCCGCCTCGGCTGCCACACGGTCCGCCGCCCGAAACGAGCCTGAGACAGGATGAGGTCACAGAGCCTGGCCCGCCCCGACAGGGGGGCGTATGTGTGGGTGTCCGCCCGTTGGAGCCGCACGCGACGCAGGACTCTATGGCACCAAGCCCGATCGGGAATAGCGCGAGCATGGGGCCCGCGTTTACTGTGACCCTGTCGCTGTCGTGCCCGCCTGCGACCCTTGGGAAACAGCGGGGACCTGCAGGGCGGGTTGGAGATGCCGAGCCAAAAAAGAAGAGAGGAAAAAATTGAGCTCGCTGCCCAAAAGAAAGCCACACGCAGAAGTCTCGCAAACGCGGGCATGTCCACATCTCCAACTCACCCCTGTCCCGACCTTCATCCCATCTCGTTTCTGCTCATCGCAAATTCTCATTGGTCCCAGCCGCTGTTCTGGGCTCCTCTTTTGCTTTGGCTCCAGCGAGCTTATTTGTGTCGCCGCGTTCCACCTGTGCGGTCCCCGTCTTTTGTCACCGACGCCGTTGTCGTCGCTAGGGAGTTTCCTCTCCCCCCCCGTCCCCGCCACCATCCCCCTCCCCTTGTCGCAGTGGACACAGCCTGAAAGAGGACAGGCTCCCGGAAACGAAACAGGTCCTTCCTCCATCCGGACGGGGCTCCATGTGGTGGTGGGTTGGGCAGGGCGCTGGCTGGCTGACTGGTGGCGGCGGCGATTACCAGAGCCGGTGGCGGCGCGTCCACGAGCTTGCGTGTGCGTGTTTCTGTGAGTGTGTGTGTGCCCGTCCCGCGAGTTGAGACTCTCGCTCGTTCTGCCATCCGAACGCGCCGGGCGCCAGGACGGCAAGACGCGACCCCGGTCGACAGGCCCCATCCGTCCCAATGCCTTGCCTGTGCCACTCACGGCGCTCAACGTCTGAAGAAAAAGGGATGACTTGGTGCTGTCGAGTGTGCCGCGGCTAAGTCGCTCCGCCAAGAGGGAACCCACCTTACCTGAGGTCTCTTTTGCGCAGCAGACAGAGAGAGAGAAAGGGACCGAGCATGGGTGGGATAGCTTCCATTCCCGCCGCCGCCAGCTAGGAAGGAAAGATGTGGTACCTGGCTGGCTCGTCACGGCCACGACATGGCCGCAGCTGGCAGAGCACATGGCCCGCAAGCGAGGATCCGGGCCGTCGTGTGCGCGCGAGGCAGGCCGATCAGGTCGCCTGCCATCGCGAGTCGCCATCAGATCGAAAGGGGATGGGTGGTAGGATGGTACTGGAAGCCCCAAGTGCCGGCCTGCGCGAGGCTGGCCTCCGCCAAGAGGCAGAAGCACGCCCCCACACCCTGCAGGGAAGCGTCTCCTAGCCCTCCATCGCCCCCTCGCATTGTTGTCTCGATTCAAACACTCTCTCTGCGCTCGCCGGAAGGCGACGTAGCCGCCTGGGTGTGGGATTTGCCAGTGCCCCACACGAGCTAAATCAACCCCTGCCGCTGCTCGTGCCCCATCCCCTGTTTCCTCTTGTTTTCCCCTTGGACCCTCTAGCTTCTATGGGGGAACTCGTTGCATCCGGCTTTCGTCTCAGACTCTACTGCCACCTGCGCAGAGGGCGTGCGCGGTCCGGAACGAGATTTGCCCCGACAGGGTTCCATCACATTGGCGGCCCTTTTTTCTTCTTGCCTATTTTTCGGTTTCTTAGATCCACTCTGTTCGTTTCCCTCGATCCCATCATGATGTTTTAAGCTTCTCTCCTCCCCCTCATCTGCTCGTCTTCTCTCCCTCCCTTTCTTGCTCCTCACCCCTCGCACTCCTTCGCTACGTCTTCACTTCTTACCAAAAAAGCGCTGGTCTGCTTTCCCTGGGATCATCGGCTTTTTGCTCATCCACTCTCTACTTCCATATAATACCCCTTAATTCTTCCAACCGTCAACAACCACTTCCAACAAACAGCCGGGCTGCTTCATCTGAATAACTTCTCTGGCCAGAAACAAAAGTCACTCACTCCAAGTCTCCACTGTTGTCACGACGTCTCGAAAGAGGAAGGAAATAGAAACAAAAGGGAGAGGAACAAGGAGAAGTCCCACATAATCTACAAGATGCCTTCGATCATGAAGACCGCCGGTCTCGTCGTGGCCGGCCTGGCCGCCGTTGCCACGGCTCTCCCCGCCGGCCCCCGCCTCAACGGCAACCAGATGAAGCTGTACGAGCTGAGCAGGCGCCAGAACGCCGCCGCCGCCGCCGCTGGTCTGACCGACGTCGACATTCTGCAGTTTGCCCTGACCCTGGAGCTGCTCGAGGCCGCCTTCTACCAGCAGGGTTTCGCCAAGTTCCCCCAGTCGGACTTCCAGTCCCTTGGCCTGACGCCGCAGCAGATCACCGACCTCCAGGGCGTCGGCACGAGCGAGCAGACCCACGTCTCGCTGCTGCAGGGCGCCATCGCACAGGCCGGTGTCAAGCCCGTCCAGGCTTGCGAGTACAACTTTGGCTTCACCGACGCCAAGGGCATGGTCGGCACCGCCTCGGTCCTCGAGAGCGTTGGTGTCTCGGCCTACCTCGGCGCAGCGCCCCTCGTCACCGACGGCTCCATCCTGAGCACCGCCGGCTCCATCCTGACCATCGAGGCCCGCCACCAGACCTTCATCCGCGTCGCCTCGCAGCTCGCCGCCTCGCCCAGCGCCTTCGACACCGCCCTGAGCCCCAAGCAGGTCTTCTCGCTGGCCGCGCCCTTCATCAAGTCGTGCCCCGAGGGCTCCAACCTCGCCATTCAAGCCTTCCCCGGTCTTGCCATGGCCCAGGGCGCGCAGGTCTCCGCCCTGGCTTCCGGCCAGACCCTCAACCTGCAGGCCACCGGTGGCCAGGCCGCCGGTGGCCAGGCCGCCCAGTTCTGTGGTTTCACCAACGGCCAGATCGTTGGCGGCACCTCCTTCTCGCCCTTCGTCGCCGGCACCGGCTGTGTTATCCCCCAGAACCTCCAGGGCGTCGTCTACGTCACCCTGACCACCTCTGCCCCGCTGACCGGCAAGTTGACCGACGCCGAGATCATGGCCGGCCCCCTGGTGGTCCAGATCTCTTAAATCATCACGCCCCCAATCCAAACAGAAAAAAAATGGCACCTTCCTGGCGCCAACTTTTTTCCTTTTCCTCCCTCTATTCCCCCGCCTATCTACGAGGGACAAGAGCGCCATTGGGTCGTGGTTGATAATTAGAAGAGCGCGTGGGATCCGCCGGACGGCAACGGCGTTGTGGACAGCAGCGACGCGCGACATGAGCGGGACTTCCATCCTGCTGGGGACCAACAGCACAAGCACCCACTCGGTGCTCACTGCGTTCTGTTCTTCCTCTCGCCCGACACAACGCCGCGACGACCGCTAGTCTCTCAGCATTTTTAGATGGGATGAGCAACCCGATGAACCTTTTTCCTCATTTTTTTTTTTTTCAACACTTCACTTCTTTGGCTAGGTAGATAGCCTGTATATACCATATATACTTTGTCCCCCGAGGGTTTGACGGTGCTCTTTTTGGCCCTTTTTCTCGCCCTCAGTTTTGTCCAGCTTTTTCACGTCGCTCGACATGTAATATTTCCTTTTTCATCTTTTTATGCGCGACGCAGAGGGGTTTGGGCGAAAGCATGATACCATTTACAAGCGGATGAGCCGAGTCGAGACAAGGGAAAGTCTCCTCGCAAATTGACGTTTCTGTGTTTTCCATTTTTCCATAAATAAAACACTCCCATTTCAAAGCTCAAAAAAACATGACGAAAAAACCAATAAGACAAAAAATATCGCAAAGCGACCAATTGTGTTAAGACATGCCTCCTCACCGGGATATTTGCAGAGTTATTCCTATCCCTCCTCCCATTCGCACCGACTTCGATCGGGTGTAGGAAAAACACGGGATGTCAAACCAAGCGGCGAAAAAACGGCTAGCCTTCACCTCGGGCTGGTGGTGGTGGTGGTGGGCGCGCATGAACTTCCAAGCCTGCCGTCAGTCTCGAGTGCCAGGGTTTGGTGTATCACGACACAACAAAGCCATGGGTGATGCCGCGCTCGGCCCCCAGTGTGGTGGGCCCCAGCAGCCCTCCGTACCCTCCCTCCTCGTTCGCTGCTTCTGTGAGCGGGCCGACGTCATGTCTAAAACACGAAAGGCGAACATCATGGGCGGGAGCTAGCGCTTCCACTTTTGGAGTTGAGGCGGACGTGCCAAAATGGTAACTTAATCGTGTAGGCAGGTATATGGAGGGCCTGGTCCTGGCTGATAGGTATCCAAACGATAACAGCCACTCTCGCTGGAACGCAATGGCGGTTCGTGTGGGTTGGGTGGTAGTCTGTCAGGCTACTTTGCTATGCTACCCTCGTCTCCCGCAGAGAGCTGGTCGAGCACTCTATTGTAGAATCCAATCTTGCCGGGGTCAAGGAACAGCTTCACTGCTCCCGCCAGGTTTTGGATGGTTCGATTCGCCAGCGTCGTTGACAGGCGTCGGTCCGGCCCTTTCTGTACCTCGGCCTCCCTCACGAGACGCACATATTCGTTCCGGTCGTCCCATAGTTGTACCGTATAAGAATCTTTCGGCTGTCCCTTATCGTCGTAGTTCTGTGGCGCATCCATCGGCGGCGGTACAGTACTGAGAAAGAGCGGAAACTGCACCACCTCCCATGGCACAGTCGATGCGTTTTCCCAGTCGATGACGCTGAGAACGTTGCACTCGGGATCGACGACGATGTTGCTGCTGTGGAAATCGGTGTGATATAATGGGAAAGGGCTGCCGATGAGGGAAGTGTGGTTTGCGATAGCTGCCAAACGAGAAGGGAAGTTTCGGATGGATGTGGTGATTTCTTCTGCGATGTCTCTGGGAAGTATACTGCGTAGCTCCATCTCCGACCTCGGAAATTTGGCGTGTTCCGCCCTGGCTTTGAAGTATTCGGCCGCAGTGGAAAAAGGTCCTCCTAGGTCAGGGAAAGGCCCAACATCGTATGAACCGTCGTCCTGTCGGACCAATCTCCCAATCTTGGGGAGTCGGACAGATGCGATCTCCGTCTATTATTCGCGTTGAGCGTTAATTAGCAAATGCCATTCCCCCCTCCTACCGTACTTTCCTTTTTTTTTTTTTGCAGGAGGCGGGAACATACCTGTACTGTAGCTACTTGTCGCATGAACCCGGGCTTGTACCCTTCTGGGATCTCGCCACCATGTACATCAAAGCCCCCAAAAGCATCCATCGCCGTGTTTCCTAGAATAAACTCCATAAATACAAACGGAAAGCCGATGGAGGCCTTGGGATCGAATGCAAAGATCTGGGGAACGGGAATGGTAGTGTTTTCGCGGATGTACATAAGCGTGTCAACTTCATTTACAAGCTGTTGATTGTGGTTCGATTGATCCGTGCCGCCGTGCAGCTTGATACGCGCCACCCAGCGTTCGCCATCATCGAACTCGACAAGTCGGACGAGATTGACTCCTCCACGGTTGTACTTTGGCAGGAGGGTGCATGTCGAAAAGGGCGGTTTGGAAGAGCAGCAACCCTGATAAAGGGACCGTCTTGCCCGGATCGCGCGATCCTTGAGGGCGCCCCAATATGAAGGGCACAAAGACTCAACAGCAGCTGTGTCGTCCCAATTAAGAGTCTCCATAAGGTGGAGAGCGCCGTGTTGGGCGGCCATGATTTGTTTCGTCGGCTCGGGCGATGCCTGGTCAAGTGGTGAGGGGTTCGTCCTGGTCTACGTAGAAAAATCAAATGGTCCGTGCCAACTCGCGGCGATTTTAACAGGCTGGTAGCACTCGCAACACTCCTATTCCGGGAGCTAACCCCCTTGGAACCCAGACCGGGGATTGAAGGTCCTCTGGCGGGTGGTGCAGCGGGCGGAGGTACCCTTGTCAATTGTCCTGGATAGAAAGCCAACCTGCCGCGCATTTTCCGGCGCGAGGTCGAGCCCCTGCAGGTCATGACCGAGGGAGACCTGCTCTACGCCTTTTACCGCGGCGCTTTCGGTGCCAGCGTCAACGCCAACGCGGCCGAGTTTGTCGGTCTCGTCAGCGACAAGGACCCCGGTGGCCTCCGCATTATCGAAGTCGGCGCGGGCACGGGCGGTACGATCTACCACGTGCTCGAGCGTCTCCGTCAGGGCGTCGTCGGCGGGGCCGCTTCCAAGGCCTGCGAGGTATAGTTTTACCGATATCTCGCCTGGCTTCCTGGCAAAAGCGGCCGACCGCTTCACTGCCGACTCATCGATTTTGGACTTTGCCACGCTCGATATCGAGTCGGATCCGACGGATCAGGGATTCGAGCCGGAGAGCTACGACCTGGTCGTCGCGGTCAACGTGCTCCACGCCACCAAGAGCATCAAGGAGACGCTCGAGCACTGCTTCAAGCTCCTCAGGCCCGGCGGTAAGCTACTTCTCAGCGAGGTCACCATTAAGCGCATTTTCAGTGGCTTCATTATAGGCCCGCTCCCCGGCTGGTAGCTGGGCGAGAGCGACGGCCGCAAGGGGGGGGGGGACCACTTTGGGATACGGTGTCGATGTCGATATACGCGGTGACAAGGACGAGTACGAGGAGCCCGTTTCGCTCATCATCTCCACCAAGCCCGTGGCCCCCAAGGAGGCCGTCCCCGGCTTTGCCGTCATTAGCACAGGGACTGAAGTCACCGAGAGCCTCGCCAAAACCATCCAAGACCACTTCAAGTCCGCTGGCTATGAGGCGACCGTGGCACAGTGGGGCAAGATCACGAAGAGTGAGGTCGAGGGCAGGTACAGCCTCTGCCTGGCCGAATAGGAGAGCCCCGTACTCGTTGACCTCAAGGATGATGACTGGGCCCGGTTGCGCGACGTCATTCTTGGCTCCGCCGGCACGCTTTGGATCACGGGCGGCGGAGCCATAAACGACTGCCCGGAGCCGCTTAAATCGCTAATGGTCGGACTGGCTCGGGCCATCCGCAACAAAAACGCGGGTGCTTGCCTCAGCACCCTTAACATTAACCCCGCCTCATCTCCTCGGTTCGATGCCGCAAAGGCAGCTGAAAGCGTGCTCAAGGTGGCCATTAGCCGCACGACCAGTGGCGACGGCGGAAGCGAAGTCGAATTCGCATCCCGCAACGGCATCGTCTACATTCCCCGAACCGAATCCCTTGCCGATGTGGACGCCAACCTTCACAGGCACGAGGCGCAGGGCGAGCCGAAGCTGGTGCCCCTAAAGGGCTACGGCCACCCGCTCAAGCTGACCATCAAGACGCCCGGCCTGCTCGACACGTTCCGGCCTGCTCGACACGTTCCGGCGGGAGGAAGACGAAACCGCGTATAAGGAGCTGGCGGACAACTGGATCGAAATCGAGGTCAAGGCCGTCGGCTTCAATTTTAAGGACGTCCTCGTCGCCCTCGGCAACCTGCCCGAGTTCGCTCTCGGCGTGCACGCCAGTGGAGTCGTCAAGCGGCTCGGCAAAGCGTCCGCCTTCAAGCCGGGCGACAGGGTCATAACGTCGACACGCGACGCTTTTGCCACCATGCTACAATTCCCTGCCAAGGGCGCCATCATAATCTCCGATCGCATGAGCTTCGAGGAAGCGGCCTCGATGCCACTGGTTTTCCTAACGGCATACTATGCTTTCGTGACGGTGGGCAGGCTGGAGAAGGGCGAGACGGTGCTTATCCATGCCGCCGCCGGTGGAGTCGGCCAGGCTACCATCCAGATCGCCCAGAGGCAGGGAGTCGGGATTTTCGCCACGGTCGGCACGGACGGTAAGAGAAAGCTGGTGAGCGAGAGCTACGGCACCCCCGAGGACCACATTTTTAGCAGCCGTGACCTGAGCTTCGCCACGGTTGTCCTGCGCGCAACTAACGGCAAGGGAGTCGACGTGGTTTTCAACTCGCTCGCGGGAAAGGCCCTCCGGCTCTCGCGGGAGAAGTGCCTGGCTCCCTTTGGACGCTTCCTTGAAATCGGCAAGGCCGACCTGTTTGCTAATACCGGGGGCATGTCGCCGTTCCTGGACAACAAGGCGTACCTCGGAGTTAATCTGCTCGACTTTGAGAACAACCCGACCCCGCGTGCCGTGGCCCTCTGGGAGGCGACCGTCGAGCTCATCCACAGCGGCGCCGTCAAGCCCGTCCAGCCCGTCCAGCCCGTGTAGCTCTACAGCGCGGCCGAGGTCGAGAAGGCGTTCCGCGATATGCAGGCCGGCCGGCACATGGACAAGATTGTCGCCCGCATGGACGGCCCGGGCTCTGGCCCGGAAGACGACATGGTGTACGCGGTGCCCTGCGCTCCGCAGGTCGACGTGCGCGGCGATGCGATGTACGTCATCGCTAGCGTCGGCGGCATCTGCCGCGAGATTGCCCGCTGGCTGGCCGAAAAGGGCGCCGGCGCCCTTGTGCTGCTGTTCCGCTCTGCCGCCAGCGGCGAGGAGAAAAAGGCCTTTGCTGCAGAGCTCCGCAGCGCCTTCCCGAGACGCAGGTGCTCGTTTTTGATTGCAACGTCGGCGACAAGTCGGCGTTCGCAAAGATTCTGCGGGATCTCGAGGCGTCTGACAAGTTCCTTCCGGTCAGGAGCTGCGTCACAGGCGTCATGGTCCTGGACGACACGCTGTTCGACAAGATGACACCCGCCCACGTGCGCACCACGGTTGGGCTCAAGGTGCACGGAATCTAGAACCTATTGCCGCAGGACCTCGACTTCTTTATCATACTCAGCTCGCTTGCCGGAGTTATGGGCCACCGCGGCCAGGGCAACTACGGCTGCGGCAACATCTTCCAGGATTGCGTGGCGTCGTACCGCCGGGCGCGCGGGCAGGCCGCCACGACCATTGATATCGGCTAACTGCTGAGCGTCGGCTGGGTGGCCGAGCACGACAGCTACGTGGACTACATCAAAGCTATGGGCCGGCGGGTCATGCAGGACAGCGACCTGCTCAAAGTTATTGCCGTAACTAATTTAGTAAGTTAGAGTTACGGTAGTAATTTAACTTCCTAACTAAATTCCTAACCACAAGTCCAGCTATTCCCAAACTGTAGCGGGGAATTCGGATGCTACTTCTTCAAAAAAAGACTTCATCTCCGACATATTGTCCCACTTGTACCTCCGTAATACCGATGGTCTGACGACGTGCACCTTTTCGTCCACCAATTCCTTGTCGTCCGCAGCCATCTTATTCAGCAGAAATTTCATCCCTCTCGTGGTTTTGAGCCGGCGCAGGCGTCTTTCCGAACCATCGCCCAGCAAGGGCAGCATGGCCATATACCCGAGCATCGTCGCGCTGATACTCGCCATGACGGCCGTCGCGATCGACGAGCCGGCCTCGCAGACGCCTGGATGGGGCCCGTCCTCAAACTCGGCCCGCAGGGAGCCCGGTGGCTGGCCGCACGTGCCCAGGACCCAGTTCTGTTCGCTCGAGATCCTGGGGTTTGTGGGCAGGCCCTTGCCGTGGTTGTCGGTCGCGTAGATGGCGATGACAGAGCGGTGGCAGGCCGGGAAGCTCTCGCCTTCCGTAGACGACTTTTCGGCGCTGGCGAGGAAGACGACCTGACCGTCCCGCTTGTGCTCGGCATCCCAGATCGCGCCAGCGATCGCTGCGCTGAACTCGTGCAAGATGGGAAATGGCATGACGATGACGTTGGCCTGTACGGTGCCCGCGGCCCAAAGAATTGCCTATACCACCCGTCAGCGGCCAGCGAGTGAGCCGCATTCTAGAAAAAAAAGGGAAAAGGGCAGAGGATACTCACCTCCCTGGTGCTCCCTAGGAAGGTCTCGAGACCATAGTGATATTCCATCCCGAGATCCCTGGGACTTGTGATAACCCGCGCAACAAAGATATCCGCGCCCGGCGCGCACTCCATCACCAGCCGTGCCATCAAAGTTCCGTGGCCGTGGGTGTCCGTAAACCCGCAATCCCGCAACGGGAGAAAGTCTTTCCAGCCCTTCACGCAGTTGAGGAGTAGCGGATTCTTCTCGAAGGCGGCAAGGCCCCTGTTGAGACCCGTGTCTAGAATCGCGATCTTGATCGGGGTATTGATGTTCTTGTCTCGGCGCATCTGCTCCACCTTTCTGCTGATCTCATTGGTATCCTGCAGCCACCTCTCGAGGGCGGCCTCACGGGCTTTCCATGCGGAACGAAACCTTTCTTCCTCAATTCTGAGATTATCCCAACGCTTTCCCTCTCGCCAGATCTCGTCCCAGTCAGGATACTGGTATAACGAAAGTTCATCTACCTCACTCTCAGGCGGGAACGTTGTATCGTCAAGCGCGGCAGCCGGTAGGTCGCAGTCCTGCTTAGATATGTCTCGGGGACGACAGTCGCAGCTTTGCCGGCCGCAAACCGAAGGGACCATGGGATCGGAGCCGCCTAACCCCTCATTCCTCCCTGCCTGAGTCCTGGCCCCTGAGAAAGCGGAGCTGTTGTCAGTCTCGCCGTTTTCTTCGCCAACCAGGTCGTCGCGGTCCGGTGGGAGAATTAGTGCAATGTCGTGCATGTGGTTCTTGATGTGCTTCCGCAGCGCCTCTTGCGCACCCGGCATGCTCGGCTTGGGGAAGTCCTTTTCGATGACATCCGGGTAGCCGCCACAAAAGTCACAGCGGTCGAGAACTAGCGCCTTTCTGCGCCGGGCAAACTCCATCATCGTAGGCAGCAGCGGATCCGGTACGTCTCCTTGGTTCCGGACGTAGCACTCAAACTCAGCTTTATCATCGAAAATTCTGTACCCTTCCGCTGTGTCGATGTGCCACTGCTCAGGCAGATGGGCCGTTTGCATGTGGCTGAGAAGGCCCTCGAACGTATTGGGTACGTCAAACGGCGCGTCGCATTTTTCGAAAATGCAAAAGTAGGGCTCAAAGTCCTTGAACACATGGTGCCTGTTTGTTTTCTTGAAGTCAGCAGCCGATTTGTTTCTTCATCGTGTCGTCTTTTCCAGTAAGACCAGGCCCATTAACATACCTCCAGCGATCCATGCGCGCTTCTCGGGCAGGGAAATACAAACGGCAGTACGGGCACATGAAGCCGTCCTTTCCAGTGACATCGGGTGCTTTGGGAAAGTCTTGGCGACGTATAATAGTTGACGCCACGCTCTCCGGCCGCTCAGGTTGACGCATCTCAGGCGTTTCTTGGAGTTGGGTGTTCTGGGTCCAGGTGTAAATTGTTCCTTCTTTTGCCGGAATTTTTGCTTGAACCTGGGGTAAGGCGCTTAAGCCGTCGCTTGCCTGCTGCGTCGCTAGCGCCGGGCCTTCTTGCTCGCGATAGTTGCTCGCTCGACACACTGCGGCCGGTCTTGCGGATGGATCGGCCGGTGGATCGATGAATCTCTTTGTCTCATGTGACTTTAGGTAGGCAAACTTCGTCCGCCGTCGAGCGAAAGATTCTGCTACTCTTTCCTTGATAACCTCTGTGGCTCGCCCCAAAAGGTCACCCCGCTGGAGCATCTCCGTCGCTATGTCAAAGATCAGCTTGGACACTTGGCTAGGCCCCGGTTTCATGCTGTAACGGGCAATACGATCCTGACGGTCCTTAGCCCCAGCGTCCTGGATTCGTCTAGCAAGTCCGTGAAGCCTGTCGATCGTGTCTTCGATATGCGTCCACAGTGCCGAGGCACCGGAGTTCGAGCCCGCAAATGCTTCCTCTTCGTCTGCTGAGCTCTCGAAAGAGGAAAGGCTGGGAAAGGATAATGATGATATATCACTCCCTTTACCGTCACCGTCCTCGCCCTCACTATCACCCGATCCTTTAGAAGTTCGCTCCACTACCGCCAAAGGATCCTCGTTTGGTGATTTCTCGGGCATCACGGTAGGCGTGGCTGCCGTCGCCGGTACCGCAAGAAGGCGGCCGAGGTCAAGTCGCAACGATTGTAGCATTAGATTAATGGCGTCGCAAATCTGTGGAACGCCCTTGAGTCGAAAGTCGATCGCCCTGTAGCCGGGCTCGTTTACGCCAAGCTTGGTGCACCAGATGTTGAATTCGGCCATTTGACGGCCAACCCGTTCGTTGGGTTCATGTTCGTGTCTGTCGTTTTTCTCTTTAAGATACCGCAGTAATATCTGGCATTCGGCTGCCTGAAGAGCAAGGCTGCCCGAAGACCGGGATTGTTCCACGGCAGCCATTTTCTTTCGGCTCCAGAGGGTGAAAGTCTCTGGCGATGCTATTGCCAAATCTTGTGCGTGAAAAGGCCGCAGTCAGAAATCCAGCCTGGCCGCAAATACGGTGCATGTCTCGTATCAGACACCCATTTACCCGCAAATGCAATACGCCGAACACACTTAGTATTTAGGTGCAGTGGGTAGGCAGGTGATAGGTCAGGTATCAATCGCCAAGACATATGTGCAGATAGGCAGGTAAAGAGCGGGGGAGCTGAAGCCAGCCCAGCCGCCCTGGCCGTCCCAATAAACCTAGGTAAGGCTGGACATTGTTGAGAGGAAAGATTGCGCATAAGGCAAACTGAAGTTCAAGATCATTCCCGTTTTATGCGAAGTGTTCTTCCGCGAGCACCGCGTCCTGCTTAATACACCCATGTGGCAGCTAAAGTTGCTTCACGATGTTATTCCAGTGTTCCACATGCTGGCCCTCCAGCTACGGCGCCACAGAGACGCGGACGACAAAAACAATGACGATGCACAGCTAGTGCCGAAGCAATGCCTAAACGATTGCTACATCGATATCCTGAATATCCAAATGGCTGTGTTGGCTTCTCGCTGCGAGTGGAGGCCCGGGCTGGACGAAGCTGTTGTGACCGATCTACTGAAGGCATTGGAGAGCCGTATCCAAAAAAGGCCCAGGTTTTTTAGTCCAAGGGTACGAGAGCATCCCGCTGCACTTGTTGTGTCGGCATTTTACGAGACATGATTTTGCTAACCAGGAGAGGACTCCCGCTTGTCAAGTCCCCGTTCCCCGTTCCCTGGCCGTTTACGACTGGCGGCACTAAAACCGATGACCCGGCGGAACAACTCCCAGAACTACATGAACTCCAGGCCCGAATCTACGCGATCGCGCGAGACGTAGATCCTGAAAAGGATAAGGCCAGAGGTATGGAGAGTGACGACGAAGATGGCTCCGCAGGTTGCGCGACGGAGACGGCAGAGGAAAAGAAGGTACAACGTTGCTTGGCTGAAATGGCCGGTGCCATTCGACTCTTCCGCCGCGAGAAGACTCCGAAGGAGACGGATAAAAGAGATAAGTTCTTGAGGATCGTCCGGAAGGCGAGTCGCCACCTGTTGAAACTATACTTCGATGAACCGCATGCAGGACACGCTCCTCTCGATCTGGCGAGACACCCGAGTAATGGCGTCAAGAAGCTGGCAGACAGCGTGCATGGCCTTCTATGTCAGCACTGCAACTGCGGATGCCGCTGGAGGCGACCCCCCAATGCCCGGGAAGCCCGCCTCAGCCTGACACGTCACCGCCAGTTCCTGTTGAAGGCTACTGCGGCGGAACAGCTGGGGCTTGTCCCAAAAGATATCGACGCCAAATTCGAAATCCTTCTTCCCGTGTGCGGAGATCACTGCACTTGGAAGGTGACAGACGTCCGGGCCATGGCCTATATGTGAGCCCTGCTGCATATCTTTTGTTTACCCTGCCTGTCTCACGCCACGGTTCTTCGCACAAATAGCTAACCATAGCGCATAGACACGGAGAGGCAGCAAAAACCCCGAAATCCCCTATCCAAAACGATCTTTGCTTCCGGATACGGAATAGTAACGCAGTTAAGGTGAATTTGTGGGCTGAGCACGAGAAAAAGAGGCTCTGGGCAGTTCATCCACCGGCGCCGGGAGATGTCTGTGAGCACTCTGTCATGGAGTCACTCCACGAGCTCCTAGGGAATGACCCTGCCGCACCATCCATGGCACGTATCTCGAGGTACGACGATAGGGACAGATTAACGTTAGCGTACGTCCTGGCCACGTCCGTCTTATACCTGTACCCGGGTATCTGGCTTCAGACGGAATTCTGCTGGAGCAGCAACAAAATCCTGTTCGCGCGAAGCGCTGGCGATGAGAGCGGCCGGCTGGTTGCACTAACGCAGCCATACCTTTCGGCCAACCTACTGCGCCGACAAGAAATGCCCAAGGCCGATCCCGCCGCTATGTCTCGGTACCACCTCCACCCAGCAGTGCTGGCGCTCGGCGTCATGCTCCTGGAGATTGCCACACGTACCAAGTTCGATGTGCTGTGCCCAAAGAAGCCGTGCGACAGGGACCGGTTGAACGAAGCATGCCGGACGACGATGGCGCCCAGTAACGAGGATGGCGCCCTGGCACTGAAAGCGCTTGAAAGGCTTGAGAAGCATGGGTCACGGGACGCCCCTCCATCTCTCTGCGAGGCGATCCGCAACTGCCTGGTTCTCCGGCCCCCGAGCACCCTGTCAGACCAGCTGCTGTTCGAGGAGGGACCCCTGCGCTTCTACGTTCTCACGTGCGTGGTGGCCCCGCTGGCGACCGCCCTGGAGAAAGGCTATGGCATACAGCTGGCCAGTCTGATGGACGAAGAAGACATTCATGGGGTGAAAGGTCTAGCTTCGCTTCAGCTTCGAACTGAGTCTACTAGCATCCACGACAGAACAGGAAGATACAAGGGTGAGTATATACTCGATTAAACCTTGAGGTTCTTCGCAAGATCTCTAGCTAATAAATATTGAATTATATAGGCCCGAGACGGGATGAAGCGCAATGCCAACGGCAGACCTGCCTTTTCGGCGACAAAGAGGTCCCCACAGATCAGACCAAGTACGAACATGCCAAAGAACCTGCCATCTTCTCCTCCCCTTGAAGCCCAGTAGTTTGCAGTGGCGTGCTGACAATAAAACACAGGATAAACGCGACTAAAGAATGGTTTGACTTTTATGACGACATGATCCAGCGTGTTTATGTCGACAAGCGAAGTATCTGGCGCCAGAACCAGAAGAAGGTGTCCATCGCAATACTAGACAGCGGCATTGAGCTGTCCGAGACGCAGAAGGATCAGCATCTCCCCAGACGCAAAGTTGTATATCGGAGCTGGGTTGGCGGCGAGACCTCGGGAAACAAGCCGTCCCAGGAGTGGAAGGATAATGTGGGACACGGCACACATCTATCCACTCTCCTGGCAAGAGTCGCGCCCATGGCCAATATACACGTTGCCCGAGTGTTTGAGCGATCGCAGCCAGATTTGCGCATGGAGACGAAGAATGTTGCTCAGGTATACCGGTCCCTTTGTACCGCTAATTATTATATGCTAGTCATGCCATCCCCATCACACTCAACAGATCCACTGACAGAGCTGATATTACACAGGCGATCTGGCACGCCGTCAATAAGTGGAACGTCGATATTATCGTTATGTCGTTTGGCTTCGACGCAGTCCAGGATGCCGCAGACCCCAAGGACTCGATGCTCCAGGCCATTAGGCACGCCGCAGCCCAGGGCGTAGGCCTGTTCGCGGCCGCGTCCAACGACGGCAAGAACCGGCCGGACGAGGTGGCGTGGCCGGCCCGGATGCCCGAGGTGATATGCGTCCACTCGTTCGACGGCGCGGGCAACCCGTCCGACTTCACGCCCGGCGCCGGCAAGGATCAAACCCTCGCCGTGGTGGGCGAGGCCGTGCTGTCCGCCTGGCCCGAGAAGCTGGGGCGCGGGCAACAGCGCTACATGAGCGGCACGTCGTGCGCGGCCCCCATTGCGGCCGGCATGGCCGCCGTAATCCTCGACTACGCCCGCGCCTTCCTCCCGGAGGACCGCTGGCTGGAGCTGCGCAGGGTCGGGGGACTGCGCCGCATATTCGACAGGCTGACACACTTGAGGACCCGTGACTACTGCTATATCCGGCCGTGGCAGACGTTTGGCGAGAGGAGTACGGATGGATGGATCCAGGGCGAGATTGAGAGAGCTTTGGGCGTCTGAAAAAGTCAATTTGGAATGTTTATATCAGAAACCTACATGACCGTGCGTCATTTCTGTTCACGTAGCCTTCATATCAATGCTATCAACTTCGCGAAATAGTACTACAACTGTAGATAAAATAGTCCATTAAAACAGGCACCTGTTGGCCATCCGTTTAGTGCTGAATTGCAACAATTTCCTCCTCGTCCGGGAACTCCTCGAGTATATCCTTTTCGCCGACCGGTTCCACCTCCCAGGACACCGGAGGCTCCACGCCGCCGCCGTCGTCCTCGCCAATGCCGTACTGACCTCCACTGAGGTCCTTGTACCGGACCTGGCCGTGGCCCGCGGGCCTGATCTTGATGGCGCGGTACGCAAACACGATCTTGCCCGATGCCGGGCCGTGCGAGACCTCGCGCGAGGAGCCGGTCTTCAGCTCGAGATTGAGGCCGGCCGAGGCGGGCATCATCACCTCGCCGCCGCCGCCGCTCACCGTGGCCTGGGCGACCACGCCGTGCTCGGAGCCGCCGCCGCGGGAGACGGTAAAGTCGGTGGCGATTTTGAGGCCCGTGATCAGGTAGACGCGCCTGCCGCCGAGGCCGCCCAGGAAGGAGGAGATGCCACCGCCGCGGCCGCCGCTACCGCCGCCCTGGAAGAAGTCCTGCACGCGCCGCGACGCCGTGATGCTGTCGCGCACAAACTGCTCATCCGCCTCGAACTCGACCGTCTCGAGCTCGGCGCACCGGTACGTGTCGCGCCGGTCGCTGGCGAACGCGTACATCAGGCCGCCACTGCCGCCGCCGCCGCCGGTGCACAGGCCCGCGCTGCCCGCCACGCTCCTGGCCTCCTTGTCTTGGAACCCGGCAACGGCGGCCTGGTTGACGAGGTTCGCTGGGATCGAGAGCGCCTCGTCCTGGTTCAGCGGTGCCGTCAGACGCCTCAGGTTGGAGAAGATGCTGCCCAACCTCGGCGCCGTGGGGCTCTCGGGCGAGATGTCGAAGCGCGGGGCACGGAAATACAGCAGTGTCGCCATTGCTGCTGGTTTAGGGGCCAGAGGTGTTTTGGTGGCAGTGCAGCGAGGTACCCCGTGTACCATGTGTCCTCAAGACAAGGGGTTCATGGGGATGGACTTGGCGGCCCAAGGACCCCTCCTTTGCCCGCCTGCCGTGACACAAACCGGGCGACTGGATGCCACAAGATTACTCCCACGCCCCGGGTGGTTTTAACTAGCTGAGCGTTCTTTTTATTGCAAATGGTGCAGGTAATGTGAAGAAACTGTATTAATACATGCTTAAATCTCTGGCTACAGACAAAGGAAAACCGAGGCAAAATGCTTAAGGATTTCTCCCCTTATATATGTGTCCAGTCCCCTGCTTTCCATATTCGCTATAATGTCCTAGTCCCTGCTTCCGTGGCTCACAAAGGCTTTCGGGACCGCGTAAATCGGCGGGTGAATCGGTAACCTATGCCGGGTACCGGGCTTACACTCCGTTCAGCTTAATTATGCAGGCTGTGAGCATATGGATATTTTAAGCAGCCATGCTGAGATAAGCAGTTAATTATAAACACTAAGGATAAATGTTACGGGCTTAAAGCCTTTAAGTAAATAAATTAAATAAAAAGGAGCCCCTTCTTTAATGAGTGGGCCCAGAGGACCACCCCGCCCAATAAGGGCGACGAAAGGGAATTACTTGCCTTAATATACACCGACAGCAGACAGGTTTCCAACAGCTCCCAGTAACAAGCAGACCGGGTGGTTGAGCGGGTGAAAACGGTAGTAATGAATATTACTAAAACCTTCTTCCACGGGTGAGGGCTAGAAAACTCCAAGCTCGCTAGCTCGAATCCGTTAGTTGACGGCGATTTAAAGCTAGCAAACCCGGATTCTTCCCAAGTGGGGAGAAGTTGTTTCGTAACTCGGCTGTCCTTAGCCAGGTGAGCTTTTTGAACTTTTGGCTTTTTCTTTATACAAGAAAGCACGCCAAGAGCAGGCCACGCCTAGCTTGCTTTTAAACCTCCTTGATCGCGCTGTTCTTGTTAGTGCCGAAATGCCCACCTTAGGTCTTAAATGTGTGTCTTGTCCCAAGGGCGAGCGCGCTTATAGTGCGTGTTTACCTGTTCGTATCTCGTTTGCAAGTCTTAAAACATTGAGGTTTAAGGCAAGTAAGATTGTAAAGCCATGTTAAGGTTCAACGCGTGCGCTATGTGTGCATGCCAGACAGTCGGCATATGGAAGGGTCGGAGACACATAACTTGGCGTGTATCGCTTGTCTTTTCCCCCCTTTTACATGTTGGAATTATACTATCATGGCGTGCATGTCAAGACATAAACAAGCCTAATCCTCCACTAGCAGCGGGCTAACGCCCAGCCCATCCACCTTCCCCAAGAAGTCGCCCTTCGACCCGCTCAGCAGCTCGTGGACGTCGACGTTCCCGTTCGCAATGTAGCGCTCGCTGACGCCCGTGTTGACCCTCTTGGACAGCAGCTGCTTCAGCTGCGCCCTGAGCGCCGCCACCTCCCCCTTGCTCATGGAGCGCGCCTCCTTCTGCTTGCTCTTGCGCCCGCTCCCGCGCCCGCTCCAGTTGCCGGCCTTCTCGAGCTCCTCGCTGTCGTACTCGACCCCGAGCTCCTCGGCCGCCGTCCGCATCCAGTCGTCCTCCTTGCCGACCTTCTCCTTGGCCAGCGTCGAGTCGGCGATCTGCTTCGCGATCGACACGCGCTCCTTGAGCTTGCCGACCAGCCGCCGGTCCAGATCGATCGACTGGAGGAACACCGACTGCTGCTTCCTGTTCCTCCCCGTGGCGTGGACCTTGGCCACGAGCCGACGCGTGGGCGTCACCTCGTCGGGGGCGCAGATGAGGACGCTCAGCCCCGTGTTCTCCGCGCGGGCCGTCCGGCCGGAGCGGTGCACGTAGGCGTCGGCGGCGCGGGGGACGTGATAGTGTATCACAACGTCGATGCCCTTGATGTCAAGACCTCTCGCGGCAACGTCTGTTGCGATCAAGATCGAAGACGTGCCGGGTTTTGCGGCGGTGAAGCGCTCGACCGATCGTAACCTGGCCTTTTGTGGCATTTGGGAGTGGAGTGCCAGGGCGGGCAGCGTCAGGTTCTGCAACATTGGCGTCAAGCGGCGCACTGAGCTGATAGAGTTGGTAAAGACAAGCGTGTGCTGTGTCGGGTGCATCAAGAGAAGAGAATAAAGATAGAGGTCCTGGAGCAGGATTAGTAGGTGTAAAACCGACCACTTGAAAAAGGTTCCCAACAAGACATACCTTTTCCATTGCATCACACTCGACGAGGCCCTCCTTGAGCCTCGCAGCCATCTGGGAAACTGGGTTCACGTCGATGAACTTGGGCTTCTCCTCACGGAACTTGAGACGCTTTAGGAGATACTCCATGGACAGCGCGTCATTGTTCAGGTCGAACCGACCCTTTCCAGCCAGCTTTTGCTGAAGTCCCTTGTTGAAAGTCGCAGAGAAGACCAAGGTCTGCCTTGGGGGCGGACCCTGGTTGTCCCTGTCCTCAGTCGTCTCGATCCTGTCCAGCGCACGCATGATTTCCTCGGCGTCCTTGAAGTGGCCATCGGATAACAAACGATCGGCCTCGTCCACCACAAGATACTTGATATGCCTGAAGGCTGCCACCGTCTGCTTGCTTGAACTGAGGACCTCCCACAGCCGCCCTGGAGTAGCAATGACAATGTCCGCCTTCTCGAGCTGCCTTTGCTGCTTGTGAACGGAGAGACCACCGGTGACGGAGCAGATGTATGGGGCAGTAGCCAGTCCACCACAGAGCGCCTTGAAATGGTTCGTGATCTGATGGGCAAGCTCCCTGGTTGGCGACAGTACCAAGGCTATCGGCTTCTTTCCTTCCTCAGGGCTTTTGCTGGCCGCCGTTTGACTCAACGAAATCCAGCGCTCGACGATGGGGATTCCAAAGGCAAGCGTTTTTCCAGACCCGGTAGAGGCCTTGCCGATGACATCGTGGCCCGCCAATATCTCGGGTATTGCCTGAGCTTGGATCGCAGTCGGCTTGGAGAATTTTAGTCGCGCTATCGAAGAGAGCATCTCCCCTGACAGGTCCAGTGGGACCCATTGAGACATGTCAACGTCTTCATCCTCCTCGTCGACATCGCCTAATGCGGCAAAGGAGGCGCCACCTGCCAGTTCATCTGCCGGCATAGACTCCTCTGCCTTCGCAGGCCTCCCCTGCTTTTGTTGTTCCTGCTTTTTCTTCTGAGTCTCCTGCTTCTTTTGATGAGATTTCTTCTCCTTTTTCCCCTTCCCGACTACATCAGTCGCTTCGGCGTTCGACTCGGGCTCATCGTCGGCTTTGGCTGTAGGCTCCGTTTCTTCAGGGGCGGTATCCGGGGGCTCGGAAGAATCGTCAAAGCCACCAAACTCGTCCTCATCACCGCCTACCGTCGGACCGGCCGTGACCTATCGTGTTCCCCCACGGTCAGTTCCAGTGCCAGGGATAGCCGAGCTTTGAGAGGGAATGCTCATACAAATTTGACCATGCCGTCCTCTCGAACCACGTCAACACCCTCCACCTCCTCCAGGCCAAAGAATCCCTCGGCGTCATCATACATATCGGGGACATCGACCGTACGCCATGGCAGCGCATCAGCCCTCACTGCTCTCTTGGGCTTTTTCGACTTTGCCGCCGCGTGGACCCGCCGGCGTTTTTGCGACGCATCCGGCTTGGGATCAAGCTTGCGCTTTTGCTTGGCGCCGTCCAGCCCCATTTTGGCGGTGCGATCTGTCCGCAGACAGGAGAGTAGACAAGTGTATAGGCTGGCGCGTTTCGGTTCGTGCGACGCGACCAATTCGCCTTGCTCAGATGCCCCGAAAATCGTCGTCGCGATCGATCATGGAAAATTTTGGCGGAGAATCATGGCAAAAAGCCACAGCATGACGGGATCACAGCACAGACCACACCTTAAATCAGCCCTACGCCACGGCTGAACGAGAACTGTTGTGGCTGTGGGGGGACTGGAGGGGTTGCCAAATTCCCATGTGAGTTGACTCGAACAGGGGATGAAGGGGGAGAAACGACGACGGCGACGACGACAGCGACGGTGACTGAAATCGAAACTGCCTGTAGCCAAAAATTAAAAACGGACATAGCTAGTATTTCGCCGTCTACTTTGATCCCCAGCACTGAAGGTACCAATGGGGAAGTCCTCAAAAGATAAGCGCGACGCCTATTATCGGCTAGCCAAGGAGCAAGGATGGCGGGCAAGGAGCGCCTTCAAGCTCCTCCAACTGGACGAAGGTTGGTACAAGCCCCAGTTCTGCTTTCTCTGGGCTTACAGCGCCCCTAAACAGGCTATTCCCAACTGACCCGGCCCAGAGTTCAACCTGTTTGATAATGTCACCCGCGTGGTGGACCTGTGCGCCGCCCCGGGCAGCTGGTCGCAGGTCCTATCCAGAGTCCTGATCAAGGGCGAAAAGTTCGGCAGGACCTCATGGCAGGACACCGACGTCAAGTTCCGGCGACAGATGCTCCACTTGTTTGACGACCAGGACCCCAGCACCCAGGACGGCGACGGCCGACATGCAGCAGCCGAGCCGGCCGCATCGCAGCCCAAGCCCACCGCCGGGCCCCGGGCCGACGTCAAGATCGTGTCCATCGACCTGCAGCCCATCAGCCCGCTGCCGGGCATCGTGACGCTACGCGCCGACATCACGCACCCGGCCACGGTGCCGCTGCTGCTCAAGGCCCTGGACCCGGACTACGACGCGGGCCAGCAGCAGGCGCCGTCGTCGTCGTCGTCGCGCCCCGTGGACCTGGTGCTCAGCGACGGCGCGCCCGACGTCACGGGCCTGCACGACCTCGACATCTACGTGCAGTCGCAGCTGCTCTTCGCCGCCCTCAACCTGGCCCTGTGCGTGCTCCGGCCGGGCGGCAAGTTCGTGGCCAAGATCTTCCGGGGCCGCAACGTGGACCTGCTGTACGCGCAGCTCAAGCTCTTCTTCTGCCGCGTCGTGGTCGCGAAGCCGCGCTCGTCCAGGGCCAGCAGCGTCGAGGCCTTCATCGTCTGCATGGGCTTCCGCCCCCCGGCGGGCTTCAGGGCCAGCCTGGACGAGCCCCTGGGCGTCGGCCACCGCCTCCCGACCGTGGCCGGTCGGAGCCGCCTCGAGGAGGCGCCCACCATGGCCGAGGCGCCGCTGATGCAGGACTGGAACGCGGGAGCGTGGAGCTCGAACCCCGCCGCCTCGATGCTTCCCGAGGCCGGCGACGAGGGTATCGTCGAGGTCGAGCTGGACGACCTCACCCCAGAGCCCAAGAAAGACGTCAGGTGGATCGCGCCTTTTATTGCCTGCGGCGACCTGTCCTCATACGACTCCGACGCATCGTATCGCCTGCCCGAGGACCACGTCTCGTTGGATCCGGTGCAGCCGCCCACGGCACCACCCTACAAACGGGCGCTGGAAATGAGGAAGCTCGCCGGCGGTGCGTATGGCAAGACTGGCGTCAAGGCATGAGGGGCGCGTCTCTTGTGTAGCACGGCAAAGTGAAGCCTCTGTTATATAGTAATAGCACCAAAGACTTAGCATACTTCACAAAGCCTTGCCTGCATTTCATCACAACACTCGCGGCATTTGGAGCGAGACGCTGGCCCCCCAGGATCATATGAGTGTGCTTGCTTATGCGTAGTGGCCAATGTGAAAAAAATCGGGATCTCTTGCGCCCTATACAAATACACCCTAGATCATCTGAAGCGATATGCGTGATTGCGACAGCCGAGAATAGGGTAAACGAAAGCTTCAGTGAAATGTTCGGCGCCTCAGCCATGCAAAAGTGATCGCGCCAACGTTTGGAAGCCAAGTCTGGAAGAGGTTCGCATGACGCTTGACAGCGTGGCTGCGCCCTCTCACCCCGTCTCCTTCAGATGTCATAGGCCGTCTACATTAAACAATCCTCAAGCGCACCGACCGAGGAAGGACGTTGAGTCTGCTAGTCGACAGCGACGAAAGTATCGAGTGCTTCTCCTGAAATCAATCAACTAGTAAATTCCCAACGAGAGGTTATAGAATCGACAATGTATACTCGATCCGCCGTTTGCTGTGATGTTCTGCGGTATCGGGCGGCCGACAACGCTGTCGGAAGTCCGGTCTTCTCCCTTGCTAGGCCGGCTTCGTCTTGGCATGGTTGCTCCCCTACCAGCTAGGCCATGGATTCTTGGATTTTCTGTTATCCTCCTTCTGCGTGATCATGCCCTCCCTGTAGACGTATCCGGAGGCGTGCAGACGCCAGGCTTTGTAGAATGTGCGGTGGACCAGAGAACGATTCCTCCCTCCCGCTTCGAGCTCTTGAACCAGGTCGCTGGCGAGCTTCCGGCGCATCCGTCTCAGGTGCGAAGCTGGCTCCTTCTTGGGGTAGTTACCTTGGGCTTTGTCACACTGCGACTTTCTGTCGTGGCGCGAGTCCGGCGTGACCCCAGCACCAACGCCGCGCATAGACCAGTGCATATTATTTATGGCCTTCCGGCGTTTCTCCAAGGCCGATAGCATGGAACCAAAGAAGCGAGAGTGGTTCGGCGGCGCGGCCGGCTCCTCCGGGAGCCCAGGGTCGGGGATGGTGTTTGTGGTGATGGTGGTGTAGGTTTTGACGGTCCCCTCGGGCGTTTTTTTGGTCATGGTCATTGTTGTAGACTTGGTGGCGCGGGACAGGCGCTCTATCCTGAGGTTGACCGGCGTCTGCCCACAGAACCGGCCCCGGATCAGATCGCATGTCTCGGCCGCCGTCACCCCAATCAAGATCTGGGAGACCAGCTCGCTCTTTGCGGGATGCTCGGGCGGCGCCACCGACTTTGCCCTCGCCCGAAGGGCCTCGCGGCCGCGCTCCGAGGCGTGTCTCTTGGCCCAGTACAGCGCCGAGGGGCCCTTGGAGGAGGACGACCGCCCGGCGGCGCGCCCGGCCGACCTGGATTCCTAGGCCAGGCGCACGTGCACGCCGCCGAGCTCGGCCATGGACGCCTCGACGTCGCGCAGGCGGGCCGCCAGCAACGGCCGCGCCGTCGAGTCGAGCGTCGAGCGGCGGCGGCGGGCCTCGGGGTCCAGCGCCAGGTCGGCGGCGAGCTTGGCGGCCAGGCGCTCGAGGCGGGGCGACTGCTTCGAGTGCTCGTGGCGCCGGTAGTTGCGCGCCCTCCGGCGGTCCTCGGGCGACCGCCTGCCCGCCGCGTAGGCGCTCCTGGGTTTCCAGCTCGCCGCGCCGAGGTGCCGCCGCTCGAGCGAGCATCGGAGGTTGAGGGCCCGGAGGAAGGTCGTGTAGATGGCCTTGGTCGCGTCGACGATCCTCTTCTCGTACGAGCGGTGCAGGTCGGGGGACTGCTCTCCTTGGATCTCCTCGATGTAGCGCTTCTCTTCGGCCAGCCATTGGATTCTCTCGGGGATTCCGCGTGCGCTCTTGCGGAGCGCTTTCTTCTGCAAGTCGGCTTCGAGCCTGGGATGCATTTCGTGCTGGGTTGGCGGTGATGGTAGAGCGAACGACTTGTGGTGACCGCTTCGAGTGCAAACTGGCAGGAGCGAACCGTCCGTTGTTGGCTGTTCGGTGCCAAGGCCTTCCACTCGGGCTTTCCTGCTTTTTGTGGCTTGAAGGTTTCAAGGCTTTGAAGGCTTGAAGGCTTCCGGTTAGGGAAGGACCGCACCCCGTTTTGTCAGGCACTCCGTATTAGGTTTCGTCGATTGCGTAGGCGAGGTTCGAAAAAGTGATGGCGTCACGGCGGAGCTCCAAGCGGCCGGACCAAGAAGTGACAGATTTTTGGATCTATTGCGCAGCGAGACGTCGGCAAGCGAGGCAGGCTCAAAACGATGCGGTTGAGAGTTTCGCCGGTGAAGAGGCATATCGATCCGGGCGGTGCTAGGAGAGGTTTGGCGTGCAAACTCCTATATACTAGAATGTCAAATGACGATACCAAATGGCGGTTCAAAGGGCTGCAAACACGGGCTTGTGGTTGTACTACTTCCCCTTTACCAAGAGCCCACTGACATTGCTGCATGTTCCACCTCAGCAAGTCTTATCAAAATAGCCTGATATTTTTGCGAGGACGGCCTGATACCTTTATGAGGACAGTCTGACTGGTGCTTAACTGGCGGTTCTGTAAACTTGACCTGGCCACCCCCCACCCATGCTTGAAGAGTTAGAAAGCTCAGGAGATATTTGTGTTTCTTATTCGGCCTCAGGGCAATCATTCCTCGGATCTTTCCTCTAATTTAAAAAGCCGTCACTTGTAGATTTACACACTTGGAACGCAGTTAGTGGAAGTCGCTGATCTGCTTGCAAAATCCTATTTGCTAAAAGTGATCCAGTTGCTTATATAGCCCTAAGGATGCTCGCTCTGGCAACACCTTGCTCAACGAGAGCCCCTGTTGACTACGGTTGAGGGAGAGCCGCACAAGCGCACAATACAGGTTTCCTTATAGTTTGAGACTTGGCTTTTCGAGGCCCTTGGCGCTGCAGGATGCGGGCATCTTTTATTACCTACCCTTCCTCGACCAACATATATAGAGCTTCCACAACAGAAAGACGACACACGTTCCCATCGCTCAGCAACAGCACGAGCAGAAAGGCGGCATCGTCTAGCGACCAGACCTATTACATCAACTTCACCCCAATATGGGTTAAAGTTTAAGGGCCCCTTCGACACATAGTCAAGAGGCCATACAGCCCGGAATTAATATCCAGAAAGTCCTCTTCAGCCAAATGACCAGCGTAGTAGAGAGTCACTTTGAGCAAAAAGCCCCCGTGGCAAAGGCGGAGGGGCTTCCACGGCAAAAAGAGGTGCATATAGGAGATATTGGGTTCCCGTGGTCCGCTGCATCACATGCAGGGCAGCTGACCGGGGCGTTGCATGGTGGTTGATCCTCTCAGATAAGTCCCCTCGGGCCTCCGGTCTTGCGTGCAATAAACGGAAACAGTCTCTACTGATTACAACGAGCACTGCTTGTTACGTTGAGAGAAAAGTATGTAAATCTACTACCTACCCGAGCAGACCGTCACATCAACAGCAGAGCTCGTTTCCACGTCACGCGAGGCCCCCAAGGCTCAGAGATCTTCTGATCCGTGCGGTAACGCGTGCTGTTGCCAGACTGGTGTCGTCCTTTGACTTGGCATCTAGTTGACCCAGTCGAAGCCATGGCCGTGACCCAAGGCGTTGGGGTCGCACCCTCGCAGCATCGCCGCACTCTGAAGGCCAGTCTCCTCGCGCCACCGGCATCGCCGTGGGCCTCGTCATGGTGCAGATCGTCGCGGGCCCGGGCTCGGTAGCGGTCGTGGTGACGGCCGCGGCAGGTTGACGTTTCTTGCCTCGGTAGGCGCCACCATCATCACCACCCTCCGACATCTCCCTCACCGCCACATAGGCGATCGTGCTGCGCACTATCGTTGGGCCCCTGGCCGTGGGTGGGTGTCCTGGTGAAGCGCGTCAAGAAACCCGAGGTGAAGAGATGTGGTGGTAGCGACAGGGCTGTTGGTGCAGCTTGCGATGATCGGCACCAGAACCGTGTTTTGGGTACTTGTAGTATTCAAGGCAGCTGCTTGTCATAAATACGAGATGCCATAGCTGACGCTAATTGCTCCCGAGAAAAGAAAGACCAGTGTCCCGAGGTGATATCAACACGGCTTTGCTTGCATCAAGTCAAAATCACCCAAATTCCTTCGTACTCTCTATTAGCAAAGACAAGATTCGTCACCCTCCTTCCGACAAACCGCTCGCCTCGACAGCTGGGCATACATCGTTCCCGTACATCGATAGACGAATCAGCACACTCGCGGGAGTCAAGTATATATACATCATGGTCCGCGGAGAGCATAGGCAGGGACAACAAAAAAAGGCATAGAAAAGCCCATGACAGGCTGTTAACATTAGCGTCCGGGGGGCAATAACCTCCTCGGTGTGCCGGTCCGTGCTTGCGAACCGTCTTCTGTCTCTGCTCTGATTAAAAACAGCAGGCATCCGGTCCCGGTCTTGTTCCCACAAACAAAATGAAGAGACCAGACAAGAATGACCTCTATCATGTAGCGCCCTCCCGAGACCTTGACGTGAGCCGACAAGAAAAGCCATGCGATGTCTATGTAGTAGAGAGGATGGTGGGTAGAATGAGTCGTTTTGGCTGTGCATCTGCAAGGGTATTGTGCCATACTTCTGTGTATCCTCCTCTATGTTCATCTCTCCCAGGAATTCCTCACGTCCATGCTCCTTGGTTGACTCGGGGACCGGGGTGACACGCGTGGATGCTCAAAACGCAGGGGGACACCATGAAGAAACGCCAGTCCGCAAGAACTCGAGCGCCTTCATGCCGCCCGTAACGTGACTTGAGAACGCGCGGGTACCCGGTCCGTATCTGCCTGTTCGCTTGCAGGCAGAGGAGCGGGTGGCTCTTAGGCCTTGGTACTGTATGACCTCTTGAACATGTCGTCAACCTCCTCGAGGTAGTAAGTGTTGGCGGTGATGGTCGGGACCTCGCCGGTGGGCTTGAAGCCCTTCTGAAGGTGGGCCTTCTTCCGGAGCTCGCACATCTATCATGACACACGGGGTCAGCGAATTCCCACCACGGTGCAACCTCACAGTACCAAGCCAGTTGGAAACAAGTATTTGGCAGCTTGGCACACGAAAAACTTACATCATCGTATGTCTGCGGGGGAACGACACGCCTGGCCTGGAGGCGGTTCGGGATGTCGAGGACCTTGGCGAGCTTCTCGGGGTTGCCGCTGACGCGCAGGGACAGGAAGCTAGCAGCCAGGCCCGAGCCGTAGCTGAAGAGGCCGATGCGCTTACCCTGCAGGGTGGCGCTGTCGACGTGGGAGATGAGGGAGCAGAGACCGCCCCAGACGCTGGCGCAGTACATGTTGCCGCACATGGTGGCGACCTGGAGGCCGGGGTTGACGCGCTCCTGGCAGCGCTTCTTGGTCAGGCCCAGGAAGGTCTTCTCGACCAGCTTGTCGGTCAGCGACTTCTCGTAGTCCATGTCGCGAAGCTCCGGGGGCACGTCGGCGAAGGCGGGGCTGTCGGGGTTGGCGAGGTAGTCGTGGTAGAGCAGGCGGGCGTACGACTTGGTGACGAGCTTGCAGGTGGGGGCGTGGAAGGCCAGGTAGTCGAAGCGGTCTAGCGGGGTCTTGTTGTCGACAGCGGCGGCACCGTTGCCGTTGGCGTGGCCGTTGGCGTGGCCGTTGGTGGCGCCGTTGGTGGCGCCGTTGGTGGCGCCGTTCTTCTGCTTCAGCAGGGCCTCGCGCTTCGAGTAGGCAGTGTATGCGCCGTCCAGGGCCTTGGTGTAGCAGGTGAGCGAGAAGTGGCCGTCGACGTACGGGTACTCGCTCGCCAGGTCGGGCTTGTAGAAGTCGTAAGCGTGCTGCATGTAGCTGCCGCGCAGACCGGGCTCGAAGACGATGGGGGCGTCGGGGCCGATGAGCATGGCAACGGCGCCGGCACCGCCGGTGGGGCGGGCGTTGCCCTTGGCGTACAGGGCGATGTCGCCGGCGACGACGATGGCGTCGCGGCCGTCCCAGCCGGAGCTCTCAATCCAGTTGATGGAGTTGATGACGGCGTTGGTGCCACCGTAGCAGGCGTTGACCGTGTCGACACCCTCGATGTTGGTGTTGTCGCCAAAGAGCTGCATCAGCACCGACTTGACCGACTTGGACTTGTCCAGGATGGTCTCGGTGCCGACCTCGAGGCGGCCGATCGAGTTGGTGTCGATGGCATACTTCTTGAGCAGGTTCGCAGTGACGGTCAGGGCGAAGGAGTAGATGTCTGTGGCGAGCATCCAGAGTCAGCAACCCAAGTCACATCACCTCACAAATAACCTCACAGCAAGGCACGCCGCCTCGCCGCTGTCCGCCAGGCCCGGCTTGAGCGCATTTTGCTTTCGCATTTGCGTTCGGGGCGGGGTCAGGGGCCAGGGCAAGGCGGTTGGCACGAGAGCGGGGCCACCAACCTTCGCGGTCGTCGCAGAAGCTCATCTTGGTCTGGCCCAGGCCAATTGTGTATTTGCCGGTGCTGACGCCATCGAACTTCTCGAGCTCAGATTGCTCGACATACTAGCGCCGAGACTCGAGTTAGCGGCTTTGATCACCAAGCTCAACGGCGCGCGAGTTGCTGCTTCTGCTGCTTGCTGCTGCTCTCATGCTTGTCCGGTCTCTTCTGCTGCACGTGCCGCTCGCTGCTCCAGGAGGCGCTGGTGGTCGCTGATTAGGTTCTCCCTCCCCTAGCCTCCCCTAGCCGCCACAGAGCGGCGTTTGTGGTGGCGGGGGTACACACAGGGGGTGGAAAAAAATCCAGCCAGACCTGTGGCGTGTGGCCAAGCGCAAGCGATGTCGGATCGAATCTGCAGCGGGCGGTGCTGTCGGCGGGAGAAGGGGGGCAACCAGCACAAAAAGAAGTCCGAAGCGGCCACACAGAACGAAGCAGCACTTCTCAGCAGGACCAAGCAGGTTGGACAGCCGAGCAGCGGAGCAGCTGAGCAGCCAAACGGAAACAGTAGCGGCGGCAGCCGCAGCAGCAGCAGCAACTCCTCGGCCAATGCAGCCAGTCATTAGCAGCCTCACATGCAAGGGGCGCAACCAACCTGGCTGGGGAAGTAGATTTCGATGGCCTTGATGCCAATGTTCTGCGGACGTGAAGCCATTGCGACGGGCGGGCCGGGATCCGGGGGAGCTCTGTTCAGTTGGCGGAGTTGAGAGATTGAGGTTTTAGAAACTGCGCACAACCAGGACGGCCCGAGATGTTAGCGGCGGTGCTCCCTTTTTGTTGTCCTTTCACCGCCGTTTCGTTTTCTTGTTGAGAGCGTGTGCCTGGGGCCCTCCTGCGTAGAATCGTTTGTATTTTTTTTTTCTGGGGCGGCGGCTGGGAAAGGCAAGGAGGGAGGACGAAATCGGAACAACCAAAGAATGAACAACAGCCACGCACATCCGCCATCCACCATCCGCCACCTGCCCACTCTCTCCCACCACTCTCCCACGCGCAAAATGCAACCATGCAACGGCAGGACCCCTGGCCCAGGGGTTCCGATCTGGAAGGAGGGGTCCGCCGCAGGGGGATTGGGATTGTGATTGGGATTGGGAGAGCCAGCCAACCCAGAGAGGGCGAGCTAGCGCACGGCAACAAGGCATGCATCTACTCACCGAGCTTGGGATATGTGGTGTGCTGTGTGTGGCCGGAGGACGGCAGAGACGACGGCCACAGGTAAAGGTAGGACTGGGGTGATCTCCGATAGCCAAGTACCGCTGTGACTTGTCCGTGGGACCGGGTTCGAGTTGGACAAGACTGTGGAAGGCGAGGGAGGAGGATATTCGAACGGGGGCAGGGCCGGGTCGAGAGAGGGAGAGACGGACCCTTTTTGTTTCCTTTTATCCCGTATTTTTATTTTCCTGGCCACTTGATCTGGATTTCCCTTTTTGTATTTTCCCCATCTTTTTCCTTTTATCTTTTCTGTCCCTCCCGAACAAGGATATGGGTTATCTAATCCCAAGCCCCTACGTCTGCACGATGTGCCAGCCACACCAGCCTAGCCCCCATCCAGCCCCCCGATCCTGCTTTGCTCATCAGCGGCCAAGGCGGCTGGTGCGTTGCTACCTACACAGTAGCATCAACAGGTCGCCATCATGTACCGCACTCACCGCCGTCGGCCGTGCAAGGTACTTCCCCGGCTCCGCCCGCTGTGCGTGTGCTGTAGGCGCGTTGGCCGATGGGCTAGCTAAGATTAGAGGGCCCACAGGTCCACCGCAGAACCGTTCGTTTGCGCTTCCTAAGACGGCGTAAGACGGCTTCGATGCGTGCGTGTCGCCTTCCCTCCATTGGGAAATCTCCATCGGCAACGAACGCCTTTCGCTCTTCGGCTCGGGCAAATTGACTAGCCTGTCTTGATCCCTTTTTTTTTCTCGGAAACCTTGGGGTGAGGTGCTCATCCGACCTCGGCCGGGTCCAGACATCCCATGTCTCCAGCCCAGGCCAGAAAAGCAAAAGGGTTCAGTGCAGCTCGCCTGGCCTGCCAAAATTGCGACTCGGCGGAGAATCGGCCAAAGATGGGGTTGATTGGCTTGTTGTCGGCAGATCCCGACCAGATCCATTTGATGATTTTCAATCGGTGATTTTCAATCTTCCTCTCATGTCCCCGAAACCAAAGCGCCGGAAGCGACGCATGCGCAAAAACAATGAAGCTGCACTGACGCCTATCAAGTGTCGCCACCACGAGAGGTACATGCCACTATGTTGGTCTGCAGTAGGGCTGTAACGAAGGGGAAGAAGAAAAGGCCCAACCCGCATCACGCCCCCCTCTCAGCTGCATGCAGCTGACGGCCGATCCGGACACCAGTAGAGCCTCAACAAACACCGTAGCGGCACTATTGAGACGGCTCCCGCGCCAGCTCCCCCTCGTCTGGCCGCCGCCGACTCCCGCAGGAACGGGAGGGAGGGAATGTCACCGGACAAGGCTCATGCGTTGCTCCCCTCTTCGTTTCGTCCGCCGTAGTTGTCGCGGATGGAAAGATGGGCCAAGAACCCCAAGGGGGCCGCGCAACAAGAGAGAAAAGGTGGTCAGGGGCACCAACACACAGGCCTATCAAGCAGCGAGGATAAGCACGGCTCGACGAAGACCTTTAATGTGTAAGCCGCCGCCGGCAGCTATGACGATTGCCGACTCGAAATTGAGCCCGTTGGTGGCCTCAAAATCAAAAAGAGTACATCATCGACAAGGGCTGGGCGTGACGACAACCTCGTCGTCGCCAGCTCCCAACCCACACAAAGTACACGCAAGTCCATTGAGATTGCTCCCCCTGCCCTGCCCGCTCCCACGGTCACATCGTAACGTACACTTCTCAACAAAGTCGGGAACGGCCGTGGACGTGTTGCATTGTCCTATTTCCCATGTATCGTCCCATCTTCCATCCCATGGGAAAGGGGCTACCGAGGGTGATTACTTTCGTGAGTGACCCGTGTAGATAGACGCATGCAGGTAGCTAGATGCCTACGTGCCTACCTAGGCACGCATACACACCAACACCCGAGGTAGGCGCGTGTGTTGACTTAGCCGGACGGTTTGCTCCTTCATCACCAATAGATGCCTGTCCATCTGCCCCTCTGTCTGTCTGTCACCCGTCACCGGCCGGGACCAGTCCTCGGTATCGAACCTAAAACAGAGCAGACGAGAGGGCGCCGGCCTGCTGGCGCATGCGCCCTACGCGACAGAGCATCGCATGCCGGGCACCCCCCCTGCAAAGGCCCGCCCACCAAGGCAATGCATCATCATCGACCCCCTCGGCCGCCTCGCAGTAGTGCCTCTCGCGCGATGGGAATCTGGGAAAGTTAACACCGAAACATGCGGGCGTGCCTGGGGGAAGGGATCTCCCGCGACCCCCTCCTCTCTCGGATGCATCATACACGAGACTTTCGGGTGAATCTGGGAGCTTGGGTTTATCGGTTCGGCATTTCTCTATCGCCGAGTAAAATCCCGGCAGGCCTCGGAAGATGATGCGTAATAGATAGTTTTGATTATTGTCCGTTTCTGGATAAGAAAGATGCCCCCTCCCAAAAAGAAATCTCCGGCATAAAAACAGGCTAACAAGACTGACAGAATAGAAGCATAAAGTAAGTGCCCACGGCGGCTGCCTCGCTACAAATAAAAAGAAACAGAAAGCATCACGTGAAGCACATATCACATCATGTCTCGTAGCCCGAGTCCTTCGACTCGGGGCTCGCCGGGTCCCCCTTGGAATCCCCATCCTCCTCGTCCTCGGACGAGTCGGACGACGAGTCCGAGTCGGAGCCGTCGCCGCCGGCCGCCTTCTTCTTGCTCTTCTTGGCCGCCTTGCGCTTGGCGCGCCTGGCCTCCTTCTTCTCCTTGCGCTTCTTCTTCTCCTCGTCCTCCTCCTTCTTCTTGCGCGCCTCCTCGGCCTCGGCCTCGGCCTGCTTGCGCCGCTCCTCGGCCTCCTCGAGCTCCTTCTGCTGCTTCTCCTTGCGCGTCGCCACCACCCAGTCCTCGGCGCTGGCGACCGCCGCGGCCGGGTCCCGCTTGTTCTTCATCAGGAACCCCTGCAGCTCCGCCGGGCTGAACTCGTGCCCGGGGATCTTGGCCGCGAACTGCTTGGCTAGCGCCGCTACGCGCTCGACCGCCTCGGCCCGGAGCCGCGCCTTCTCCTGCTGCTCCTTCTCCTCCGCTGCCGTCTTCTTGTGCGCCGCCGCCGCCAGCACGCCTGCCAGCTCCTCGGCCGAAGCCTTGGAGAGTGCGGGCGAGATCTGAGAGGCGGCGGTGGTTGACGGGGCCTCCACGTCGCCCTCGAGCGGTGCGTAGATAGCGCGGAAGATGGCGGCCGTCATCTCGGCGTCGGCACGGCCAAAGTGCACCGTCATGTCGACGCGGCCGGGCCGGATGAGCGCCTTGTCGAGCTTTTCGATGTGGTTGGTCGTCATGATGAGCACCCGCCCCTCCTGCGACGCCACGCCATCCAGGATGTTGAGCAGGCCCGACAGTGACAGCCGCCCACCGATGGGCGCCGGCATGGGCCTGCCTGGAGTAAGCTGGCCCGGGACCATGTCGGGCCCGCCACCCGCACCCGCTGCGGAGGGCATGACGGCGGCGCCGGCGTCATCACGCGTGTGCGTCAGACCGGCCGAGTCGATGTCCTCGAGGAGCACGACGCAGCGCCGGGGAAGCTCGGTGAACAGCGTCGCCAGCGTCTCCTCATTGGCAGTGATGGAACTTAGGCTGACGATGTAGATGCGCATTTTGAAGAAGCCGGCCAGTGCCAAGCTTAGTGACGACTTGCCGGTCCCCGGAGGCCCGTGGAGGAGGTAGCCGCGGCGGTAAGGGATGCCCCGGTTGGAGTACCAGCGCCTGGTGGCCGGGTCCAGGTAGTCGGTCACGTCGTCGATCAGATCCTTCTTGACCTTCTCGTTCAGGATTACGGTCGAGAAGGGCCGCGAAGTGCGCGCCATGCATCGCTGCCAGCTCGGCTCGGCCGACGCGCCCTTGGTGGTCCCCCGGTAGATGCTCGTCTTCTGCTCGTCCCGCTTGAGGTACAGGTCGCGCGCCTCGATCAGGAGCTCCTTGAGCACGGCCGGGTTGCGGCCGAAGCACGAGATGGAGATCTCCTCCTTGTCGCGCGAGATGCCGAACTGCTCCCTGTTCTGGGAGCGGTGGAAGGTGAGGAGCCGGCCCCGGTAGAAGAAGTAGTGCGAGCCAAAATCGGGAGTATAAGACAGCGGCTTCCTAGTGGCCTCGTCCCCTTCGTACTCGTTCTCCTCGTCCTCGTCGTCCCTCCACTTCCACGTAAACCAGGATCTCGAATCGGTGTTGGTGTTGGCGATGAAGCGGCGGCTCCTGAGCGAGAACTTTTGCTTTGCAATCCAGGCCATGACGTAGTTGTAAGCCTCGTCGTCGGTGCGGAGCGAGCACTTGGACATGAAGTAGGAGTCCAGCTTCCGGTATGAGTATTCGCTAAGGTACTGCCACGCGAAGAGGGATCCGCCCACGAGCATCATCACGGGGATGTAGAGGTTGAGGTCCATCCCCGTGTACCGCTGGACCGCGGACGAGAGGATGGAGAAGCCCGGGAACAGAATGTCCAGGAGTGCGAGCTGCTGTTGATTGCCGGTCATGGATTCTCCGGGGGCGCCGAGATGATCGTGGCCGGTCGGCACCGACGCCACAGGCGTACTGAAGGCGGGCTGCGCCATGGTTGCCGGTATCGCTATGCAGAGATATAGGGATGCTGGGGGCACGATGCTGTATACGGGATGTTGTAACTACTACAACAAGAGGAAGCAAGCGGGCGCCCACCGCGGCTTATTGTGTGTATGATCTAGGGATGTGGAGGGAAGAAGGCAACGAGAAGGCGAAGGGGTGAGAACTACTCAGAGTCTTTTATAGATGGAGCCCAAGAGAGATATCATGGGGGCAACTTATACCATTGGGTCGGCAAGCACAACGCTAATGCACCTCTTTCCTCCTTCAACCGGCAACGAGAGGCAGCCTAAGATTGGGCCCTTGCCGAGCTGAAGGGCCCATGGCTCCCGAGCCGGAAGAGTCATCGTGGATGGGGCAAGGCAGCTTTCTGTAAAGGAAGGTTCAGACGATGGAGGAGGAGGAGGGGCCCGGCAGGCGAACTAGCCAGCTGGGGGGTTGTTGGCGGTGACACCCTATGCAGCAGCTATGCAGTAACGCACGCCGTGCGTGTTCTTTCCCGAGCGGCCGAGCCTGGAGGCCGCGGGGGTGGACAAGCCGGGCTGCAGCAAGGATTTAGGGGGGAGTACCCACCACCAATCCAATCCTATTACGGCCACGCGTACGGTATGTACCTTGTGTCAATCACGGGAATTTCCGAGATGGGCGCGAGGATTAGGTCAGAGAGACCTTGGCTAGTGTTTGTGGGATTGGGGCTTTGGTGATGCCGATGACTGCTATTGCCGATAAGACTTCGGACCTAAAATGGAGGCAAGCAGACAAACATGCAAGCAGCAAACAGGCAGGCAGTGGACAAGCGCCGAGGCTGTTTCCTGGATCCTGGGTCCAAGGGGCCGCCGATCTTGCAGGCAGGCAAGCGAATCTGTAAAAGGGCGTGGCCCTTTCGGAAACCCCAGCGACACGCGCCTTCCGTCAAGCATTGGAGCAAGAGCAGCAAAAATTCGACGCGGTGAGATGCGGATGAGGTTTAGGCATCACTGCAGAGCCACGTGCAGCGTGGACTGCGCCGGGGCTTGCCTGCCATTGGCCCATTCGTTCCGAACGGGGCCCCTTCGCTGGTGGTGCTCCTTTGGCCTTGATTCTTCCAGTTTTCTCATACGCCAGCCAGCCCCAGGCGCGCGCCCAAAAGAAACGAAAATGGATAGCGTGGTGCCGGTCGGGTTGTTTGATCGCGGGATCTGCAGGGGCAAAATCCCGAACTTGCTTTGGGAGTACCGTGTAGGTATGCGAGGGGGGGTTCCACAAATGAGGCAAGCCATCGCCCGCCCACACCCGCGCCAAGACATAAGGCACCCGACCGCTGTTGCAGCCTGCGGGCAGCCGGCTCACACGCCCAGGCCCCCCCAAGGCCGAAATCTCGGTAATTTACTGACTAACGCCAGCATCCCACGATGGAGGCTCACGCCCACGTTAGATATCTGCACATATTTCCTCACCCGAGGCAGGCTGTGGGTGGGGGAAGTGAGTGAATCACCACCTCCTCTATGCAGGCTAAGATACGATATCAGGGGGTCGGGCTAATAACAACGAATCTGCCAGGAACAACGACATGAGATTGCCCCCCATTTTGGTTGTGTTAGTCACTCTCTGCTGACGACGCCGCTCACTCGACGCCGTCATTCCCTGAACAGGTCTTTTTTGCCTTGATGGTAGGCATTGTTCCTGTGTTTGGATCCACCGCTGCCTGGCGCGCTCGGTTCTAGACCATCACCACCTTTGCACATAAAAATCGACCTGCCTTTTTTCCCTCTTATTGCCACCACCTCAAGCAAGCACCACGGTGAGCAGAATAGGATAGCCCGACATGAAAAACAGGCGCGGGTCGGAGGTACCGACGTCACATCAATAACGCCGCGATGCTCAGCCTCATCGTCACGCGGGTGTTTCGTGCGGGGTGGTGTGGAGGCAGCCAGTAGCCCACAGTAAGCCGGAGCGAGGCTCAGCCATCCATGGATGCATTGCAATATGGAACTCCCGATTCCCGTGGTGTCAGAAAGAAACCGCGCAATTCATTGCCGTGATTCGTCAATTCGTGCCGGTCTTGAAGACTAAACAAGAAGAAAAAGGAAAAGAACATGAAGCCCTAGGTATCTCGCGGGTATAGAAAATCGTCAACAAGCACAACCCAAAATATCCCAACGGGCAACCAGGAGGCAGCCTAGCTCCCTCCTCAAACCCCAAAAAAACGCCTGTGAGGGAGAACAAACAAGACCCCCGAACAGCCAGCCAACCGACATGTACAATCATAGTGCCATGAAACGCCTTCTCCAGCAGACCAGTCCGGAGCACGACCCGCGCAAGGAAGAAAAAGATACAGGAAAAAAATAAAAACGGGTGTTACATGTCAATGTCCTGGGTATCGTCCCTCATCTCGTTGCTCCCCAGCTCCACGTCGACCTCCTCGGTCACGAAGCCCTCGTACTCGGCTATGCTCTTTTGCACGTGCATCTTGAACTTGCACACGTCGTTGAGCATGCGCATAATCTCCGTGTGCAGCTCCTCGCGTAGGGCGTTGGCCTTGAGCGTCAGTTGTTCGTACCTGGGTAGTTGGCGAAGGTGGTTAGCTGAATGTAGAAAAAAGTAGAACGAATAGAAAAAAAAAAAAGACTCACTCGATATTGGTCGTCATCTCCCGCTGCTCCAGAAGCTGCACCGACTCGGACAGGCTGGCCCGCATCTTGGCCAGCTCCTTCTCCATCTTCTCGATCTGTGCGTCCGACGCCATGCGCTGCGCCGTCGTCACCTCCTTGGTCTTCTCAAACTCCTCCTCGGCCGCGCCGACGCGGTGCTCGAGCGCCTCCACCTCGCTGCGCTTGTCCTCCATGGCCTCCTTGATGCTGTCGAGCAGGTCGTGGTCCTTCATCATGGTGTCCATGGCCACGCCCCGGCGTTCCGAGACCTCCTTCTTCATCGACGCCAGCATGTTCTTAACCTGGCCCCGGAGGTCGAGGTTGAGCACGTGCGCGGGCTGGTACCCCGTCACCGGGTCCACCAGCAGCCGCTCGTTCTCCATGTTGCCACCCGTGTACGAGCCCTTGAGCTGCTGCTGCTGCTGCACCGATGACGAGAAGCTGGGGCCCTCGTTGACCGTCACGTGGAGCTCCAAATCCCTGCCCTTGGCGTTGGCCGCCGTGGACGGTATCAGGTTGATCTGGTACGCGGCCGTGTTGTAGCGGTCCACCATGCGCTCCAGCTCCTCCAGCTTGGCGCTGGCCTCGACCTCCTTCTCCGCCACCTTGCGCTTCCCGTCCTCGAGCCGCTGCGCCGCCGTCTCGATGGTGCGCTGCAGCCGCTCCCGTTCGGATGCCATGCGGTCGATATCCTGCATGCTGATCCCCTGGTCGTCGACCGCCTGCTGCAGAGACCGCCGCTCCTCCTCGGCCTCGGCCAACTCCACCATGACCTTGTCCAGCTCCTCCTGCAGCACCTGGATGCGGCTGTCGTACTTCTCGGACCGCTGCACCGCGAGCTGGTTGTACTCCTCGAACTTGATCTTGTCCTCCTCCATGATCTTGAAGTGGCTGTCGAGTATGGCTGGGTCCGGCGTCGACTTCTCGAGCTCCTCCACCTCCTTGAGCAACTTTGCGTGCTCCGCTTCGAGGATCTGGAGCTCCTGGAAGTGCTTGGCGTTGGCCTGCTCGAACGACCGCGCCATGGTCTCGATGTGGGGGGCCAACATCTTGTCAGCCTCTTCCTCCGAGACGCTGTCGTCCATGCCCAACCACTCAGCGTAGGCAGCCGTTAAAAAGTCGAACGTGATGTGGTCACCGATGGTGTCGACGCCGGCCTCGAGGCAGGCGTCGGCGTAGCGGTTGAGCGCGAAGCCCTCTATCATCTGCGCCAGCTGCATCATCCAGTGCAGCACGCCCAGGAACGTGTACCAGTTCTGGCCGCCCACGGCCGCGATCTGGCTCTTCGTGATGCCCTTCTCGTAGGGATACCGCAGCTGCTTGAGTAGCGGCGGGACCTCCTGGTCGATGTTTTTCATGAAACGGTAGCTTGGGTCGATGCGGTTGTATAGCCATTGGAATATGTAGTTGAAGTCCTTTTGTGTTGGTGATTTGATAACGTTCTGCGACAAGTTGTGATTCATGTCGAGCTCAAAGTTGTTCTGGGTCAGGTAGTCGAGCAGCTCCTGGCCGATGCGGTTCTGGTACGACCTGTCCTTGAGCGGGCGCGGGTCCTTGGGGACGCCGGCCGGCTGCGGCGCCTGCTGGAAGAAGCTCTGGTGGCCGCCTGGGGTCGGGGCGGCGGATCGCGGCGGCTGGTAGACACTGCTCCTACGGTCCCTATCCACGGATGCCCTGCCGGCGCCTCCTCCCGGGGTGAATGCGCCCCTAAATGTGCTGGTGCTGTTTTGGGCCGACGGCCTCTTGACCGACGACATGCCCAGGTCGCCCAGGTTGTTGTTGCCTGACGTCGAGGCGCGCGAGAAGACGGGCTGGCTCGGCCTCGACATGGCCAGGGACTGTCGGGACCCGGACAAGGAACGGACATGGCCGTTGGAGAAGGGGGCGCCCGCTCCCGCTACCGAGTTCCGCTTCATCGCCGAGTGGGGTTGGGGAATCGCGGAGTTGAGGTTGAGACTGCCTAGGGTCTGCGGACTCGAAAGTTAGCACGAGGGGCACACTCACTCAGATACCTGGGGCGGTGAGGGCGGAGGGTAGGTAGGTATCCGAGGCCGGGTAGCGTACCTCTCGAGGCCGGCGGACGCTAAATAGGCCCGTGTCTTGCGACATGATGGCCCCGGACTAAACTCCGGAACGGCGTGGTCCGAGGGCGGGCACAAGTCACCGAGTAGAGATACTGTGTCTGGGTCTTTAGCAAAGATATGTGAGTGCTATGCGACAGTAAGCGACCCAAGAATACGATATTTGTGGTGTTGAGAAGGTCGTCGTGAGCAATGCAAGGTGTAGCTTGTCGCCCATGAGGCAGAAAGTCAGATGCGCGCGCCCGCCTTTGGGTGGCGGTGGGATGGTCGTGTTTACTTGTCGCTAGGGGTTGTTGCTCAGTTGGAAGGTGGTGTGTAAACAATCTGAAAATGCGAAAGGGCGCTGATTGGCCGCGGCGGCCCCACGCGGCCATCTCCACCCTCCGCGCTTCCCTGAACGAACTCACGTGCCGAAGTGTCAGCATTCCTCGGCCGAACCCCGATTTTATTAGCGGGATGCGACGTGAATGGCTGGGGACTGGGGAGGCGGCTTGGGTCGTTGAGCCGCGGCGCGCCGAGCCCTTGATGTGCACCTTTTAGGCTGGACCAGCCACACCGTCGTTGGCCTAGCTTCCATCTCCACCCCCAACTCGACCAGCAACCATCCATCCACTACCCAACCCGCAAAGCATGCAGTAGATCGAGCGCGTCTCTATCCTGCCTCGTCATGGCTATCAGAGAAGATATAGTGGCTTCGGCTGTAAGTTGATGCCCTCGCTTTTTTGGTTGATGTGCTGCTCTGAGGGTCGCCCTCGAGAGCTTGGAGGCATTTCTAAGAGCAACGCTAACGTGGACATGTTTGACGGAACATAGGTCGACTGTAAGCTCACCTGACACGACGATCTGATCCGCCTGCCACATGGCATTTCGAAATACTAACACAGCCTTCTTGTTGCCGTCCAGTCCTCCGAGATCCCAGCGTCGCATCCTCCTCGGTCGAGAGCCGCATCGCGTTCCTCCAGACCAAGAACCTGACCCCGGAAGAGGTTCAAGCCGCCCTGGCCCGCGCCGGTGTCGATGCCTCGACAGTCTCCCCAGTCGCGTCGCAGAGTGTAGCGACGCGCGCGCCGGTGGCGGCTCCCCAGCCCTTCTACGGGCAACAACCCCAGCAGTACCCACCCTATGGGTGGCAGCAGCCTCCTCCCGATGCCCCAAGGAGGGACTGGAGGGATTGGTTCATTATGGCGACCGTCGTGAGCGGCGTCGGCTACGGCGTGTACTCGCTGACCAAGGTGAGTTGACGAGACGTGGTCCAGACGGGACATTCGGGGTCTTCCACAACCCTCCTCTGTATTCCCGTGTCTAACACGTTGTTCCTCAACCAAAGCGATACATCTACCCCCTGGTCGCGCCCCCGACGCCGGACCGGCTGGAGGCGGACAAGAAGGCGATCGACGAGCAGTTCGACCGGGCCTTCTCGCTCGTGGAGCAGCTGGCCAAGGACACGGATGCGCTCAAGGCCGCGGAGCAACAGCGCACGGAGCGGCTTGACACGGCGCTCACGGAACTGGAGACGGTCATCACGGACCTCAAGTCGGCCAACCGGCGGCGCGAGGACGATGCCCAGCGCATTCGGGACGAGGTTCAGGATCTGAAGTCGTCGATCCCCAAGGCCCTGGACGCCCAGAAGGACCTCGCCAACGAGAGGCTCAAGGAGGTCAACGTCGAGGTGACTAGCCTCAAGACACTCCTCTCGCAGAGGTTGAGCTCGGCCACGGCGTCCAGCGTCCCGACGCCGCCCATGGGGATGAGCTACATCCGGCCCTCGGTTACGCCTGCTGTTGCCCCCCTGTCGCCCTCGCCGGCACAGGTTGTGGCAGCAAGCGTTAGCAACGGTATTGCCGTTCCGCCGGCCAACGGCGACAGCGCCGAGGCTGCGCAGGATGGACCCACTTTCCGTTCGGCGTTTGGCATCGGGGGCGGAGGCGGAGGCGCCCGCGCCAGCATCCCGGCCTGGCAGAGGGCCATGGAGGCGAAGTCGACCCCTCCTCCCAACATGCCGGTGGCTGAGGCGGTCAACGGGACCAGCGCTTAGTGATGGGTTATAATTGCCGTAGCATGTGGAGATGTTTGGTTCAGGATCATCCGTGAGCCGTTTTCTGCCCAAATTCTCTGACAGCTTGGGTCTTTGAACATGAAGCCAGCCCATCAGCCCAGCTCCTGGCCGCTGCAGCTCGGTTGGATCATAATGTACATTTATTATACTGTTATATTTCTCACCCTTTTCAAGTTTCAATTGCAACGGCGAAGCATTTCTCACTCTTGGCCCTGTCCCCATCGCCGGTCGGATCGCCGTGTCCATACCGGCCCCTGATGGTGAGGTGCCACCACACATGCGACAGCGAAATGTTGCCGAAGCCGCCACAGCGACGATGTAGCCGCAAGAGGATCCAGATGCGAAAGGCTCAATGCAACTGCCGAAAGGGGCACAAAATATCAGCTTGAAAGATTTGGGCGGCTGAGCCCGGATGGGCCGTGCGCGCGCTCTGTGTTGTCGGACGCAACCTTTCCCTTTTCTGTGTTTGGTCGCGAACATTTCGGGGCCATTTATTGGGGTGCCTGTCCTGGGCAGTGCCCCCCTGGTGGGGTTGCCGGATCCACAGCCTGCTGGGGGTAGAAGCAACACAAATCGAATCACAGAGTACAGACGGTCCCAACTGCCTGGGACTGGGCCTCCACTGGCTTCCATGGCTTCCCCCAAAACACTGTCATCTCGTCCCGCCACCCATGATGTGTTTGGGCCGCCGCGGGTTCGTCATCGCTAATGCCCCGAGCCGCGGGGGGGAGCTTGGCTTGGTCTATCGTCTGGTCACTATCCCAACCTTGCTGTGACCTCCCTGTTCTTTCTCGTGCCTGTTTTACTCTCATCTTTATCTTTCCTTCTTGTTTCTTTATCCCATCGGTCCCATAATCCACCATGAAAAAGTCCGTCTGTAGTCTGTTTGGCCCTCCTCCGGTATATCGTTCCTCGTGTGTTCGAGGGTTGATGCGTTGGCGAGCTAGCTCGCATCACATACCGTAGACAGTAGTTGCTTGCTCATCGCCACCACACCCATTGGGGACGACGGGCCGCAGCTCCCACACCTGCTAGCGTGCATGTTACCTCTGGTCTCCCGGCGTGTGGTCTAATTAGGCGCCGCCCCGGCAGACTCAACTACCTCGGCATGGCAAGTGGCGGCCAATACCAAGACAGGGATCACAGGGAGGGCAGGCAAGGAGATGTGGTAATGAGAAGAGACAGAGACAGAGAAAGTAAAAAAAAAGCATGTCCACCTTGCCAAGGCTGCTAGTGGTTATTCCAACTCGCGCGTCGACATGCCGATACATGACATGTGTACCGACGATAATGGAGTCAGCCCCTGGGCGTTCGTCGTATCCCTCGCGCTCCGCTTGTCCTTGTTAGCCGCAAGAAACAAGGAAGGGGTGAAGGAAAGAAGCGGGTGCCGGGCCCGACTGTGTCAGGCAGCGGAGGGGTCACCACTGCAGCTTGAACGATTTGACTTAGAGGAAGGAACTGCTCGTTTCCACACGCACACACACACACACACACTACACAACTTTGGACCCTTTGGCCTTTGTGCATGCTTCATGTCACCGTTTTTTTTTTCAGCACTCCCCCACCCGCCCGCTGTTCCATGAACCCGTAGCCGGAACTTACCAGCGTTGCCCACCACGCCCAGCCATGTGCTCCGTATCATGTCCCCTGTACATCCCTACCCGCCCTCGGTCCCCTCTTGGACATGGACCAGGCCCTCCCCCATGAACGCTCCAGCCCCGCAACGCTCTTCCAGCATGGCGCCGGGCGGAGGTAGGGCAGGCCGGGGCTGGCTGTTGTTGTTCTGATGGGGGAAGCAGTGAGCTTCTCGCTAGACTCCTCTAGGGAAATCATCTGGAGGTGGATGGGTAGGCCTGTTCGGGCCGTCGGCCACCTCGGGCTGCATCTTATACCAACCCAAGGGGCGGCTGCCGTAAATACTCGCCCCGATTGCACAAAGGTTCTCGTGACTTTGTTGATTCACCCAAGACCCCCGTGTTCGTCGTATCCTCTCTCTCTCTCTCTCTCTCTCTCTCTCTCTC